CTTTTTGAGGTTTTTTAGTTCATTGAGAAGCCTAATAGCGCATATCATATTAAAGGGCTGTATCTTAGCTGAACAATGCTACCAAAATCGTGACATTTTGAAGCAATTTTGGTGTTTTGGGGGCGAGGCCACTGTGCCAAGTACCCCGAATTCCATTCTCCCGTGCCATTCAATTGTTTTCGGGGCAGTTTTGAATGAACCTTTGTTTCTTCCTACCAATATGACGTCATAAGATGCATTTGAACGCCTTGGCATGGATATCACTTGAAAGATAGTAGAAATCGCTTTCCAATGATACCCCATATGGCCATGTTCACCTCAGTTGGGTGTACTCAATCTGTGATGCAATCTGTAAGGTGTACCCCCACCCCAAAGAAATTTCAAGAAATCTCAAAATCAAATTTCCTGAATTTCGCTAAAAGGACCTGTGTCTATAAGGATTGACTTTTCCTCCGTGCTTTTTCTCAAATATAGGATTGTTATATACCATTGTGATCGGGATAATGCCTACAATGCTAATATAACCATGTTGGAAGAAAACAAACTAATTCAGTTTACTATTAGGATATAGTCCTGAGTAAGGACATTAGCGGTTACCGTTAGTGATTTGGTTTTCTGAATAAAAAGTCATTTTCTCCTTCCCTACCCCATTGGAGCGCCATCTAGCGTTTGGGAAGTGAATCGGGACTAAATATTTATAGGGTAGGTCCTAATTTATCTGAAAACATGTCAGAGTTCAGTGGGAAATCTCATTTTAAGCTGGCGGCGGAGTGATTTTGACCTTGGTGATTTTACCAGAATTCTCTGAGAAATCTGACGATAGAGGGGGTTAGTGTCTTCAAGTTTATTTATTTCAAAAATTCGGTGGACAACCCATGGTAAGATTGTTATAGCAGGCTAGGCGAGTCTCTCCCGAACACTGTGGTATGTTGCACTAGGCTTGGATACTAATCGTTAATAAGATACAGGGTAAAATGTTATAATGGCCACCTATGGGAAACTCTACTGTGATCTTCAACCTAATAGAAGGCGCTTTTTTGGGGCATTTTGAAGGTTTTATCCCTTTTTGAGGTTTTTTAGTTCATTGAGAAGCCTAATAGCGCATATCATATTAAAGGGCTGTATCTTAGCTGAACAATGCTACCAAAATCGTGACATTTTGAAGCAATTTTGGTGTTTTGGGGGCGAGGCCACTGTGCCAAGTACCCCGAATTCCATTCTCCCGTGCCATTCAATTGTTTTCGGGGCAGTTTTGAATGAACCTTTGTTTCTTCCTACCAATATGACGTCATAAGATGCATTTGAACGCCTTGGCATGGATATCACTTGAAAGATAGTAGAAATCGCTTTCCAATGATACCCCATATGGCCATGTTCACCTCAGTTGGGTGTACTCAATCTGTGATGCAATCTGTAAGGTGTACCCCCACCCCAAAGAAATTTCAAGAAATCTCAAAATCAAATTTCCTGAATTTCGCTAAAAGGACCTGTGTCTATAAGGATTGACTTTTCCTCCGTGCTTTTTCTCAAATATAGGATTGTTATATACCATTGTGATCGGGATAATGCCTACAATGCTAATATAACCATGTTGGAAGAAAACAAACTAATTCAGTTTACTATTAGGATATAGTCCTGAGTAAGGACATTAGCGGTTACCGTTAGTGATTTGGTTTTCTGAATAAAAAGTCATTTTCTCCTTCCCTACCCCATTGGAGCGCCATCTAGCGTTTGGGAAGTGAATCGGGACTAAATATTTATAGGGTAGGTCCTAATTTATCTGAAAACATGTCAGAGTTCAGTGGGAAATCTCATTTTAAGCTGGCGGCGGAGTGATTTTGACCTTGGTGATTTTACCAGAATTCTCTGAGAAATCTGACGATAGAGGGGGTTAGTGTCTTCAAGTTTATTTATTTCAAAAATTCGGTGGACAACCCATGGTAAGATTGTTATAGCAGGCTAGGCGAGTCTCTCCCGAACACTGTGGTATGTTGCACTAGGCTTGGATACTAATCGTTAATAAGATACAGGGTAAAATGTTATAATGGCCACCTATGGGAAACTCTACTGTGATCTTCAACCTATTAATAGAAGGCGCTTTTTTGGGGCATTTTGAAGGTTTTATCCCTTTTTGAGGTTTTTTAGTTCATTGAGAAGCCTAATAGCGCATATCATATTAAAGGGCTGTATCTTAGCTGAACAATGCTACCAAAATCGTGACATTTTGAAGCAATTTTGGTGTTTTGGGGGCGAGGCCACTGTGCCAAGTACCCCGAATTCCATTCTCCCGTGCCATTCAATTGTTTTCGGGGCAGTTTTGAATGAACCTTTGTTTCTTCCTACCAATATGACGTCATAAGATGCATTTGAACGCCTTGGCATGGATATCACTTGAAAGATAGTAGAAATCGCTTTCCAATGATACCCCATATGGCCATGTTCACCTCAGTTGGGTGTACTCAATCTGTGATGCAATCTGTAAGGTGTACCCCCACCCCAAAGAAATTTCAAGAAATCTCAAAATCAAATTTCCTGAATTTCGCTAAAAGGACCTGTGTCTATAAGGATTGACTTTTCCTCCGTGCTTTTTCTCAAATATAGGATTGTTATATACCATTGTGATCGGGATAATGCCTACAATGCTAATATAACCATGTTGGAAGAAAACAAACTAATTCAGTTTACTATTAGGATATAGTCCTGAGTAAGGACATTAGCGGTTACCGTTAGTGATTTGGTTTTCTGAATAAAAAGTCATTTTCTCCTTCCCTACCCCATTGGAGCGCCATCTAGCGTTTGGGAAGTGAATCGGGACTAAATATTTATAGGGTAGGTCCTAATTTATCTGAAAACATGTCAGAGTTCAGTGGGAAATCTCATTTTAAGCTGGCGGCGGAGTGATTTTGACCTTGGTGATTTTACCAGAATTCTCTGAGAAATCTGACGATAGAGGGGGTTAGTGTCTTCAAGTTTATTTATTTCAAAAATTCGGTGGACAACCCATGGTAAGATTGTTATAGCAGGCTAGGCGAGTCTCTCCCGAACACTGTGGTATGTTGCACTAGGCTTGGATACTAATCGTTAATAAGATACAGGGTAAAATGTTATAATGGCCACCTATGGGAAACTCTACTGTGATCTTCAACCATATCATTTTAAAGCTGTTTCGATGAAGTTTTTAGATCAACTACACTCCATTCACGATTCTTGCGCGTTCTTTTAAAAAAAGAGTTTTTTACCAAAACATCTGGCAAATATCCCCTGTTGACATGTTACATTTTGAATTATTTTTCGTCTTTAAACGCTCATAACTCAACAAATATGACTATTATACTTATTTTTCGTCTTGATAAAGGTAGATGGACGTTTTATTTCAAAGGATGAATTTTTTTAAGCGTCCCATAGTGTGACGTCATAGAGTTTGAAAAATAGAATCTGTTGACAGCGACCTTTTTTACTCATTTTTTGTTACCTTCAACTTTTCAGGTGTACATTAAACAAAAAATGCGAGATCAATTTTTAATAAATCATAACTGATTATTTTGCTCTTAAACTCTAGTTTATTAATATATTTAGTTGATTTTTTGCAAAAGTATGTGTTTTCTGTTGTATGTGGAAAAGTGGAGGACGAAAGGTTTTCAAAATTCATTAAAATAGGGCTAATTTACGCCATTCGCCTATTTTCAAGCACAGCAACACGTATATTTATTTCACCTAAAATATCAATTGATATATTATTTATGATGCTACTATCCCATTGTTAATACAAATACGATATCAGAGTAATTCACCTTAAATATTTTGAGATATAGAGGCAAATGTGGAGGACGAAAGGATTTCCATATGTGTTCATTTTTCTCAAAAAACGTCACATTCTGTGGTGTTAAAAAGCTAAAATGTGTAACAATGCCTGTGCGTGCGCGACCTTTTTGCGACACGTCAATATATTAGGCACATTTTCTGAAAAATGCAAGAGATTCTGTTCAGTGACCTTTCCCAAGCTCCTACTTTTATCTATTTTTCAGTCACAAATTTCAGAGGGCTGAAAAGTTAATTTCATCATGTCTAGGGTCATTCTGACCATGGTCATTGTGATCATGATGTAAATGTTATGTGGAACTAGTTAAACTTACTGGAGGTCAAAGCAGAACTCTGATATCTTGGTTCAAAAAATCCAGCATGGTTTTGTCACTTCCTGTTTTGTCATTTCCTGTTAACTACCATGGCACCTAAAACCATTGTAAGAAAAAAGATTAACTATACAAAAACGGTAGATCTACCTGAAATAAGCTGAGTCTCTCTGCCATCCACATGAGTCACAAAAATGGATGTCGGGAACATGATCATCGGTGCAAGCGTGTGATATACTAGTGTTAAGACAGTTTCTGGTCCAACCACAGTTATCACACACCTCTACACTTTCGTTGTTGTTGACATCTCCTATTACACCACACCGTGCGCAGATACTCTCTGATCCCAAAAATGAATGACTGTGGGACGCAGTGCTGTCCTTTGACACATCATTTAAAAGCCCTGCCAACTCGGGGCGTGGATGTTAATCTTGCATGCTTTTCAAAGGAACGAAAGTCCGGCGAAAGCGGAGGAGAAACTGAATTTCGTTTCCTTGTTTCAATCCGTTGCATATTGGTATATACATGTAACTTGGAATCCCAAACACCCGGATGTATTATGTACAAATTGTTCGCGGTAACGGATCTCTGTGCGAGGTACAAGAAATATGTTCGGAAACAAGGAAATGGTGGTGCGCGACATAAGATTTCACGTTCGCGATATGAGATTCATGGTTCGAGTGCAAGGAACGTAGTTCGCGGTATCAGAACTGATGTTCGCGTTGTTGGAAGTCTAGGAGGCCTGGAACAGTTTCTTCACAAAACGCCTACCACATTTAAGATTACTGAAAACGCGCCACGTTTGAAAATGTAAATCATATTTTACATAATTTCGCGTGGAATACGCAGACGTTATTTTTTCGTTATTAGAGATCTGGAAGCATCCTTACAAGAAAAGGTAGCAAAACATGTTGATCCTTTCGAATATGGATTCAATCCTAAAAAAGGACTTTCCCAGCAGTCATTCATTGCAAACGACGAGATTTGGCGAATGAAGCGAGCTGATAGAGTGCACGTGAGTGTCCCATAAGTAATGATAGTTACACCCTAAAATTATTAATTGTAAGGAAACAATATGAAAAATTCACACAAAATAAAGATCATGTGGTAGACTTTATTTTTCAATATTATTTATCACAACAATACTTCAATATGCCATATATCCAAAATTGTTTATTGGTGAGGTTTGTATGATTATATAGAAAAAAGTTCCTTAATTCACAAACCTAAAATAGGATAATTATCGAGCTTTCGACAACTGTTGCCTTTCTCAATATAGTTGTAAAACTTTTGAATCACTTTGAAATAAATGAGTGAAACGTATATAGACAGTAGGTCCAATGGGAATCCAAGCAGAGAATCCCTGAGTTCAAAACGAGGTAAGCGAGCTATATCGAAATATTACCCGCCAACTTTTCCATTGATTCCCATACAAATGCGAGGTAAGTAAAACATGTCTGTAGTAAATAGTTAAATAAATTCATCCAGATATACGTACATGTTGTGTCAATTTTAGGTTGTGCCAGGTGTCAAAGAATTTACAGGAGATTCCGTCATTTTCAGTGACGGCTCTACCCAGCATATTGACCACGTGGTATTTTGCACAGGATACAAAACAAAATGTTCTTTTTTGAAGGACATCCAGCATGGTAATAACATTATTACACTCTGATATTCTCATCGCTTCATACAGTCTATGGCAAGGGCCATATCCCACTGCCACATGGGTCAGTTGTAAAATGGCCTGACATTGTAACCTACATGTTTCTCTGTAATTAATTAAAATTAATGAATTTACAACGTGGTAAAAACGGAAACCCTGCATTTTCCTAATATCCTTGTCATTCTAAATCATTTCTCCCTGATATTTCACACATATGTACACCATTCAATTTCCTACCACATTACCATATTTCATCACCACCAGCTTTATAGTCGTAATTTTACAGTACTTTGAATAACATGCTTCAGGTTTGGCCATCATCGCGCCGTAGGCAAACCTGCATAATTGTCAATGACCCGAATGCATTTCTCAGTAGGTATGGCCTGGATAACATGGATGATCTCTCTTTTGAGGTTTGCAGTTGTCCTGAGGTCATTCTCATGCACTCTATCTGCTATATCCCCACAGGTAGGGAAATTTTGGACAATGAGTGCAGGTTTCCCGACAGCTAAAGGGCATTTCTTTAAAGTGCTGTAACATTGTGACTATCAATCTGATGGTCATGAAACAAAGTGGGCTGGTAGGAAACTGAATGATGTACACATGTGTAAAATATAAGGTAGTTATATCTTAAAGTGGCAAAGATATGACGGAAATGGTGGTAGGGTTTCCATTTTTACCACGCTGTAGATGGCGTGGCGGTATTAGCACGTGTATGTTATGAAAAAACAATGGTAATCAACAGATGAACATAATTTAATGTGTCCTTTTTTCATTTATATCTTCATATGCACAACAATTGAAGTATCTTATTTAGGAGAATAGTGAGAGGTATCAATAAGCGCCTCAACGACCTAGTATGCACTTGTATCTGATCTACACCAAAGCACATGCTATATAATTCAAAAGCATAATGACGTAATTTGAGTTGTAATTCATGTAAATCTACTTAAGGATGCAGTACCAGGTCAGCGTAGAATAAGTTCCAGACATTAGATTTTGCTCATATTTTTTACAATGTATCACTATGATGTTATCATAATCCAAGTGCAATATGAAGAGGATTGACCGTCTGGTAATTACAAAATAGAAAGATTATTTTACCCACCCAAAATGAATCTTTTTACTTTTTTGAGTTTTCAATAGAGCTGGCACCTTTCGAACCCTGGTTTTCGTATCCACTAATTGCGACTCAAGAACAAGTTTTCCCATAAAAGTGAAAGGGATAAAATATGCTTGATAAAATGTTTGCAATTTAATTATTTTCTGGAAACACCATTATCGAAATAAACTATATTTTTTGAATAAGACTAAATGCGAACATGACGTTCTTGGGAGCTAGCTTTCTCAAACCGGAAGTCAAACCTGCGCAAACAGACGTGAAAACCGACCCGGTACTGCATCCTTAATGCAAATACTAGATTGAATGTTGATTCATTCCATATCATCTATTAGCTAGTGTGATTTTTGAAAGAAACAAAATAGACTCCTCACCATTATATACATTGACATTGGGCAGTTGCATTTATTTTTTAATTCTTGCATGTTCTTTGTTTATTTTTTTTCTCGTGCAGAAAGAACCAAATACATAAATTACCATTTTCATATAAACATATTCACTTATACATAACCAAGGCTGCATTTTAAACTGCCCGCGGGCTAGTACATTGCATAATATATAAAAAGGTATCACGAAAAAGAGCACGGGCCCTTGCGGTGCAAATTACATGTACATGCTCACATGTTTTCAACAAAACCAGTTCATCTAAGCGCACTTGAACCGCTAATTACGCTGTGGCAACCTTGTCGGCTGGCTAGCGCGTGTCAACCGCACCGGCTTGTTACTACAGGGTGGGCCAAAAAAAACCACCCCCCTATCCATTATTCCTGATAAATATTTATTTTTTAACATATACACCAACAATGATATATCATTTTAAAGATAATTTAATTTGCAACAAAATGATATATAATAGCACCATTTTCAACAACCCCAGATGGATACATAACCAATTATGTGACATGGGGGTCAAAAAACACCTTTTCAATTTTCATCGATTTTGCGAACAATAGCCTATTTCTACAAAATTCTACTGTTCATTTAAAAATTGCAACATTGTCATGAGTCTTTCATAATTGGATATTATATTTTGTTTTCATTCAGTTTTTGAACCATACATGCTCAAAAAACATGTATATGCTTATAAAACAAATAAATTTCTTCTTCAGTCTGTCCAAATATGACTCAATAGACCCAACCCCCAGACCCATCCTCTGATTGGATTATTCACTTAAGACGCATAAGCCATTGGTTGATGGCATAATTGATGGATGTATGCGGAAGTACCATTCAACTGCTAGTTATTCTTTCTTTTAGTTCCTCTACATCCCTGATAGGCTGGGTTTCTTTAAATACTAACTGTTCTAGATGCCCCCAGGAATGGTAATCAACATTATTGGCATCTGGACTGTCAGTAAGCCATTTGTCCGGGCGAGAGATGGTGTCATTTCGAATCTCCAAAAACTCCAGGGTAGCATTGGACCTGTTTGATGAAGCACTTTCCTATCAGATAATGAAATTCCTTTCACATGTTTTTTATATCCTTGAGGAGTCCTTTTTAACACCTCATGTCATTATTTTTGCTCCAGGTTCAACAAAAACAGGGCCTGTACGGTCTTTCCCTTTTGGGAAACACCGATTGGACACCACTACCCTTTCAGAAAAATGTCATCTCGATTTGAGTAGCCTTTTATTGCAAATGTCCCTATTCTTGCTTACTGATATATAGGGTCTATCCTGTTGATTACATGTATAGTACCTTGGGCATTTAGAACAGTTGGTCTATGAAGATCACTAGCCTATCAGGGATGTAGACAAACTGAAAGAATGAATAATTAGGAGTTCGATGGTACCTTCGCAGAGATCCATCAATTATACCAATGGCTTTCGCGTCTTTAGCGAATAATCCGATCAGAGGATGGGTCCGGGGGGGTGGGTCTATTGAGTCGTATTTGGACAGACTGAAGAAGAAATTAATTTGTTTTATAAGCATACACATGTTTATTGAGCATGCATGGTTCAAAAACTGAATGAAAACAAAGTATAATATCAAATTATGAAAGACTCATGACAATGTTGCAATTTTTAACTGAACAGTAAAATTTGGTAGAAATAGGCTATTGTTCGCAAAATCGATGAAAATTGAAAAGGTGTTTTTTGACCCCCATGTCACATAAATGGTTATATCTCGAGCCAGGGGTGTTGAAAATTGTTCTATTATATATAATTTTGTTGCAAATTAAATTATCTTTAAAATGATATATCATTGTTGGTGTACATGTTAAAAAATGAATATTTATCAGGAATAATGGCTAGGGGGGTGGTTTTTTTGGCCCACCCTGTAGTGCATCACAGGAGTTTGATTGCAATAAACCGTGATGTTTTTCAAAAGAATTTTCCGAGTGTTAGTGTGCTTGAATGAACTTTTTTGTTGAAAACACATAAACATGTAATGAGCACTACAGGGCTTATTATTCTTTTTAGTGATACTTGGGGAGAAACCTCATTAAAACATTATGCAATTCACTGGCACCGCGGGCACACAAAAATACATTATAAGAAGGTATTATTTTATGGTCGTTACTAATTATTGTGTCGAAGTTGCGTAATAATGTACATCAGAATAAATGTCCTTTACTTGCACACATTTAGATTCTGTGTTTGATCTGAACTTATACAAACAAATGTTTCCCGTTGGAGTCCCATGGGCGGATAATACATTGGCTTTTGCTGGGTTCTGGGAGTTTCTTGGTGGTTTTTTTCCGTGTGTGGAATTACAAAGTCGCCTCATCGTCAGTGTCTTCCGGAGGAAGCTTAAATTACCCGAACGTGAAGAGATGCAGAAATGTATTGACACTACAATGGCTGACAGCGAGCTTCAGTGGGGCAAGCCATCAATAAAGGTAACGATGACACTTCAATCAATTCATATACATATATGCATTTATATCACGTTGCTGTCATGTGATACTCTGACGTTACCCAATTAGAAAGAAGAACATGTAACAATGCGGTTGGTGGCTCAACTTGCTTGTATTAATTTTTCACAAATAATAAATTACATGTATACATGCATTAACGGTGGTATCTTTCGGTTAGTTTATTTAAACCTTTTTCATCCTAAACCCGATGGTAAATGGACAAAACACCAAATACCAAGTTAACAAATAGCCGAGGAGCAATGCTTAAATATACCAATAAAGGCAGTTAAAATGTTGAGTAAGAATTTAGGAATTCAGCATTGTCTCTCATTGCAAAATATAACATTTCCAGCTACGTACCTATCGTACGTAGGGTGGTCCAAAATGATAAAAATAATAAGATAGACCACGCCTACCTTTTCACTTTTTATGGGGTAGACCACTTATGGTATGGTTCTTAAAAGTACTTTATATGATACCTTGAAAACCCATACGAGCATAGTTTTTAATTTAAAGGATCAAAATTGTAGTTAAAATCCCAATTCAGGATCAATATAAGGATTCATCTCATAACTTGTCAATGGGCAAAGAGCTACCACCATAAAGCTACCTGTTTCAGAAAATTATTCTGGTCTTCATAGTCTCGAAAATCACTCCGCTATTTCCAGAAATTCTGTTTCTTACCAAACGTTGAAATGTTTTATTGTAGATTAGTACTTACTCTATTTTGGATAGACCTCAATAAATTGATCAAACACTAGATGACGCTGTGATCTGTGATAGAAATGGCAAAAATGCTTTTTCTATACAGGACATCTACTCAGAACTTAGTCACCTACTCAGAACTATGTTCTTGTCAAATTCTGGCAAGTGTAACTTAGGAAATTGCCGTTGTCAGGTGTAGTGATGAACATACATGCACACGTATCATCTCGCGATATTTGAACCGTATTAAATATGTTTTATTACAGAAAAGGGATAACAAGATCAACGATTGTTCTTACCTTCCAGACCGTACCGTATGTTTGTATGATGGATTTAGCGGACCAGATGGGTATTCAACCTGATATAGCTGATATCAAGGTCAACGATCCAGAGCTGGCAGATCGCATTCTGGAAGATATACTACTTCCCTGTCAATTCAGGTTACACGGAGATGGTGCGAAATACGATCAATCCAGAGAAAGGATTGTAAACCATTCAACACGACTAAAAAATGGGCAACATGGATTTCCCTATGTTTCTAAAGATGGAGAAACCGTGTACGACCAGGGTTGTCATTGAAAATGATTATTGATAATAGACACTAATACTACTCAATGTTTCCTGAATAACATACACATTTGTTGAAATGAAATAAAAATGGCAGTGTTTGTGTTCTGATGAAGGAAAGTGCAATTCTGTTAAAAGATATAAGCTGTGATATTATTTCGTGTACCGGTGTGAAAGAAATGATGGTCCCCCAGGGATTATGGTCCCCTTTCTTAACGGCCCTTACTGGCCCTGATTGTGTACAAGATAATGCTGGAAAGAGTTGTATTTAGGTCACCATATAAATCAACGGAGAGTAGGACCATAATTTGATAGGACCTCCTACCCTTTTACACCTGTATATTCAATTTCATACATATTTGTCGTGAATCTAAGAGAGGTAATTATAAGGGGTAATAACCTATTATCTGGTGAAATAATCTTTTATCTGATGAAATAATTGCATAGTATTATTGTAATGCTTTTCTAATAAAAGAACATTTACATAATGATAATAATACATGTGTGTTCAGTTTTTCCAGGATTTAACGTTTTTCACCCTGCTGAATCTCAATTTTTGCATCGCGATGAATGTTAAAGAAAACTTATTTTTTTGATAATAAATCTTAAGGTTTAAGCACGATAAGCATGTTAAGGTAGAACTTCAATGTCGACCGACTTTTTTCTACAATTTAGATTTTCTTGAAAAAATCTAGAAGAAAGATACTGTAAACTGATGAATAACAAAATATGTAAAAATTAGAAATATTGACTTTTAAGAGTTTTAACAGTGCTCTAAAAATGAGGAACTCTTTTGTCGAGTTGGCCGAGAGGGCTTGAGCGCCAGCACGCTCAGGTGATGGGGTGCCGTAACCACGAGGTTGCGAGTTCGAGACGTGAGTGCTCCTTGTGTTTATTAATTTTCTATTTTTTTAAAAATTGAACGGTTAAGATTTTCTTTCAAAGTATTGTGATTATTCTTTGAGAAAATAATGGTGTTTAAAATAATATTTATGAAAATTCACCGTCTGGATCTTGAGAAAAAACGTTGAATATTATGAATCAGTTGGGAAATATTATTATTCCATTGTATATAATGACTCATATTGCCAAAAAATGTCTTGATGGATCAACATGAGTGTGACATATAAAGAGAGATAAAAAATGTCAACTGGACGATTAAAAAATGCCAGGTTTCGAGCCCACTCTCTTGGGCTCTTGGGGTTCAAAAACCGGCGCTCTAATCGACTACGCCATGCAGCTTTTGAACAATCAAGTGAAGTTTTCACAAAAAACAAATATCGATGTTTTATTCAGTTCTCGTTTTTTTGCGTTAGAGGTGTGCGAACTGATTGCGCAATAGACATTGGACTTCTACAGTACTTTAAGTCCATCTGCATATTATCCAGTCGTTGTTCGGGCTTAGTTTATTCCCGGATACTAGAATTCAGTTTTTATTTCATTGAAAGAGACAATGGACATCTCTACCATTTGTAAAAAATGAATGGTTACTATAAAAAAACGTCAATTATGTTGATGTATTTTTGTCCAATCATTTTGTGTATTAAGAGTAATTTACGATATTCAAGAATCCATTAAATTGTTCGACTTAAACAGCAGTTGGGCTGATATCGCATAAACAAAAGAAGTCCAGTGTCCAAAAGGGGAAAGAACAAGTAATGTAATAAAAAACATTCCAGAACGTGTTCTAGGATCATGTAATACCAAAGAAAATCCTTTTAGGAAAAGTAACAGAATGCATCTTTCAGTATGATGACATATATTGTTGTGGTATATCTATTGTGACGAAATTGCTAAGCCACTCGCTGTTTCAGGAAAACTGTTAGTAGTACTATAAGTCCACATCCAACCGCCAATCCCAGCGCTAATAAACCGATCCCTAGACCCGCCATCTGACCTGAAATTGATAAGTCAATTCTCTAAATCCCAACATTATTAATACATGGATAAATGGTAAATCTGAGCACTTGTGCAAATGTGCACTTGATTAAGATTCCCTCTACTGATCAATGAGACCTGAGAGTGAATAAATTGTAGTTATATACAGCAAACTTGCAATGGTATAATATGAGATTATATAATGGTTGATTCCGTAAATCGTGTTTATACTCAAGTGAGTATATGATATATTCACGAGTGACTGAAGGGAACGAGTGAATATATCATATACTAACGAGAGTATAAACACGATATACAGAATCAACCATTATATGATCTTATTATCCCACCCTAATATTTAATCAATAAAAAGTTAATCTAAATTCAGCAGTTGTATATCAAGTCGAAGAGTTGTATATCAAGTCGAAGAGTTGTATACGCTGCCCAGGAGTTGTATACTATCCAGGAGTTGTACTGTATTTTGTTCTCAGGAGTTGTATACGATGAGTGTTGGTTTTAATTTGCAGTTATACAATGCTATTATACTGTACAATCATATAGAGCACTTAGGGTGGGATAATATTAATTTCAAGATAAATGAGTAGAAAAAATCTTGTACGTATGATTTATGTTTTTCCTTGCTGTGTCCCAGACATGATCAGTTTTACTATTTTACTTCACATAATGTAATCAAATACTGCAAAGTACATACGTTTACTTTGATGATTTTACATATGATCTATAACAATAGGTGTCTTGACCGTACAGCTTTTTTTACTTGTCTCTAAACTCACCTGATGAATATTTGTTTCTTTGTGGTGGAAGTGATGACGTATCTGTTCCTGAAGTTAGAATATAACACTTTGTCTATAGTATGATCGAATTCAAAATAGCAATTGTCTTGTGGGTTTTGGTTACTGAATGGTGTGGGAAGTGGCGTCGTTTCGTTATGGGCTACGGTGCTTTTAAATTGCAATGTTTTTCTAGCAGTGCTTGCTTGAAATGATTTGTAGCCTTTCTGTCAACATGTGTAGATATACTTTATTCATAATTGCAAATAGCATGGGCTTTCAACTAGAAGGGTATGCAACTCCATGTAATAACATGAGACCTTCAAAATGAGCAATGACATGCTTCCCTTTTATGGCAATATTTCAAAAAGTATTAAATAAACGTATATGTTTTAGTATTATTTTGAATAAAAATCAATTTTTAATATGATTTAAGCATAAAATATATTCAATATCATATAAAAGTAAACAAAAGAGACCAATAAGAATAAGAGTTATCAAGATGTTCTCTTTGAGTATTGCATTGTGGGTAATTATTCAAGAACACATTCCAATAAAAAGATAATTTGTGGGAGAATGTTCACTTTCTGTATTGTCATAATTAGGATGAATTCCAATTTTTATTAAATTATCAAGATGTATGTAGAAGATCATGTTTTTATTTTTGAGTTATTTCTTTTAATCATCAATAAAAAGTACAAAATAAGATTTTCTTGGAATGTGTACATTCTCCAATTTTGAAAACCCATGGCAATGTTTATGTATGAAATATGGGAAGTTGCCTACCCTTCTAGTTGAAAGCCCATGCAAATAGTAATCATCAAATGGAGACATCTAAGTATGTAGTCACATACTGACTACTGCAACATAACGTATACTAATCAAATTTGAAAACCAATTTATGCAATCCTATCAGATTATGATTGAAAACATACTTTCATAATAATTGCAGTCAGCGTCTGGTTGAAAACTAGAACCTGGAACCTCTGACCGTAATTTATTGTTTAAGGAACATGTGGGATACCCCTGCCCTCTGCTTGTGGGGCAGTAATTGAAGCTTTTACATGGAAACCCAGATTCCTCTATACACATAGTCGTACAGGCCTCTCTTGAAATATTCACCATTATAGATTGTTCGTAGTCCGTCATAACCATCCCTGTATAGGTTTTAAATTGGCCCACGGAAGCCTCTGGAATGTAATTGAACAGTTACATATATTTCTGTTGATTCATTGACTTGCTGGTGGTTTTTGGTTGGATCTGAAGTTGTTTTGGGGGACATTCTGTCTATTCCCTTATTATCATCTGCATTTTGATATCACTTCACATTTTTATAAGCATTCAAAAACAATAATCAAAGTTTAAAACTATCGTTATTCTAGAAGGCTTGGGGGTTTGCAAGTGCTCCATTGCATCAAACATTGTATTTTTATGGCACAATGCATATTTTGTGTATCCGCCTGTATTTTCGCAATTATCTCTTTTTGAATCGAATGTTGAAGATCATGAACAAACGTAGAATACATTTTAAAGAATGAATAGTTCATCATTGTGATCAATTTTAACTTACTTGTATAATGAGAGCAGTCCGTTCGGTTAACCATGGTAACACCCGATGAGTCTTTATGATCCTTGCTCAAAAGACAAGTTTTTGTTGATGTACAATAATCAAATGATTCACAAATAAACGTTGTAGTATCTATACATTTCTTTGCACAAACTTCTGCCGATACGTCGTTCTGGATGTCGTCATAGTTTCCTGACATGACTTGCCCTGGTACTACTTCAAACTTATCCGTAATATATGATCCTGTGGGAAAATGAGAATGATAGTTGAATAGATAGTTGTTGGTAAAGAGGTTTTGCACAACAGTTTTAACTCAACGTATATGTATCTTAAATTCGTAATGCATTCACCATGATTTTAAACAAGATTGCTGATTTATTTTTTATTATTAAATTTATTTCAATAGAATACAAAAAATGTAAATACAGACATGTAAATTCTTAAATCGCCACAATGGCATTATATAAGAATAGGGGGCAGGTGGAAGTAGAAGTGGCAGAGCAGGCAGGGTCTTGGACTAGGGCAAGTGTGACGGGACTTGAGGATACTAGAGATGGATAAGAAGGAGGGAATTAGCTATTGTCTTTGATAAAATTAACAATGAGAAGTAGTATTTGGGAATTTGCATCTATGTTTAATTTGGGAATTCCTGTTTTCAAAATAGCTATGAAATCAGTTTGAGAGAGATTATGACTGAAGATGTTTGGTTCGAGATCAGTGAGTTTGTCCATGAATTGCTGTCTTTGTATAGTAAGTAAGTCACATTGAAAGAGAAAATGTTTCAGAGTTTGTGGTTTTCCACAAGTGCAATTAGGGCTGTCAATAGACTGAAAGTTGTGAGCGTAGAACTGGGCTTTGAAGTATAGGTCAGCTCTCACTTTATTGAGAACTATTTCTTGAACCCTTGTTAGATTAAGCTGGCTTGTTGACAAAATCGAGGGCGTTTTTTGGAAATGTACTCTTTGGTGTTTTTAAAATTCGAAAGAGTATTCTTAGATTTAATAGCAGGTGGAAGATTGCTCCAATTTGAAATTGCAGCTGGTATTGCTGAGGTGGAGAATCTATTTGAGCATCTAATGGGCATTTTAAATGCTTCATTATATCTCAATACTCTGTTTGCATGGTTTCTAAATTTGTCAAAAATATCAGTTACATAGGGAGGACTTGTACCATTTACAATTTTGAACATAAAGTTGTTAATCTGGATACTGCGTCTTGATTCAAGAGTTGGCCAATTGAGTAGGTTTAAAACCTTTTTTGAACTGCTCCCTTGGATACACCCAGAACAATAAAGTGCAGATTGCTGATAGTTTACTTATAATATATTACAGGTATGTTATACGTGTAGTATATAATTGTTGTATGTAGCTTAATGTTGAAATATGTGAATACATGGTATATGTGGTTTTGAAAGATTTTTATCACCTTCATCAACTTCAGAGTTTGAAACGTATATATATAGGTCACCGAGCCTAATATTCCATATATGTTTGGGTAAATTTCTCAATTACTTTTATAAATTACTTAATAGAAACCCTAAGATGATTATTCTCTTATGACCCATATTACTAACATACTTGAATAATGGTCGCAAAATGAATGATTTCTAAATGAACCCTCCTCTGCTCCGTCAGCTACATGTTTTTCACTAATCTGGCATTCTCCCATATTGGGGCAGTAATCGAACGATTCACATCTTGGGACATCTTGTGATAAACACATAAGGGCACATTTCTAAAATACGATACAAATAATCTTGCATCAAGTAAATATCCAATTATTTGCATCCTTTGGTTCTTCATATTCTTTATACGAATTAATGAAGTTTGCATCATACATTAACTCTTACTATTCATACGAATCGAAGTACAGATTTGAACAATTAATAGAGATGTTTCGCATGTTTTTAGCCAAACGTATGTAAAATCTGCGACGCATTCACCAGATTTTTGTTGATACGTTTTAGCTATACAATCCGTTCTGAGAACCTCTCTAAAATCGTATATGAATAATCAGGTTGCACATTCACAAATATATATTTATTCAACTAAATAAATTCCTTATTTTAACTTACAATGACATTATGATTGTAATGACATACCTGAATCGTTATACCATATGACACCTTTAATTTATCGATGTACATTACTCGACTGGCATCCTTGGAAAAGCGTTTTACATACGTATCTAAAATATCAAAGCAATTCAAGCAATGCCATCATAATAATGTTACTAAAAATGTTTATTTTTATCTAATTGTTCTTAAATACCTCATAACACTGTAACTTAAATATTTCCATTGAATCAAATGTGTCCTTATGTACCTTGATAGTTGTTTGGATCAGTCAGGATCCCTTTCCTCACTTCAAATGCTGACAACCTCAGGCCATATTTGAACTTAATATTTATTAATCCACTGTATACAAGATTCTGAAGGCGGCCAAAGTCATCATCTGCAGTGTTGAATACAGTGGGATCTTTAGCAGCAAGATCGGGTGCTACAATAAATGTAAGCGTCTTTTTATTATTGATGTACTAAATAATATGATGCTATTGTTCCATGGATTTAGTATTTTTAGTCGTATTAAATCGTGTTTTAATCGGTTTAAAAATGATCTTTGATTCCTTTATTTTCATTATGGTCCTCAAGTAACTTATTTGTATTATTGATATTACAAAGTTATTAACTTACGAAATGGAATTGGTAGAAGGGAAGATGTCAGATGGACATTGTCATCATCGAAATCAATCTGAAATACAAAAGCGCACAATTTTATCCAATAAACAATAAATATATACACACCAGACGACGATATTTCTGATTGTAAAGATTATGTATATTAACAAAGGGGGAAATCCCCAAAGTGTCAAAGTAAAGAACACAGCAGAACATTGTAAATGAATGAATACTATTGAATACCTTACTATTGGAGTAACGAACAATGGATGTCGACGTCATGTTAGTCAGGGTCTCAACTGCTACGTCAACCTGATCTTCATCCATAATAAATTTGCTGATGTCGGCTAAAACCAAATTAATTTTCCAAGATACATTAGTATTTAAAAGCAAGACTGTGATCGTGTAAACAATCGGACCATTTATTATATATGTGCAAATTGTAAACAAAATAAATGTTTAAAAGCAATTTTTAAATATTTGAATTCTATCTAAAAGAGTCCGACCGTGTAAAAAATCTGACCATTTATTATGTATGTGCAGATTGTGAACAAAATGCAAACAATATATAGTATATTAAAAATGTGGAATTTATTCAAAACTCACGAGAAAGAGTGTAGAATACCCAATGTCCACTAATACCGGTTTCAGTAGCAAGAGCAAGGTGCCTCACTCGCAATGGGGCAGCGTCTTGATACGCCACAAGGGGATCAAAACCTGCAATGTCGACGGAATATGAGTATTTTATTAGAGAATTACCAAGTACAGATATTTGTTAAATGATACCATTCCAGACCCATTTTGAATAGAAAAGTAACTTAACAACATACGAATTACAAGTGACTTTTTGATACCTATTATATTCGATCTTCCAAATTCAATTTTGCCATTCTTCCAGCTGACCCAGAATGTTCGCCTTTCGTTTTCGTTCAGGACCCCGGGACAAGGTACTCTTGCAACAGATTGCTCAGCTGCAAACTGGTCCTTAATCATACAGTCATTATTCTCATTTCCACCTACAATATCGCGTGTTTCACATGAAGTATACAGGGTGGCAAAATACAAAGGCACTATACATGTAATATAATTATAAGCAAATATTATAATACAGAAAGTTCGTAAATATAAACTGAGTTTCAGTTGTAAATCAGTAAGCATCAAATAATTCTGTGATTTAGCCATGCCAACCAGTATGTAAATGTACATGATATTAATGTTAGGGCATCATAATATTGTTGATGCATTTGGGAGTGCATTTCACTGACCTAATATAAGTTCATAAACTTTTCCCGTGTATGTATTCATTTTTGAGGTAAGGAGGATATGAGCGTCCATCTTAGCTACAAGTTGAAAGACAAAGCCTGTCTCCCATGAGATATCAACACCCACAAATTGATATTTGAAGTTGGGAGGGGTGTCCACAACCAAGGCACCTATGAACATACATGAAGTGTGAGTTGATATAAGGTATTACACATACATATAGCCAGCTATACCAGTATATTGTCACATTACTTATTTTTTATTATTTGAAATCAAAATGAATTATAGATGCAAGGAGTGAAATTCGTCAAATATTTTCTAATAAATGTATTAAGCTTTTAAAAATGTTAATGTTTGGTTCATATTTTAATGACTTTAAATAGACATACCTAGTTAATCATGCCACTTAATGAATATGAGGTTTTTCATAAGTTTCAAGGTAGAAAAAGAATTCACAAAATATTCAAATTCAGAAAGTAGAAATTTTGTGTATAAGCATTGCTGGCTGCAAAGTATAAGATCAAAAATCAAGCCATCGATAATATTACAGTTTCCAAAGTGGTTTAGAATTCATTTTAAAATATCATGTTTTCGACCCATATAAAAATGGGAGCAGCGGTAGAATCATATTAACCTTAAACAGACCGATTTATTTGCCTCTTTATTCAAAAATTATTTCTATCACCCTTTTGCCTTAGGAAAATACTGTTAAACCAAGGTGGGTTTGAAGTCACGAACAAGAGTTACAAACTCACCTGGAAGACCCAGTTTAAACAAGCCAGGTATCTGGTTACCATTGACAGAAAAGAGGGCAAGTGCCATTGGTCTGATAGGTTGTGTCACTTGATATGACATAAACGTATTCTGTCCACGAACGCTACCTCTTCCTACCTGTATAAACAGGTGTATGGTTAAAATATAACAAATGAGATCAAAAGTTGATCATTTCCACTTGCGTCTTTTTTAAAAATAGCAATAATTTAGCACAATTCATTTTTTTATCTTGAAATCTACTTCAATTTTGACAAAATAAACCACTCTATGAATGGCTAATTTAATTATACGTCAAGGGATAACGTACCTGCACGTTACCATTGGCCCATGAGATCCAAAATTGCCTGTATTCGTTTCCATTGAGGATACTTTGAGTGGGTACTTCAACCCCCTTGGAACCAAGAGCAATTGTGCTGATCGAACTTGCCTGGTTACCACGTACACCTATGATCATTTGAATATTAAATAAACAAATAGTGTAAGATCATCAAAGTATACCAGAGAAACAACAAGACGAAACACTACTGGATTAACATGGTTAAAGAGCCCATATTGATGCCCATGTTGATTCTGACCGAGATCACATTCACAACCATATGAGTGGCATAACAAATATCATTAACATACTGCTTATTGCCTAAACTTTGCCAGATCGGAAAATTAAATGTCGGAAATATCATATTCATAATGTTATCCGAAGGGAAGTTTCTTGTTGTCCACCCCCTATGGCTTAGTGCCAGAGTCAAGGTTACCACTATCGCTTGGCTTCGGGTTCGATTCCTGGTTCAGACAAGTTTGTTTGTGCGTTATGTAATTCTGGGTGTTTGATTGAGTTGTTCACGACTCGTATAAAAGGCTGCGGTGTGTACTTGTATGTCTATGTACCCGTTTCTGGCTCTGTCTTCGAGTGTACAAATATGTAAAATACGGAATATACCAATGAGGTATTGCTCGCCAAATATGGCGGTAACCAAGATACAATACAATCAGGAAAATTAAAATTAGAAAATGATAAAGTTTACTATTCGGGAAATTAACCACTCGGGTTAAATACCAAGAATCAAATGTTCTTTTGACATTGTTTAGCAACTAAGCAATAGTAGGTGACAACATCTTAACTTACCTAAACCAATCTCGTATACTTTGTTATCAGATCGTCCATATATTTCCGATAGTAGGAGTCGTACCTCTAGCCAGGCTTTCACCTCAAATGTGAAGTAATCCTTTTGGAAAAGTGATACTTCGATCCATTCGAAAACAAAGGGATCTGCAACTCTCACTATCAGGGCATCTGAAAACGGACATATAGCCTTTGGTTAAAACAGAATTTATCGCTAAAAGCTTAAGACTGAAGCTGTTCCTTCAGTGACATTAAAATGCGAATACTAGAAATGAGCGGGGTCATACCCCGGAGAGACGCAATGTAATTGGCAAAATAATTTTTCTGTTACTAAATCAGTTCCATACCTCTTTTAAATGACATCACAAAATTGACGAATTGTGAAACGCTTTCCTTGTAGCAGTCACTAACGTCAAAGTTTCTCAGATGTGGACGGTTTGAGTCGAAATCAAATGCATTGACATCTGCTATTGCTGAATTCTAAAGAAAAATGAAGGTGGTTGTAGCTACCTATAGGCCTGAAAATAACTTTACGATAAAGCGTAACGATAACATCATTCTGCTTCATATTCAGGCATAAAAGTGGGTGTCATCGACTTAGGTTTTACTTGAAGCGAGGAAACGATTTGATCCCCCATATTGAAGTATTACAGGTCCATCTATCACGGACATATTTTAAAAGCTTACGTACAATATTTCGTCCTGCATCCAAAGGACTTCTTCAGTTACTGTGGCGGGAAATTTGACAATACCACCAACTTTTGAGACGTTCCTCTCAAGTTTTATAGATTCGTCTGATTTAAATAAGTGCGTGCGAATACAGTTGAGAAACAAAGAAAGTGGTCAGTCATGGGATTTGAACCAGCAACCTCTTCACTAAAATATTGCTCATGTTATACTCACTCACCTGTAGACTAAGTGACAGTTTCATGGGCTCTTGGTAAGGTGTACCTTCATAATGTGTCTTTCTCACTGTCCAATTTCTCTAATAAAAAGAAATTGGGTATTTATGTGATTGTCAGTGAGTACATTTTAGATAGAATGGTTCACTAGCATCAGTAAGAAACACAACAAGCAAATCTAGAGGGAACCACAAATTACAATGACAACGTTTGGTTGTCAAAGTCCTGAAGTGGGTGTAAATTTTCAGTTAACTTTGGGTAATCTATAATAATCTTATTTAATAGCTTACAGATGCAATGTACCAGGTTTTTCCGAAGGTGAGAGGATCGTTGGAAGGTCCTGGCTTAACCAATTTGTCAACTGTGACTAAACCATCGCGGATGGTCTCCTATAAAAAATAATTATTACACATTAAGGCACAAATACACATCGATATAGCCTAAAAATACAGATATGCATTATTTTTTCTTAAGATGTACCAGATCGACAACATGTTAATTTTCATTATAGTATGGTTTACAGGCTATCGCGACTACCATGGTGTTATCGAACCACGTATTATATATTTTTGCTGGGAGTATTTCCATAATAACAAAAAGGAGCAGGCACGTTATTCGGTATTAAGTTTGAGTTGTCTAAAAATAGCTTGTAAATAACGGACCTGCTTCTTTTCAAATAACAAAATGAATCAAGATGGGCAGAGAATGAACATAAAGAAATTAACTGATTTTAAGCAAACAAATTCCCATCATCCCAAACAGTGATCTACATGTATCGTATAAGGAAGCAGTAAAACCCCTTCCCAACTATTCAGAAACAATTTAAAAAGAAAACAAGCCCAATAACATCAAAAATACATGTAGTTGTGACATCGAAAATAGTTGTGATATTGAACAGTCGAAAGCCAGTCCCCGTATCTATAAAAGGGTCAATCCCCGTATGCATTTGGAATTCAAGATTTCCTCAAACAAAATTGAGACATACCTGTCCCATATGTGTGAATGATGAATCAATGACCACTAGTTTTTCTAGGTCAAGCGTAAGGCCTTCTATTATTGGAATCTCCATACCATTAGGTGTGAAGGTATCTGGAAGGCAATCTAGCTCAGATTCACCCAGATATATCCTGTAGACAACCTCTATAACGTAAAGAACACAACACGTGACTTAATTTCCTCCATTTCAACCTTCAATCAACAACTCTGAATAAGTGCAGATATTCATTGATTGCATCCAACGGTACGTTTCTTATAACCTTTGGTGATTTAATACCTTGCATCATGTTATTTTGTTAACTCTTTATTATCAAAGATGAAGTTAACAAATTACATCAGAATGAACAAAAAATTTCCTTTGAATGACTTAGACACTTACTGTTTTTGAAATCATACACACTATGCGACACTTCCGGATTTCCTTGTGCGTCTACTGCATCTGTTCTGCGTATCCTTACGATCTTTCTGTATTTGTCATAATTTATCTAGAAATATACTACACGCATAATATCTATATATAATATCTAATAAAAATGACCAAGGTTATAAATCAGAGCCAGCCATTTATCAGTTAATTCAGCAAGTTTGTATTGTTTTTGTGACTTTTACGACATAGTCTGTTGAAGAAGCCCAACAGATGCCGTCTCTTGTATCATTTTCTTTCTCCTCTCTCCCGAACGAAGTATGTTCCATTTGTTTTTTTCATTTTATTTATCAACCATTTATTTAGAAAGAATTGGGAATAAGTAAAACAAAATACAGTTAGCATTTTATTTGTACAAGAACATATGCTTCTTATAATTTGTTATGTTTGGTTCTTCAAATACGTCTCAAGCCTGGTAGGACTTTTTATTAATGTACTTATTTCACGAAGAAAATTTTTCAATTGCTCGAAGGCATTTTAGAAGAGTTTGTAATAACATTAAATAACAAATACAATATAATGGAAAGAATATCACTTACAAATGCATAATGTACTTGTTTCGCTACAGGAACGATGATCTCGAGCATCGTCGAGAAATAGCTCGAGAAGTCCTGGCTTTGAAGTGTCGGTACAAGACACAAAAGAGTTGCGATGAACAGCAAGGAGATCTTCATAATGCTAAAATCAAAAATCGTAATTCATTATTTGCCTTTCGTATCAAAAACCATGACCTGGTTAAGGACATTAGCAATAAACCAAACACAGCAGAAACTACCAAGGAAATAGGTGAATGTGAAGACATAAAAGTCGTGGCTTTATGTTGCCCTTTGCACTATTCCAATATATAAATACCTAGATCGATAGAAAATATGATATGGATAGAACGTGACTGCCCTGAAGATTTGCAAGTTGCTGAGGCTGATCGAGTTTTTTTAATTTCTTATTTGATTATTCATTGTGATATGGGTGATCAATGTCATATATCCTGAGGGTTTATAAACTAATCTATTTACTAAAATTAGATATAGTTATGATGAATTGTAAAATGCCATAAACCCCAATCAGAAACATTGAGCACTATCACCACAGCCCATTACATATATAATCTGGGCCTAATTGAACCTTACTAGTCTATTCATTCAATTATTTAAATTAAAATATTCAATTATGAATTGCTACAGAAGTGATCATGATACATAATACACTGACTGGATCGTTTCATTTGATCTATGAGTTTTGCTTGGTTCAGGTAGTATTCCTACATATCTCCTCTAAGAGAGAAGAGCGCTCAGTGCTCGTGCGTACAAATGCACCTATGTGTGTTTCCTGTTTATCTAGTTTTTTTTGTTTTCTCTAAAACACCTAAAATCATTCCGATCTAATTAACTAATTTTAAAGACGTACCTGGATTTGGACACCGCTTTAGTCACTACTGCGTCTCAATGATGCGTAACGGCGATGCGTAGTGTGATTCCTTAATTATTCAGGTCGGTCTAACTCGAAATGCGAAAAAAACATTAGAAGCTATTTTATTCTAACCTGACCTATTATCTGATAGATACTTTAATTGATTATTCAAAACAATGGTGCCAATATGTCCAAGGTTATTTAAGATACACGAGTCACTTCATGACACTTCCCTTATCTACACTTATTAAATCTAAAATATACAAAGCAGAAAGGGGTATTTTTTAATAAAATAAACACACTTTAACCCTGATAAACAATATAAGCTAATCAAACCATCGTACTTATAACGGCGGTGAGTCGAAATTATGTTTTATTTGACCATTTAGATTCGAAGGAATCATATTAACGTATTAATTTTTTATGAAAGCTTTCGTCATTATTAAATTATTTCGTCCATTGGGGCATCCTAGTAAAACATTTTGTGTTTACGAACTCTTTATTTTTTTCACAATTGTATATTGTTTGGTGAGAATTACTCCAAATATAAATGAGTTTATCAATATAGACTCCAATGTCTACAATTATCTACATCATTTGTCAATGATTAAACCAGCTCATATCGTAACTTTATCGAAGTGTCACTATCTAGTGACATTGTTTTAACTTCATTTGATTATAGTTTTTACTTAATAAAACACTTTTTGACGAGAGTGAGCACAATCTGTGTTTTCGTATTATAACTATCAAACTGCTGTACTATTCTTCAAAATGACAGACATGTGTCAAAATTGTTTTTCACGTACTCTAACGTCAACGTATATCATGAGAACCTTTTTGGGTATATGAGAAGCATTCGATACTGTAAAACATCATCATCCATGATTATAAGTTTGCATTGTTTACAAATGTAGAGATAGGGGGTCATGAGTGATTCGAAATTTGTGTTCCTACAAGCACAAAACTTGTATAAGTAAAGTTTTTCGGCTCTTGGATAGCACATTTTTTTCCTTTAATTCTTATGTTTATAGAAATACATTTACAACAAAACTTTTTATGTTGAGCCAAAAAGGTAGAGTTTTGTTTATTTGTATAAATATTGTAAAATAAAGCTTGAGAGCATAAATACTCAACTATCTTTTATGAAGCTGTAGTGTTCTACACTCCCCTCCATACGTTTTGGCAACCATTTTCCCCATAAGCTAACGTGTAAAGGGCCTCTATGTTTGTATTTTTATTTTCATAAACTGCAATGGAAAAACTGATCATGAAGTGTAGGTACATGCGCCCTTTGATAGGTAAAAGTAAGGATGAGAAAACTAAATAGACTTTTTTGGCTCCATAGTACAAGGTGGTTCAAAAAATGTGAACCCCTGCGACAGGCTATATTTTCCTTAATACATGCATAAATTGGCTTATATTATCACATCTTGTAGAGAAAGAATTGCAAATGTTGAAGTTCACATTTTATCGATTTTCAGTGATGTTTGGTTAGGGCTTATAATTTCTGCAAATTTCAAGACTATGAAAAACGTATTGTACCAATAGAAATTTTAGACCTTCCTCTACAATATGTGAAAATATGAAAGGATTCCTGCAGGTAATGAAGGAAATATAGCCTGTTGCAATAGTTCACTTTTTGGACCACCCTGTATATTGACGTAATTTTATTTTAAATTATAACAAATGCTTTTTACCGATAAGGCGCTAACAACCGCCAATAGCTGACTACGGGAGCTACCCCGTACACCCTCTGGATATTAAGAATTAGATTGCTAGATAGTCTTGATATCTCAAGGAACATCCCAACTTCAGGACAGATGCATATTTTCACAGCAGAATTAACAGCTGCGCCGTTAGTAGGTCATATTGCCCTAGTAGAAAATATCGTCTGTTCATTTGGAATATTGTTTAAAATCCCTTTCTAAAAGAAGTGTTATATCTATTACATATTTATACACTTTAGTGTCTTCATTTAGTTTTAGTTTTTCATTTAATAATTTTACGGCTTCATCAATTTTTACTTTTAACACACAGTCCCTATCTACTGTTTATCAGAAAGGATATTCCTTATGATATGATAACATGTATTCTTATATCTTCGATTCAGATACCATACGTGTATCAGTATAGGTAAATTTGGAATGCATCACAATAACTAATCGGTATGGGTCGACTAGAGTAACATTACCAATATGGCCGCAACCAAGGATCCACCCGATCCTAAACTTAATCCCCCTAAAGCAAAAACACAATCAAATAGTTTTACATACTTGTTATTTTTCATTACTGGAATAATTGCGTCGATCCTCGTATTGAAATATGGAGACATTTCAACAGCGGCTACTGTGAAAGATCGAAGTGAACTGAAGGAGATCCTTGGTGAGGAGGGAAGTATTGTATTCAATGCGATCGATCAGGACGGTGATTTTACTTTAACACCTGCAGAGTTTGTCAACATTGTTGAGAGACTAACGGGAAAGGTAATGTATGCATGGCTACATCTAAATCTTAGGTATTATCTGTTAAATGAAAAAACTGAAATGGGAGCTCGATGAAGGGTACCACAGCAAAGCAATTCGTTGTGAGCTCAATTGTTTCGAAATTCCAGCATGCGCAGATTATTTCGATTAGTTGAGAGCTCGAGTTCTTATATAATCAACGACCAGTTTAACCATGTGATCGATGCATTAACTTCGAATGTTTTTCGGAAAAGTTTCCATGTCATGGGTTCAGAATACTGTTGCGTAAATAGACATACCTACCATTAAATTCTAATGAGGCGGATCTGGGAACCAACAAGGGGGGGGGGGTCAAACTTCTGGTCGGAGAAAAAAACTTTGAAATTTTGAGGCCCATTTTCTTCAAAATTTGGCTTAAAATTAAAGAATAAGGCCTTAGAAGGCCCATTTATGACCAAAAATGCCCACTTTTGGGGCCCTAAGGCCTTTTTTGGCTTAAATTCTTTTTTGGCCCACCCCTGCCCCTCCCAGATCCGCCAATGGGGTATATCCTTTTCCACCTTCCCACCACTTTTAGTTACCACCAGGGCCAAGGATTAGACGAGTAGATCTAGAGAATACGGATGAAGCTGTAGTCGAACTGAGGGCAACATTCGAGCCAATGTCGCTGGAAACCCTTAGGAGTGCGTCGGACGAATACAAACCAAGTTTCTGGGTCAGTTTTTGTCACAAGTTGAATAAATGCATCTTATGCATATAATTTTTAGTTTGAAGTAATTCTCGCTTGTTGAAAAATTTCTAACAGAGTTTCTTTGGTAATTGAGTGTCAAAGATGCTGCTGTTCCCAGCCATAGATACTTATATAGCTGGTTTTCTATGATATATATTTTAAACAAGCTCGTTTCGTAATCGTAAGATATTTGGACCTAAAACATGTATGACATATTATTTTCTTCAAACAAAAAGCATCATACTGTGTATCAAAATCAAAATTGCCAGCATAGTATTCAAAAGACATGAGTATAATGATTCCCGTTGACACCAACGTGAATTTGCAAATTCCCCGTTTTAAACACGAATCTCTGAAGCTGAACTGGTATCTGAAATAGACAAATTAGCGCTTGTTTGTATGTGCGCTATACCATGGGCTTTCAACAAAAGCCCATGGCTATACACATTACTATATATTGATTCATGTACTTTCCGTTCACAGTTACGTTGTGAAAAACATTGCAAACTTAAACTCTCTATTGTCTTGCTAAGAAACGTCATTAAAGCATATGAAAATAAATTATCTCCCAAATTGCACATTATGTCTACGACTTTTACAGACTGACTCAAAGACTCTCTCGGGGATTCGAAAATGGGAAACTGTCAGCCAAGAAACAAAACTTTTTACAACGGCAGAAATGTCAGCATTTTTGCCCGATTCTAAAAACCCTCAAGTCGGCAAACCATGGCGCCTATACGAGGGGTATACAAAGAATATGTTTGAACCCCTGTCTCATGAGCGATATCTACCTCCAAAGATAGTGGACGCTAACGAGGCCTTCTTAAATGAACTTCTACTTATGTTCCATCCCCGCCCTTTTACCCAGATGAGGTTTGACCCAAACGGAGGCGTGGCTGTAGTGAGGGCAGAATCCGAGAAATGGCTTGACATCTGGTTTAGGTACTACATCCATATTCAATTTCTTCTGTTCAGTATTAAAATCTAATTGTTTGAGTTGGTCATTTGAAAAATCAGGTTTGTCAAACATTCTTAATTACTTGGCCTTTTTGGGCATTACTTGGCCTTTTGGGACTTTTTTGACAAGTTTTGGTCGAGATTCAAATTTCTCCCAAACTTATGATTGAATAACAATTTTGTAACTTACACTATCGATGGTTAGCATTATTTTCCGTAAAGTCTATTTAACGTTTTCCAAGAAGTGCCAAAATACGTTTAGCGAGAGGACTTCATAGAAGCTTTAAACGGCAATAAATTCGATCAAGAGGCGACCAATATTTGAGCATAGATATGCATTCAAAAAGATTAATTTACTCATATACTGTATTACAGCTGTAGTATAATGTCCCAGTTATGTTACCAGTGGATCATTCTGATACTCATCACATCTTTCTGTCTTCAACCAGAAATATCATACTAGTGTGAAGCTAATAGAAGGCCATGATTTCTCACGATGCCAGTGGAGCAGTTCATGAAAGGTGGTGATATCGGTGCCACCCGGTCTCGTATTGATATTTTATCATCTATTGTAGGTTCCATGCAGAATTCCAACTAAACGAAGCCCCAGCGTTGCCATTTTGGTTTACCCCTGCCCAGTTCACTGGAAACATTGTCATCTCCAAAGATGGGAGTAGTGTTAAACACTTTCATCTTTACGTACCAAGTGATAGGAAGCTGAATATAGGAAAGTATACATTTACGCAATTGCAACGGTCGATTGGTAGGGGTGGATCTAAAAATCAAGAGGCAGGGCTCGAATTGTGAAATTGTTGGCCCTTTATCTAAAAAGGTGCATGTGCAGTATGGCAAGTGTCTATATTTTAGACGGTCATATCTTTCACCATGAGTACTTTCTGGGCATAAATACAGTGGTTTTTATTAAAACCATATGTTTTCTTTCAAGTGAAGTCCCCATGATGATAAAAATATCAGTCGAACAATTCGAAAAATTATAAATAGGGACCCCACGTCAACATTTTTTTCAAAATGTTGAACTTATTTGCTCAAAAGAGGATCTTCTTTTTCTGATTTTTATTGCGTGAAAACATTATTCAACAAGGGGTCTAAAACATCTTCAAAAGTAGAATGGTATTGAAAGTCTAGTTTTGAAGATATAAATTTTCGATGACCAAAATCATGCTGAAAACAATGGATAGCATGAGTATTCCCTATGGGAAAATAACATGGGAAATGTGGTTTTAACTATATCGCATTTCAATACCCATCCCCTTTTTAGAAGTTATTAATATAGTGCTGAAGAAACTTTTGATACATTTAAATTGAGAAAAACAAGATCCTCTTTTTAGAAAATAAGCCTTACATTTTTAAAAAAAGTGCCAATGTGTGGTCCTAATCCATAATTTTTCAGAGAGTGGGATTGATATTTTAATATCATGGGGACGTCAATTTAAAGAAAACATAAATCATTTTAATGAAGACCACTGTATTTATACCCAGAAAATACTCATGGTGAAATATATGACAGTCTAAAATCGCCTGCCATACTGCACAGAGACCTTTATGCCCAATTTCTAAAAATAGGCCCAAAACTAAAAAGTAATTCCCAGTAATGCCTGTTTTTTACCTAAATTGCCAAGTTTATGCGGGGAGAAGCAGATTTTTGGCCCTAAAATATTGTAATTTTTTTGGACCCACCAAAGAGCCCGGGCCCCTAGCCTAGCCTAGTTTGGCACTTAGCAAATGGTTTCGTGTTTAATGAAGTGACTGGTGTTCATTCAAAATGCAAAACATGTTTATTTTCTAAGGTTATTTAAGTGTTTTTTGGATACAGTTCAATAGATTGTATTACACTGCATGCGATTTTATAGTTCTTTGCCGATATACAAATACCTGCTTAAATTGTTGTACTTAAACCGTGTTCATGTTGATCACCAATATAATATTGGCAAGCTTGCGCGAGGTCAGTCAAAAACATCTAAATAAAAACGACGCAAAAGCCAGATATGTCTGATATAGGAATTGGAGAAGCTTTGTGTGTAGTTCTTCAGTGTTTGCCCTTTATCCTGCTCATCATTGTGATTGCGGTCACGTTGTAGATATGGAATTCATGACGGCGCTCGATGACAAGGAAGGCACAACAGAGGTAGAAATCGGTTATATGAAAACAATGGAGCTCCAATCGAGTGGTCCGAGTTCAAAGCAGGGAGAAAGTGGAGACATTGAAAATGTTGAGTGGACAAAGAAAATTAGTGTCGAGGAGGCGAGAAATGCATTAGAAGTGAAGATGTATCCGTTTAAACAGGTATGATCTGAGATTTGCTTTCTCATATGGGCTATCATCATATACAAGTGGCAAGTACATAAATACTTTCCAGTGTCCCTTTGATTTGGAAACTAAATAGTACATATTCACTCCAAAAACAAGGGATTTAACTTGTCACAATCCATTTTTAAATTTCGCAACTTTAAAGTGGAATAATGTCGGTAGGTCTGGGTATGTAATATACAGCTACTTTTATTTCTGTACTTTGTGAGATATAAAACATTTCCTTCGGGATAAACCCTGTTTGGTATAGGGAACCTCTCAATTCTTTACATTTCTACTGGTTCATGCAAAAGTCACATCTCCTTCAATTCTCAAATTGATGGTTTGGCTTCTTTTTGTCTTTTCTGACATAGATATGTATCATTCCATTGGTGTAATTTCGGTATACTATGTCACTTTTTATTGTAGATTGATTATCTTCCCTTCGATGCTGCATTCGAGCGAGCAAAGGCTGAGAAAAAGTTGGTCCATTCGATTGTACTTTGGGGAGCCCTGGACGATCAGTCCTGCTGAGGTAGATTGAGATATGTTATTGCATGCATAAGACTTATGTTTGTATGTATATATTTATTGCCCTTTATATAAAGGAGATACATTTATAAAAATCAAACATGAGCATCGTTAGGGTCTGTAGAATATACCAAAACGGCTCCACTAAATTACAAAACATGTAATAGTAAAGTAATACAAATGCACATTATGGACCGGAAATTGTATTATTAACCAGTTTTTGTCATCTCTGCATATCCTGCAAATATCACTTTATGATCCATCTGACAATTTAAAACATCCCCGTGGTCTTAATCTTATGCGTTTGGTTAGTTTTATCACAAATACGTAATCACGCATTTTTCATAGCTAGTATTCACCTTAATTGAACCTGCATTGAAATTCATGTCATTATAAGTTTTATTATCATTACACGCGATATCATATTGTGCCAGCTTTTCACATAGTCACTGATCTGGTCCCTCTGAAAACAAGTTTTGTTGTCCGGTACTTCCCCACAAAAAATGATTGTACCGTTTGATAGAACAGACTTCCTTCATAAAGAAAACACCTCTTATATTGATAGAAACAGGGGCAAACGGTACCAAAATGATCACGAATCCAGGAAAACCACCGGATGGATTTACTTCAAATTTTCACACATGTTACATGGTAAGAAGTTCTAGAGCTGATTAACTTTCCATGTAACATGTGTAAAAAATTGAAGTAAATCCATCTGGCGGTTTTCCTGGAATCGTGATGACAAGAAAGTGAGACTCCAGAATGCCACCTTGTCTAATCCCATTTTAGTGCCTTTTGCCTCTGTTTATATCAATATAAAAGGTAGCATGTGACCTACCATGGATAAGAAAACCTATCAATACTTTGCACATATGGCGTTCGTGATCAACTTTAAAACGATTACCCCCCATAGAGTTATATATCAAAATGTACCTGTTCATATAGGGGTTCGATTGATCTACATCAAATTATAGAGAGTCAGGTTACTTTTTGAGATATCAGCGTCCATTTATTGTAACTCGCGTTTGCTACCATTTCCTCAATTCTGAGATGATGGGCAAACGCGTAGTAAACATGCTCACGTCGGAACTATTTTTGACCTACATCGCTATCTTCGTAATTCAAATGAAAGTTGAACTCCTCCTCTTTATTTTGATACCAAATAGTGGCATACTAGGTACCCTAGAAGCCAACTATGGTGTTATTTAGAACAATACTACAGGTTTTTAAATGGACTATATAGGGGTTATACCTTTTGGTGGATGGATATGGAACCTCATACCACAAGGTATAGGACTTTTTACCATAAAACATGTGTGAAAATTACATCTGTTTAGTGTTTTTTCTGGAATCACGATGACAAGATTTGTCTAAAAATCCAACATGGCCGCCAGAATGCAAGATGCCGGGAATTTAATCAGCTCTAGAACTTCTTACCATGTAACATGTGAGAAAATTTGAAGTAAATCCATCGGGTGGTTTTCCTGGAATCGTGATGACAAGAAAATGACACTTCAGAATGCCACCTTGTCTAACCCCATTTTGGTGCCCTTTGCCCCTGTTTCTATCAATATAAGAGGTGTTTTCTTTATAAGGGAAGTCTGTTCTTTCAAACGGTACAATCATTTTATGTGGAAAAGTACCGAACAACAAACTCCTTTTCTAGGCCCTTTTGGAAATCAGATCAGGGACTAACAATTTAAATTCATCGTTACACTTCACTGACGTTTCAATGTAGAAAATTTATATTCCATCCCTTCCATTGATAACCTTAGTCTATATATTGTGCTAGCTTTTCAAAATTGAAGAAAGTTCATCGATCCACTCTACTATCACCCAATGTGGTAAATATAAAACTTAAAATGGATGTGTTTTATCTCACTATCTCCATATTGACATTTCAATGTATAAAATTCATATCCCATTCCTCCCATTAAATAACCTTATCAGCTTTTCAGAATTGAAGTAGCTCATCGCACCACTTTACTATCACCCAATGTGGCAAATATAAAACTTGAAATCAATGTGTTTTTATCTTACCATCTCCTATGTTGACGTTTCAATTTATTCAATGATGCGAAATACTAACAACTAGCTAGTTTCAGGGACAGCTATGTGTGTAGAATATACGCTCTGAGAATGACAAATAATGATGATTTCCGCTAATAATATGATTCATTTAGTACATATCTGTAAATGGATTACGATGCGTACATAGAAATTATCCTATATGAGGTTCAGGATATTGGGATTATGCCCGAGGGCAGATATGTTATATACACGTTCAAGTATGGGATAAAACTGATATATACGATTCTTTAAATTGGGTTCCATAGAGATAATTCACAAACTACCAATCGAATGTATACAACCGTAGTTTTGATAACATCGTAACCGTAAAACTTCTTAACATGGAACAATTACTACATCCAGGTTATACATGCAATCTATTACAACACGATGCTCCTCATTGACATTAATTTTTCAATTCGTTGCATTTTTGTTTTTAGGTTCGGGGCGAACTCTACGCGATGGCGCGTTAGAAAGTTCGCCCGTTCTTCAGCTCCTTGGGGGCAACTATATCAGCAGTTGGTCACTCGTTGCAGACATTGAAAGTTTCCGAGACCAAACTGAAAACAAAGAAATTGCCACATTGGCAAAGAAAGCATTTGAAACATATACGTGAGTTAGTTTCTTTCTAGTTCAAAACAAGTTCAGTACGATGGGTGCGATCGGTTGCAAACCCATTTACTGGCAACGCACCTAGAGGAAGAGATCCATCCTAGCCCCCGGGTCCTAGCCATTTCATACTGGGTTAACCGTTTAGATAAGTGCAACTACCGTAAGGAATTCAATCATTGGGGTGATATCTTAATTTATCTTTTACCTAACTTACCAACTAAAGCGTGCAAAAAGAAAAAAAAAGTTTATTTTCAAACAATCTTAGAAAAATTACTGGATAGTCATCCAAGGGTCGTTTCCCCACTATGTACACATACTTGTACAAATGGAACATTAAGCAAATATTTCATTCCATGGAGGGCAAAACGCTATGGTATTTTTGATCATATGGTACTGAATCAGCAAATCAAATTACACGATTTCTAGCAATGAAATGAAAATTTTTATTATTTTTTATAGATTTCCTGTAGAAATCATGATTCACCATTATAACGGCACTATCCTTCATCACGAAAATTTAAACGAACTCATGGATATCACAGAGAATGAAGTGGAAAATCCAAGTTATCCACCAAAGTACGTATTTGCCATTCATTTAGAACTTATCGTTGTCTTTTTATATTATGTTAGTTTTATTGTTATGACTTGTTTATTCTGGTAATTTGAGTCATTTTCTGATTTCACCGGATGGTGCATTGGTGGTATAGGTTGATTTGTTGTGCAAGATGACGCAATTTGTTGTATGAGACGATATCATTTGTTGTACGACATGTTGCATTTGTTGCACGAGTTGATATAATTTGTTGTACGACATGTTGCATTTGTTGTATGAGACGATATAATGTGTTGTACGACATGTTGCATTTGTTGTATGAGACGATATAATGTGTTGTACGACATGTTGCATTTGTTGTACGAGATGATATAATTTGTTGTACGACATGTTGCATTTGTTGTACGAGATGATATAATGTGTTGTACGACATGTTGCATTTGTTGTACAAGATAATATAATGTGTTGTACGACATGTTGCATTTGTTATACGAGATGATATAATGTGTTGTACGACATGTTGCATTTGTTGTACGAGATGATATAATGTGTTGCATTTGTTGTACGAGATGATATAATGTGTTGTACGACATGTTGCATTTGTTGTACGAGATGATATAATGTGTTGTACGACATGTTGCATTTGTTGTACGAGATGATATAATGTGTTGTACGACATGTTGCATTTGTTATACGAGATGATATAATGTGTTGTACGACATGTTGCATTTGTTGTACGAGATGATATAATGTGTGTTGTACGACATGTCGTATTTGTTGTACGAGTTAATAGATTTTTTTGTACGTTGTACGACATATTTCATTTGTTGTACGAGACGATGCATTGTTGTACGGACATGTTGTATTTGTTGTACGAGATGATACAATTTGTTGTACGACATGTTGCATTTGTTGTACGAGTTGATAGAATTTTTTGTACGTTGTACGACATATTTCATTTGTTGTACGAGACGATGCATTGTTGTACGGACATGTTGTATTTGTTGTACGAGATGATATAATTTGTTGAACGACATGATATAATTTGTTGTACGACTCGGACATGTTTCATTTGTTGTACGACATGATATAATTTGTTGTACGACTCGGACATGTTGCATTCATTGTACGAGATGATATAATTTGTTGCACGACATGCTGCATTAGTTACGTTTCTCATACGAGACGATGCGTATGTGGAGCGTGATGATGTTGTTTTGTCCCTGATTAACATTGATCGTCATGAATACTGTATGTTCATGATATGTGAATATATATTTGTAGATATGGAGACAGTACAACATACAAGTATAGCAAACTCTTGGAAAGAGGCGTTCAAATCATGAGTGACATTAGTTCATAGTATTTGTACAGACTACTTCATCTATTTAATCCACGTATTCCTAGTCCATACTACAAGGACATTACTAAGGATCAAGACCAAGACGTAAAAACAATTGTGGACAACGGATTTGGAAACCAAAAACACACTGCTCACCAGAAATAAATGGCATCTTGATTTTAACACCATTCCCAGACATGGTGATTTGAGACTTGATACCATTTAATAATGTCTAGATACACATACCTTAAGTTTTGTATATTTTACATTTTGTATAATCTCAACTACTAATGTATGGTCACTTGAATGAAAATTCTCTTCTTTTTAACATGGGAAATCCTCACTTCTTCAAATCCAGGTGTCATTTATTTATGGTGAGCACTGTACATGTATCATCATAAACATATAATCAAAAAGTTGTGTATTGCATATAACTGCGCATCCTCCGAACCCAGGGATATACGATTAACTGGATTCTCCTTGCGGATCCTAAGCCTTGTGTTCGGAGAATGGATGGAAAAATTCATGTCTCCTCATTATTATTTCGAAAAGTGGGGAGGGCGTCTGATTTTCTGTTATTTTGCGGATTTTCTCCTTGCGGATCCTAAGCCTTGTGTTCGGAGAATGCATGAAAAAATTCATGTCTCCTCAATATTATTTCGAAAAGTGGGGAGGGCGTCTGATTTTCTGTTATTTTGCGGATTTTTTCCTTGCGGATCATAAGCCTTGTGTTCGGAGAATGAATGGAAAAATTCATTTCTCCTCATTTTTTATTCGAAAAGTGGGGAGGGCGTCTGATTTTCTGTTATTTTGCAGATTTTTTCCTTGCGGATCCTAAGCCTTGTGTTCGGAGAATGGATGGAAAAATTCATGTCTCCTCATTATTATTTCGAAAAGTGGGGAGGGCGTCTGATTTTCTGTTATTTTGCGGATTTTCTCCTTGCGGATCCTAAGCCTTGTGTTCGGAGAATGCATGAAAAAATTCATGTCTCCTCAATATTATTTCGAAAAGTGGGGAGGGCGTCTGATTTTCTGTTATTTTGCGGATTTTTTCCTTGCGGATCCTAAGCCTTGTGTTCGGAGAATGAATGGAAAAATTCATTTCTCCTCATTTTTTATTCGAAAAGTGGGGAGGGCGTCTGATTTTCTGTTATTTTGCAGATTTTTTCCTTGCGGATCCTAAGCCTTGTGTTCGGAGAATGAATGCAAAAATTCTTGTCTCCTCATTATTATTTCGAAAAGTGGGGAGGGCGTCTGATTTTCTGTTATTTTGCGGATTTTTTCCTTGCGGATCCTAAGCCTTGTGTTCGGAGAATGAATGGAAAAATCATGTCTCCTCATTATTATTTCGAAAAGTGGGGAGGGCGTCTGATTTTCTGTTATTTTGCGGATTTTTTCCTTGCGGATCCTAAGCCTTGTGTTCGGAGAATGCATGAAAAAATTCATGTCTCCTCATTATTATTTCGAAAAGTGGGGAGGGCGTCTGATTTTCTGTTATTTTGCGGATTTTTTCCTTGCGGATCCTAAGCCTTGTGTTCGGAGAATGAATGGAAAAATTCATGTCTCCTCATTATTATTTGGAAAAGTGAGGAGGGCGTCTGATTTTCTGTAATTTTCGTACGACATAGTTTGTAATGCGGGACCCTCAAGTGGGGGTGATTCTATGAAACAACAAGTGTCCTCTGACCATCTATCAACCCCTGGATTCCCATGCTAGCCATGTTGATAAATGAATAACTTGTACCATACTAGAGTCCTTATATATAAAATGTTAAAAGAACCCCATGACATTTTTCATTTCTCATACAATCATTTCTCTTCAATGCATTTGACACCAGCAACTTATACCCATCATTGTGCTATCTGTTGTCTATACCCAATGTAAACGTGTCAACATTGCTTCCAGTAAAAAGTTAGCCTATGAAGTTTTCATCCGAAATGTTAAATAAAGGATGCTAATTGATGAAACTTAACTTTTATTATGCTATTGGGAATCATGTTTACATCGGGTGAGCCCCCGTATAGACTGTCCGGTACAAGCACCATATACTTGTGTCGATTGCGAAGCAGTATCATTATAATATATGTAATGTAATTAGATAATAGTGGATAATAAAGATATATAAGTATTATATAATAAAAAACCTTATTATGCTTTTGTTGTTTATTATCATGTAGATGGATCTATGTATATAAAAGATAAAGGCGTTGTGTTAAGAAATATCCGTGTAAGGAAATGTTTCATTCTGTATGTCCAAAACCTAGGGCACGGGAATGCTTCGCCCTCGTGCATTATCAGAATGGTGCATGCCCTCGTCATGCTTTACATGTTCAATATAGAATAATACGGGATTCTTTATACATTATATATATATTCTAATATATATATATTTAACTTGTAGGCAATCGACATTGGTTTATTTGAATGTACAACTATATTTAGAAAGATTGACATATATAGAAAGCAAAACTTACTTTTTCCCCAAAAAATGTTTGCGTCCCTAAGTGACAAATGCCAGTAAACACTTTTGATATAATTGCAAATTAGTTGCGACATTTTATTATTGGTCGAAATAGTGTGTCCTTTGTTCAATCATCGCAATGATGTAAATAAATTTATGTTTTGCACAGCGGAATATTAAATGATTTAAAAATTTCAACTTTTACTTGAAAAATGGTTGGACATTGAATATTCGGGAAAAACGCTGATTACTTACACTGCGTGCAGTGTCTAGTTAAACTACAAGACGAAGCTCTCTTTTAAGAAGTGAAGTCAAACGAATGCAAAGGGTATTGATGACTTTAACAATATAAAATAATCACAAAAGTTAACATACGTATTCGTATTATGTTACCAGTTTATGTTGTATTTATGTCCAATATCAAGCAAGTACCTGGTTCGCATGTTTATACATACTAAGCTCCGAGCTGAGCTTATACACGATTTGTTTGAGGCAAGGGACATATAAAAATCTGCCAAGTTTACTAGCTAGTTAAACTTCTATATAAAGATATTGTGAGATTTTAACACGCCAATTTGGATAACTTGTGTCAGGTGTTATCTTATGATATACGGATATGTCTGATATTGAAGCCGTCGGAAAAGATAGCAGCGAGGAAAAGGACACAGGGTGTTCTGATGAGCCAGTGATTACTGTGGAGGAAACGCCAAGAGAACAAGGTGGTCCTGGCGAAGTGGATGATCAGGCGCAACAGAAAAGGTAAGACTGAGTAATCATATCTAAAGTACAGTCAAAGGTCATAAGGCTCATGAATACGTTCACGGGATTCTAGAGAATAAGTGTTTTGTATGAATCAGTACTATGCAATTGATTTCAATTTCAGTTTAATGCATGAAGAAGGCCTAGGGTACTCCATTTCTGAATATATCCTGATTAATCCTTTCTAAAAGGATTAATTTGTTTCCTTAAAAGAGGGCGTTTACTACCTAATGTACTAGGCTCTAATACTTAGGGAAGGCCTTCATTAAGTATGGGGCACGGGATATATTGTTTTTACATTAACTGAAATTAAAGGTCTAATTTTAACGAATTTGTGATGTTTTATGGTTTGCCTCAATGTTCAAGTGCAAGTTCAGAAAACCGGTAAGAAATATGCGATGCAAATAATACGTGGACATATCTTCATCATCCTCCTGTCCCTTGTTTAAATCTTCTCCAAATGTAGCAACGACAGTCCCCCTTTGATCACTTATTAATGCATAGTTATGTTTGACGATTAACAATAATCCTCAAATTGTCATGAATTTCAGAACTATTGAAACTAAGGTATAAAATTGTAACCGGACGAACGGGGAGGGGAATGGGACTTTTAAACAGGTCTGTCAGGTTGCTAGAAGGAAGGAATTATACATGAACTAATAATCTGGTTATAAGTTCGAAGATCATGCAAATACGATATCAAGTATATACATTTTCAATATTAGCATGCTGTCAGACATGTCAGATATATATGATGTTTTAGGACCATGTTACATAAGTCATAAGACGTAAACTATATTTCGAAGCTTAAAGCCTGACATCCATGGATTATGGAACAACTCCAATAAGACCTGACTGATTATAAACAACATAGGAACGAGTAAATGAATGATTGGGGAGGGCCAGAGCATTCTCCGAACGGAGGGATCCAGACATCATCCACCATGGAAGGGACATAGTGGATAATGTCTGGATCCCTGCGTTCGGAGGATGGGGCCAGAGGGGCACATCGACCTTGAGTTTCAAAAGCCAAACAGCTTAATCCATTAATATAATCTTTATTATCAATAAATTAGGAAGTTTAATCTTAATGCTGAAAACAGATTTTAGATATAAATCGTAGTTCTGATGTAGCAATGTAATAAAGTTAATCCGTGTAGACCTTATGAGATTTGTATGTTCTCTCTGTTTACCCAGGAGTCTCAACAAGCAGGGTAACGTTTACAGTTGAATGCAGATAACGGCTACCGGCTACTGGATTGACCTACTATTTTATGGGCAAATCATACCTGCCACTGTGCCATCCATATTCAAAGTTGGTCATAAAATAGTAGGTTAATCCGGGAGGCGACAGCCGAAAGTTGTATTCGCGAATATAAGCTAAGTCTAGCACGAAATAAGCTCCAGAGAGCTTTTATAGAACAGGGTAGTCTTACCGGTGGAACAAGTAAAAATAAATGACAATTTGACTTTGTATTTCAGTGTTGATGCCAAAGGACCTGTGTTTGAGAAGCCATTTGCGAGTAGTACTCCTACACTGTCACCAGCCACCAGCTCTCGGGATCTCTCCTCCAGTTACAGATACAAGCGATCATACAACCCAATGCCTTCATACTCATCATCGTCAAGTAGGTGGCGGTCGGAGAGTGTTATGGATAGAATTCAAGCCAGGGCGACGGCGATTCTCGACCGCGATATGGCACTCGACCGAAAGGCGAAATTGGATGGCGCAATGGAACCTACGTCATACTCTGCAACTTATGCCAAGGATGATGATGTCGAATATGGTGGCCATAGGCATAGCTCTCGATATAAGCCACAGTACCGACTGGATTCAAGAACATATCGGGACAGCACGACAGGCTCCAGCAGTTATACACGACCATCTTCGTATAGTCGGAAGTATTATGCAGACGACAACGACACAGAGCAGACGTCCTCGACTTACAGCAGTAGATATCGATCACGTGACACCGATTACGCATCTTCTGGCTCCATCCGAAGTTCTCATTCTTCTATTGGAGGCTACTATAAATTGAAGTCATTGTTGAACGATGAGAAACCAAGCATTACAAGGCGTGTTAATACTTCTGAGATCACCAACCCAAAACTCCGGGGATATTTGAAAGAAGTTGAGAACATCGATGCCAAAATTGCTGCAGCTATGCCGAGAGCGCAACGTGAGTACCCAGAGAGGAGCGACATGTATCTAGTCACATATAAAGAAAAATACGTCCCAGTTAACGGAGCGGGGGTTACTGAAGCTGAATTAGAGCCGATCCGAATTAAATCCGAAAACGAGAACATCACACCTTTGATCAGTGATCGGGGCTCACTTTACAAAGTAGGCAGCTCGGACGGTATCTCCGATCGAAGAGTCAGGTTTGGTGAAGATGACAACAGCTCCACGGGATCGATCTACCTGGACTCTGTAAGGCAATCTCTAAGCCGAGAAAGGGTCAGGACACCAGTCGCTGATGATGATGGCGACGAATACACGACAAAGCCCTTTAGAAGTCGTTTCCTTCAAGCGTCAATGAATGACACACGAACCGGTCGACCTCGATCTATGGCCACAGACGATGATGCAGACTCAGATGACGATTACTACAACTTTGGTAACTGTCGTGTGAACACTGATCGCTACTATAGACACAGGCGTAACAATTACGATGACCTTGATTCGATCATGTATCGCTATGGGGCCTATAACCCACGCGAAAACTACGCAGTTGAAGACACCGTGTCGGGAGTCAGTAGTTCCTACGCGAACAATCTCGTCAATCGGTATAACAGGCAGAAGGAGCTCGGTGTATACTACGATCGTGAGCGTTCTGCTGATGTAAAAGCGCCTTCTATATCAACAGGACCACACGACATTCATTCGAGATGTTATCATGGATCAACCGATTTCGTTTTTGAAAATCGATACCGTTTACCGCAAACAACTAAAACCTCCATGAGGAGCTCGAGAACGACTTACTATCCGCCCGACGACGAAGACAACGAAAAAGACGCCTCTGTTAAAGAAACGAGATTTAAAATTCCACCTGTTGCTGTGGCAACGACCAGTAACACACCGACTATTACCATAACAACTGATGACCAACAGGATCGGACCATGGATGACGATGGGAGCGAAGAGGAGAGTTTTACTATAACAGAGACAAAGTTAGAACGTCCTAGCCATGAAGAATAAGTCCTTAATTATTTGACGATGTGCTGGAAATACTAAACCATTGGATTTTATTCAAGTGTTGTAGTGTATACACAGGGTTGGCAAAAATGCCCACATTTTTTTCATTTTGCCATACATGCATATATGGCATCGTAACTGCGATTTAGTCGCAAGTCATCATTCATCAAAAAGTAGACAATGGTTTTCTTGGAATCGTAAATTACGATCGTACCAAAAACGAACTCCAGTAAAACATTTTTAAGGATGTATAGATTTCAAAAATGCCTTTGTTTGGGATGCAACAATCAAGTATGATCAATGCGATTGCTGCATCCCGCCTCGCAAAACATTTTTGAAACGGTATCACCAAATAAAGAATGTTGATATTTTTGTCCCACCCTGTACATTGGAAACACTGTACTAACACTGTTTCAACAATTGTAATTTACATGTATCACAGTGATGTAGGTGAATTAATTTGATCCATGATTTTCTACAACGTTTCGCATGCATGCTTGTGTACTTATGGGATATCTTTGCCACGATATTTGGGAGAAAACTATCAGTAGGATGTGATAAAAAGTCTAGTTCTATCTAACACATTATTTATGTTTTAATAAATTGTAATAATATGTTTTTCACGGTATGCTTGTTCCTTGGTCTGTTTATCGAGCATTTAAGATATGTAGATACGAATGAAATATGGAGTAAATGTTGGACAAGAATTATGCAACATCAGAGTGGCATTCGTTATATACAGGGCTTCCTGGTCAACTCAACCCCAAGTCAACTCAACCCAAGTCAACTCAACCCTTAGTCAAGTCGACCCCAAGTCAAGTCGACCCTTAGTCAAGTCGACCCTAAGTCATCTCGACCCTTAGTCAACTCGACCCCAAGTCATCTCAACCCTTGGTCAACTCAACCCTTAGTCAAGTCGACCCAAATGATTTTACTTGTTTTAAGTAGATTAAAATACAATATAATCCAATTGTTTGTGCAGTTTGATTTGAAATCAAACTTCAAAGAAAAAAACATTTCTGTCACCTATAGATCAAAACAAAAATTTAAACTGTATCATAAAATCCCAATCTGATTGTTTATGACACCTGACATATGAGTAAGATAATTGAAAATAGAAAAACATAAATCCCATTGTTTGTTCAGTCTTGTTTTAAAATTTTACTTTAAAAAAATAAACATTTCTATCGCCTGTAGATCAGAAGGAAGATTTGAACCGGATCATATTAAATATTATTATTATTATCAAAATATAAAATCATTCAATACAAAGTAATGGATGGATGTTGGCACAATGCACATGTTGCATAAGTTACCTGTTGTCAAAAATACTGTTGCAACAATTTCGGTATAACAGAAAAATGTATAGATAATTTTTTTATTTCAGAGGGATTAAACAAGCTCAAATATTAAGGGGTGAAATATATGTATAGCATCGTGAATAGTCCTATTAAGATTAATCAAATATTATTTTGTTATTTATAAAAATTATAAATGCGTTAAGCATAAACTTCAATAGTTGAAAAAAAAAATCATCAATATCATACCATGAAAATAGTATATCTATTTGCTTTTTATGGTGGGGTCGAGTTGACTAAGGGTTGAGATGACCAAGGGTTGAGATGACTTGGGGTCGAGTTGACTAAGGGTCGAGATGACTTGGGGTCGACTTGACTAAGGGTCGACTTGACTTGGGGTCGACTTGACTAAGGGTTGAGTTGACTTGGCTTGAGTTGACTTGGGGTTGAGTTGACCAGTTACCTATACAGGGAGGGCCAAAAAACGCCACTTTTTTTTTCAAAATGCTATAACTTTTTTAATTTTTGATACAAAATTATAATTTGCATACCAAATGAAACTTGAGGTTGTTATCTAGCCATGGATCATGAATTATACACTTTCACTTGAATAAAATATGTCACCAGCGTCTCACTTAAACATGTGGTGTGCCATGAGAAATAAGCATAATTTGCAAAATGTTCCTGAACTGATACGACCTGATGACCGCCAAGCTAATGGCTCTAATGCGAACCCCAGTGAGTATAGGGTATGGGAAGGTCTCCAGGAGATGGTATGAAGGCACCCAATCAAAAATATAGCTAACATTTCATTGATACTGCTATATCAACAAGGCGACTAAAACTAAAATCTATCATCAAATAGGGTGGCGGACCAGTTGAACTTCTCTTTTAGATCAAATATAATCCTAGTTGAAGGACTTGTTACATTATATTATTACTAAGAACACTTGTCACTATATAACTGCAAAATTTGGGGTATGTAGGTTGGAAAATAAAAAGTTATAGTGTCTTGAAAAAAAGTGGCGTTTTTTGGCCCACCCTGTATATAATTATATATTTAACATATGTGCTACATAAAGTAGAAATTTTCATAAAACTTCCAGGCCTGGGTAATTCGTGCCAAGAACATCAAAATAATTTATGAAAATGCATTCATTTGAACAAATCCGTTCACATCAACTTCCCATTGTACAGTTTGGACTTAGACGAGAAAAATATAAACATGAAAGAACTGTTTATTCAACTTCTTAACATATTTCCCACTTTTCTTTTAAAGCTGTGAGCAATGGGACTTTAGCCTACCTTGCTCAGTCATGCTTTGTTCAGTAAAACCTGTAAATATTGAACATTTTTTTGTCGAGAAAAACGTTCAGTGTTGGTAGGTGTTCACTACAGAGAGGGTAATTTATACAGAAGTCAGTAGAGTATGTGCTGAGAAAGGGTGTCCATATAGAGATATGTTCACTTTATAGACAGGTTTAACTGTATCAAAATACGTAAGGGTTGTGTACTGGGAGGTTCTGGTTATGGGGTTTATCCAGAGGAAGATATGCATATCTACCTGAGGGACCGTAGGGACCGAAGGTAGATGTGCATATCTCACGAGGGATGAACCCAATATCCAAACCGACCGTACATAACTGCTTTATCCATACCCAAACCCATATTCAATCCCGACCAGAAATGACCTATTTATTCCATAATACATCCCTCTAAAATGTTACATTTTGATAATGCGAACATTATATTAATAAATGCATTGATATTGATATATTAATATGATATTGACCGAGGGAGCGCAGCGACCGAGTGTCAATATGATATTGCCCAAGGTCAATATCATATTTTCCGAGGAATAAAACCCATATTCAATCCCGACCAGAAATAACCTATTTATTCCATAATACATCCCTCTAAAATGTTACATTTTGATAATGCGAACATTATATTAATAAATGCACATTGTTTGTGCTCCCTCGGTCAACATCATATTGCCCAATGTCAATATAATATTTTCCTAGGAATAAAACCCATATTCATTTTATCAATTAGTCAAGGTTAAAAATAGCCAGGAAACCCAAAATAGGTTAATACGCTCCAATACGATTTTTATCCCGGGGACAATACGATTTTTTCATGTAATACGCTCCAATACGATTTTTTCCCGGGGACAATACGATTTTTTCATGTAATACGATTCAATACGATTTTTATTCCTTCATATTTCCCTGGGAAAACATTAGTATTATGGAATAAAATATATCTCCCGCTGAGCTTGTACGTGCGTCGTAACGAGTTCCGTAATTTGTCGTAGCTACCCTCGGTAAATACAATATATCAAACCTCGGTCCCTACGGTCTTTTGGGTAGATATATTGCATTTCCCTCAGATATATCCTGTATTAAAAACCTCCCATTAAATAACCTGAATGTTTATTACACCGGAACACCCTGACAACGGTAGAGTCAGATACCGTTGTCACAAATGGCGGACGTAACAGTCGCTTCAACTCTTTTATCACTTGGTTCTCATTTCATACGACCCTATCGTCTTATTATACTTTGTATGTATTAAGCTCTTGTGATGGTGTATTATGTGAAGTCCCAATTCCGATCAAATGTGGCCGTGAATCGCCACAATACACCGTCAGTTCCATATCGTCAATGACAACGGAATCTGAATTTGAAATAATAAACAGAGACAACGGCACGTGGTAAGATGTGGCAACGTACGATGGTGGATGTATTGCATTGGAGCAAAGGTAAATGACAAAGTCAACTAGACACTTTACCATCTTCTTTATAAATACCGTTGTCATCCCGATTTTACCTGTTTACAGCACATTTGACCCACATTTACCGTTGTCATTAATACAGCATCCGTTGTCCTGTGTCATATTTTGATCGGTAAAATTAAAGCCTTTATTTCGATGATAGAACATACGAGGATCGTATGAAAAGTTTTGAGCCCAACTATAAAGTTCAACTAGAATGTTTTAGCTATTTATTTTTCGACATGGTCCCCCTTGCGGTTCACACCCTTCTGCAAGCGGTGCTGCAGTGCTTGGACCTCTGTTTTGTAGGTTTTTGTCTGGGTAGTCAAAAAGGGTAGTTACAGCGGATATGACGTCATTGTCTCTGTCAAAATGATTCCCAGCTAAATGCTTTTTCATGCTGTTTGGGAATAGATGAAAGTATGGCGGAGCTAGATCAGGAGAGTACAGTAGGTTGGGAACAAGTTCAAAGCCACAGCCAAGCTCTGTTGCCATGGCAACCACTGACTTGTGGTGTGGAGCATTGTCCTTCTAGGGCCCCAACCTTCTAACAAAAGAGCAAGTTATTTACATAAAATGCTTTATTTAAAAAAAAGATTACAAAAATTAAATACATTTTAAAATGTTTTTGTTAAAAAATACCTCGAGATGATAAGAATATGATCATGTTGATTTTACAAGATTTAGATAAAACTAGTAATTACTCTACAGCATAAAATATACATAATAACAAAGCAACAATACATATATTAAGTATTTTTGACCAGATGTTAAATAAAAAGCATTTATATTCTTATACTACACAGGCAAAATATATCGGGCCCCGTACAAGCCTGACTCAACGGGCTCTGTACAACCTTGTAAGAAGTCCCGTAATTGGTCGTAATTTGATAATATGACATACTGACATATATGGAATCGACAGTACTAAATAATGACCATATATGGAATCTTTATAATACAAAGTCTCACAAAGACCATGAAATCTTTACATTACAAAAGTCTCACAATGACCATATATGGAATCTTTACAATAAAAAAGTCTCACAATGACCATATATGGAATCTTTTCAATCTTTACAATACAAAGGTCTCACAATGGCCATATATGGAATCTTTACAACAAACAATAATTCTCACATTGACCATATATAGAATTGTTACAGCAGACGGCCAACTATCATAACATTATGATCATTTATATACCAATCTGGTGGCACAAAAACTAGAGCACATGCTACACCTCATGAGTGTTCCATATATTTTTGCACACTCAAAACAGGCAAAATTCTAGCATATTTCCATCATTGGAAAATTGATATTAATCAACATTCATTTTGCACACCTATTCATAGTATATATTAAACTATATACTCATTTATTTAGAGTACAACTAGACTTCTTATAAATACATATACAAGTGTAAGTAGCTACACAACAAAACCTGTCAAATGAAATACCTCAAGTGGAACACCTCTGCAAAGGGAACACCTTAAATGGAACACCTCTGTAAAGGGAACACCTCAGAGGTTATGTGGTCACATTGTAATTAAAGTGGCAAATGGCTACAAAAGTGTAATAATTTGTTGCCTATTGACAGCTCTGTAAAAAAGTATACAAATTTTGGATCCTAATATTACTTTTTGGTGAAAAGTACTCCAAATGTTTCTCCTCCGCTTGAGTAGAGGGTGTCCAACAACTGAAAAAAAGTTAATTAACTTTGCATTTTCTACCTTGAAATTTCAGAATAATTAATTTGGTTCATTCAATATTGATTTTCCTGTGAAGGTTTGATGATAATTTGCCAATTGAGTCAAAATAACAGTCCTTGCAAAATATGCTCCGAGTGGACACTTCTCTCTATATTCAATGGTGCATAGAGAGAACGTTTTCTTCAGTCCTGATTTCTTTTGGACACCCTGTACTTATTGCTTGTATTTAGTCTTATGAACAGACTAAGGAAACCATTAATCAGTTATAAATTTGGCCCATCTGAATTAATTAATCAATTAAGGCTAACTGGCTCATAAACTGTGAGACCATTTGATTCACATTATTGATTGGAATGTTTGAATAAATACAAAAGGAATGTCATTTTCAACAATAATACAAAATTGCATTGTTATGTAAGTACAAATGTGAAAAGCATTTTAACTACATTGAAATATTCAAAGAGAAATATATTCTAGGCCTATGGTTTAGCATCAACTCACTTGAATGACCCTGATATCATGAATAGGGAACTGGAAATGAAGGTCTTCAAATGATGACAATAAAATATGAAATGTCTAAACAGCTTGAGTACATTCAGTTTAATGCAATAATAATATCCTTAGGATAAGGATAACAAGTTAGAAATAATTCATGTGCTCGTTTTTGGAAAGGGTGAAAATTCTAATTTTTATATCCCCAAAGTGTCAACAATATCTATTGAAATAAAAGAAATACCATATTCTTTCTAATGAGCGCACATTTCCAATGAGCTACAATGCGACTTTTATGTTGAATATGGTCTCATTATTTACGATTATTTTACAAAACAAGATTTAGATTGATAATATTTAATGCAGAGAAAGAAATACAGTAGCTGTAGAGTATGTAAACCTTAGTGATAATAACAAAAAAGATTGGTGATATTTATCTTTCTCAATTTTTTGTATGTGCACTTATTGGAATCTCTCAGTATCTTACCATTTTAAATTACAATTAAGAAACCGGACTGTGCGCTCATCAGAGAGAATATGGTATGCAAAAATAACATGGTTTATCAGCCCAAAAATGTTATAGGGAAGTTGCAGGGATCAAGTCCATGAATCACATGTCAATTTTTCCATGTGATATCGTCTATAGTACCTGCCATGATCATACTTAAGCGGAAAGCACTGCATATAATATTAACCAGACTGACTGCAGGATAATTAGCTTGTAAAAATACAAGTTTGGGGAGAGTGTAATTTCCTAAAGCACAATATGTATGGTGCTTTCAAACTGAATCATTGACATGACCCCCTCATCTTAAATGTTTAAACAAAGGTTCCATCATCAACTGGCATCATTCTGAAGTCACTTATACTAATACTGCGTGATGGTCCCTCATTACTCTGGGCCAAGTTAGGCTGAGAGCGATATCTTTGAAGTTCGTTGGGATAAGGCACATTGCTGGGAAATTCTCTTGAATCTCGTCTTCTGTCCTGACCTCTATAACGTCGAGGGGGCACTGGGGCACCATCTGTGTTTGCATTAGGAGCAAATCGACGCATGTAACCATTGAGTGAATCTTGAATATTTCCTCCTTCTTGATTGCCATCTGGTTGTCTCGTCTGAGCAGGAATGTTATTTGTATTAGGAACGACTGGAATGGTTTCATACATATTACTTTGCTCATCATCTCTGGGAGCAACTGACGAATCATTTACTACATGAGTTGGAGGACTTGAGGCACCTGATGCAGAGGTATCAGGATGCCTATCAATATGCCCAGATGAACGCCGAACTGGGGCAGATGTCATTGGAAGCATATGAAGAGCCCCACAGGAGCGGTACATTGGAGGTGACCTTTCTGGTAGCCTGTTAATATCCTGAGAGGATCGATACCTTGAAGGAGGTGCCCTATCAATAACAAGGCCCCTATTTGCACTTTGTCTTACATTTCTGGCAGCTTCTCTGGCAGGAGAAGTATTGCTACTTGGCATTATTGTTTCGGTAGTGTCTGTATTGTCCATTGCACTGGTATTTACTGCACTCGCATTTAGTACACCCACATTTGAGGCACCCCTATCTAATGCACCTATACTTGAAGCACCTGTATTTAATGCACCCATATTTGCTGCCTCTGCATAAGTATCAGCATTTGTTGCACCTGTATTTGTTGCACTAGAGTTAGCATTTCCGCTCCTTGATTGAGCTGCATTGGATGCAGGTGGACTGGACAATTGGTCGCTTGGAATGTTTGATGGGCTATAACCGACAGGGTGTACTGGTAGATTGTTATCATAGAGCTCAGAATACGCTGGAGGCTTGTCTAGTTCACTGTTTGAGGCCACTGAGTACCCCTGCAAAGTAAAACATGGCATTAACATGCAAAGTGCCACCACTGCAATTTGATTTGTTATAAATAGCTGACTATCACATGTTACCACTTTTGTTGGTGACATTGCAATAACATTCCTGCAATATTGGATTAAATGGGGATGGATATGTTTATTCATGTTGTGACAGTCACATTCTTCATCATTCTGAGCACTTTTCAATTGATTCTGGGCCAAAGTTGTAAAATGTGAACCCCTTGGAATTTTTTGAAAAGTACACCCCCTTGGCAAAAGCTGGCTACAGACTTGTGACCTATACAAGGACACACTATAATAAGGGGTAAAATAGTAAAAAATCCTGTAGCAAATACAGGTCATAAGCAGAGAAAAGGTGATATTAAGTTAATAATGTTCTAGCTGTACTTACCATGTTAAGTGCGCCAGTGTTGCTATTATACATGACAACTTCCTCATAAGCAGGTGGTGACATTGGTTGACGAATACTAATATTTACATCAATCTGTGTCTCATTAAGATCTGAGGCTGAAATAAATTATATAATAAAATGCTACATGTCATGTAACATATTTCTGTCATGTTTTAGTCCTAATGTTTAACAAAGCTAAAATGCCTAAACATCAAGCTAAAATGCCTAAACATCAAGCTAAAATGCCTAAACATCAAGCTAAAATGCCTAAACATCAAGCTAAAATGCCTAAACATCAACTCTGGTTGTAGTGACATAAAATCAAGATCATGGAAAGTTTTTAATTTATCTTCAATATATGAGCACATGATGAAAATCTTTTCAAAACAAGGAGGTATAAAATCAAAATTCAAGAGTGACTCATACCCTCACTGCACACATGAATACACATAATAGGGAGGTTAAGCCACAAATAAATGTGTAAAATTATTGTTCAGTATGGATTAGTTCTCCCCTTCAAAGTATTACTTGCCTGAAACAATTCAAATGCTCCAGCTAGGCAGGCCCGTAGCCAGGGGGCAGGGGGAATTCGGGGCTTCCAGAGAATTTCCCCCCCCTGGCCAAAAATTATTTTAAAATCATGCAATCTTTCACCATTCTGAGCACTTTCAAGTGATTTTGGCCAATTTTGGGGCAAAGTTGACAAAAAAAGAACCCCCTGGAAATCTTTTATAAAAGTGAACCCCCCTTGGCAAATCCTGGCTATGGGCCTGCTAGGCCTATGGACACCTGAGGTGAAAGGAGGACAGTTTAATTCCAGGGGGTCATTATATTACACGGTCATCTACAAGTCCTTTTAAAAGCATGCCATTGTATCTTAAGTTCTTAACCCCTGGGTTTTAACCCCACAGCTGTAAGAATTGTACTCAAAGATAAACTCACTTCGACGAGTGCGTGTGATAGTAGATAGCCCAGCACGTCGTCTTCTACGTCGCTGCTCCTTCCTTGATGTGCAGCAGCTGATAATGACGCAAAGGATGATGACAAACAAAGAGAGTGTTATTCCAATTGGAAGGTATGTACTTAGATAGCTGTTGTAGGAAGGGGAAGTGTAGCCTGGCGTTGCTGTAATAGAACAACACAAGTTCAGTAAGCTAGATTACAAGTGTATATCTTTATGTAATTATTGAAACATTGTTGTGCATTTCAAAGAGATTTCTCAAATAAATATTGTAGATGATTTCTCAAAGACAACAGATATATTCTCAAAGATGATGGTAATGTCTTGCTGTACTTTCTTGATGACCTTTAAGGCTCCTGAATTTAGCTTTAACTATCCTGTTTTAATTTTGATGTTATTTCAGGGTTTGTTCTGAAAATGTTGACTGGTCGAGGAGTGTCAACGGTGTTGAAAATATTTCATTAATCTAAGGCCTAAGAACAATGTGGGTATAGTTTGGGCCAAATAAACAATCTTACATGGTGGACAACCCTCTTCATCATCTCCATCATTACAGACTCTGTAGCCAGTGCATCTATCATCTTCACGGTAACACCTCAGTCCATCTCTACATGCATATGATCCTATGGGGCACATTCGGGCAGTAGTTGTAGTTGTTGTAGCTATAAAAAGAAAATAAGAAGTTCAATGATGTGGTAATACAAGATACATCAAGGCAGTTACATGCTAAATGTCACCACCTACCGATTGTTACAGACGCTGACCACCAAACACCAAACACAGACTGCCAAACACCCTCCACAAAATAGTTGGAGACTTATAACAATATATCGCCACTTGTGGTTGTGACATAATAAACCTATTTTAAACCATTTCTATGATAAATCTATGAGGCATGTAGTGGCAGTGTTCTTAGAAAACTATGTCCTACCATTCAAATTTCAACTATTTGTCAACAGTTAAGATATTTTATATCTGAAGATCCTCTTGAAACACTAGTCTCGGTTTAGAGAATGAAGCTCATCAGTCTACTGCACATTACGCCTGCTTCGAACAATTTTGATATATTTACATCTTGTAGATTTAAATGTCCTCTTTTTAATATTCATAATTTAATTTGGTTGATATTTCTCTATATTTTTCATAAAAAAATTATAAGACTGTTCTCCAAACCGAGACTTGTCCTTTGACAATGAGTATCCTGGTCAATAACACAAGGTAGCTAGGAGTTGACATAAACATAGATGTGAAATATTCTTCACTTACTCATGCATTCTGGTAGTCTGTTAGAGCCATCTCCGCAAAAGTCTAGGTCATTGCAGGCTAGAGTGTATGGGATACAACGTTTGTTCCCACTGCATTTGTAGCTATTTTGAGGGCACACTGTAATGCACAAAAGTCATTGCTAGCTTAGTGTATGGAATATGATGTTTGTTATTATTATGAGATATTTATTCATCAAGATGGAAATCCATTCAACTGATTGAAGGCATTAAAGAGAAAATCAAATATAGCGAGCAGGCTAAACAAATAATTGTTTCAATTTTAGAATATTTTGGGCTCATGTCATTCCTTGTCATGCCTATTTTCTAAAAATCACAAAAGTGCATACTTTATTCCAGGAAAACTAAAGATTTTTACAATAGTGTATTATTTTTCTATAAGAATGGTTACCATTCTTATTATTTTGGAGAATTTAAACATTTTTCACTCATTTTTGCAGGTTGAATCATTTATAACTTCGCCACTTTATAACATATTGTGAATCTTTTGGGAGATATCGTATTTGATATTGTAAGGAATAGATTGGTAGGTCAATTATACATGTTTTTTGTAATTTTGTCACCCCCTATAGATCAGATTCTGCCTTTAAAGAAGAGTGCAAGATATAAAACAGAAAATATAATACAATCTGATTCATGGTTATAGTCAATGAGGTCAAAATTGAGCTTGTGGTTTACCATGGGTTCATCATACCAAACAAAATGAATCTACAAACTGTTTGGGAATAATAATTCGTACTTAAATCAAAGGGTATTTGTTAGTCCTGGATTTTGTTTTTAAACAGTGTCATCAAAAAGAAAAATGTTGCTCTTTTGTAAAAGTCCAGCAACCTATACTTACATTGATTTCCCGCTGTGCCATTTCTGAATATGGAATAGTGAGCAGTGAATGATTTAAAATGGGCACATATCCATCTTATTCTGAGTAGGAAGCCAGAAGAGCTGATATATTCCCTTGAGGTTCCATCAAACAAAGTTTTTCCATTCAGTGTGTCTATAATTGGAGCCTCGGATGTATTCCCTGCTATTATGATAAGGGAATCAACTGAAAATGGATGATTTTGTGGTAAAATATGATCTTTTTTATATAATATACATAATAATACAATGAAGCCTGTATAGGTGGACATACTGATGTAGTAATAGTATTTAAAGTACACAGTAAAGTATTTATGTTGATGATTTCTTATTATTCCTGTCCAGTAAAAACTTATCTTCAGTAAAACATAATAGATGATGTAATATTTGGAGAAATTATTAAAAGACCTCTGTAACTACTAATTTAAGGCTATTTAGCTAAAAGTCCTACTTTAAAGTGAACTCCTTTTTACCTGTTGCCATGTCAAAACGTGTAACGTTGAGTGCAATTTGTGGAAAATCATTGGTCTGGTAGTTCTTAATGGTGATGAGTGTATCCATATGGCCTTGGCAGTACTGACCATTCACATGTAGCAGGTCTCCTCTCCTAGTAAACACTTTATCATACCCTGGAAAATAATAGTTAGTACTACATCATTGTCATATTTACAGGATAACACTGTTTTAATTTGTAGATTTGCTACAAATAAAATTTAATTTTAAAATAGTACAATTAACTTAATGAGAGGTTTTAAGTAGATGTTTATATCTACATTAAACCTGTTATGGCTAGCTGTATAATGAGCATCTCAACTCTACTGAACACTTCAAAGTTTGGTTACCCATTATCTTTATGTAAAATGAACCTCTTATAGTGGTACACCTCCATAGAGGTACACAAGGCATTCCATTTTCACAGGTTTTAGTTTAATTAAAAGTATAGTATACTAGCATATAACTGACCTACATGAGTAATATAAAATAGAAATTCTTCTGTACTGTGAAACACTTACTTGAATCAGGTCTGTTATCCCACAGGGCCTCTAAAAATAAGATATATTCAAATTACTTAGCACAAATGAATCAAAATATAAAAATAATTAGCACAATTGTCTAAATGCAAAACTGACATTAAAGATACTGTTTATGAACTTAAAATGTCTGATGCAAAAATGAAAAGTAAAAACATTACTTTTGACATTTTATTACTTTAATAGAGAGATTTCTTCAAAAGCACTGGAATTTTCATCATTCCAAAGTGAGCCGCATGAGTTACAATGGATCTACTTCATTTTATTTTTATTGTCATCATCTACCTACTTTAAGCAAATAATGACATGAACACCTTTGATCATCTTGGAGCATCAAAATCTGAGAGCAGTTCACTTCAAATTATGACGCTCCAATCCCAATGATTGTTGTTTTTACAATACAAAACATAATGTACAAAACACATGCAATATTACCTGGGTATTTCAAGAATTGGTAATGTGCTTTAAACCCATGGTAAGGGAGTACTGATACAGCTCCTGTGCGGAACCGTATTGACAAGGCATTACGAGTTGATTGGATGAATGGGCGTGTTCCGTGCCCACGTTGGTCAATCATCTTGAAGTATGAATCATTAGCTGCAGGTCCATCATAGATCTACAAAAAAATATTTTTATTTTTTTTTTTATTAAAGGGTGACGCATATCGTTTAGCAAATCGAACGCTCGTTTCTGGTGTTGCTCACCGTTTAGTATAAAAGGCCCGATCCCGGAATAATACTCAAGGGTTCACAGGTTCAAGGTCGTTGTGTCAACACCTCTAACTGTTATATAGCATAAGTATATTATAGATCGTCACACATTTATAAAAGGGTGATTTTGATTTTTACAAATCAATTCCACATTTATGGGTGAAGTTTCAGGATCTTCTATTTGTGTATAATAAGGAAAAATTGGCATCTAAATTTCCCCATAACGTAATAGCACACAGCTTGGCATATGAAATATCCTACAAATGAAACAAAGCAAGACAAACCGGTTTCTAATACAAGAATTTATATTGGCTGTTGTACATGTATTATTTGAACGCAATCACTCTTTGGATAACGTTTTCAAAATCATTATAAACGGATTACTTTATCTCAAAGACAATTTCAATAAACTGGATTTTACAGAACTCCCCTTATTTCTTAAAAATGGACTGATCCAGTTGATTCGCCTGGAGCCGCCATATTGTTTTTATACGGGATGCTAATCGGAACCCTTTAATCATCTTTTTTGTATTCCATAAAATACAGATATACAAACTTAAACAATTGCCAAAGTCTAATGACATTGACGGCAATTTTAAAAAAAATATTACAACACAGTTGATAAATATATATATATACCATGAGGGCATGGTGATGTTAGCTTAGTTACCACGAGGGCATGGTGATGTCATACCATAAGGGCAAGTTGATGTCATTTCAAATTCCACGGGACCAAGTTGAAGTCATATCAAATAATCAAATACCATGAAGGATGGTGATGTCATATCTGATACCATGAGGGCATGATAATGTCATATCAGATCAAAAAAACTCTAGTCTAGAATCCCATTTGCCTCACACTTAAATATTCAAACTGCTCTATCAAGACATGGCTGAAAATTCACAGAGCCCACACACATCTTGTTTGTATTGATTTCTATCTTTTAAATGAGATCACTGCTAGGCATTGTATCACCACATGGTAAGTTAATGCAAATGTCAAAAAAGTACTGCCATTCACAAAAATGGTGGCTATAAAATATGTAACTTCTTGGTCGTAACATAAAAAGTCTCGCTACCTGTATTCTACTGCCAGAGTATAGATCCCAGTCATCGAAGGTTACCCTGACAACTCCATTCTCGTCGCTATTGGTGATTATATATGTGTAGATCTCTCCATCAACCTTGTAAGATCGTGGGTAACCAGGTGTTGTCAAGTAGCCATCTTTACCATTAGTGCCATAGTAACGAAAGGTCAAATCTGTAAAATAAGGATATTTAGAAAAACATACATTATTTTCTTTATGCTACTACAGGTTGACATCTTGGCAAAAATACTTTTTCCAATTTGGCAAACATAATCTTTATATACAGTAGGTATAATTTTCTTAAATTACATGACAAATTAAATGAAGGAAAGGTAAGTTATAATTTTTCTGAAAAATACAACTGACAGAAAGGGGTTTATCACCAGAATGGTGAAAAGGCATGTGCAGTCAGCACTATTATGAATTTCTGCCATTTCTGCCACCTGCCATTTGTTACAAATGCAGACCTCCGAACCTAGACTGCTGTCCACAAAAAAGTTGTAGATTATCACAATATGTCACCACATCTGGAAGTGGCATTATTACTCGTGTGACATTTGGATTTTTATATTTTTAATATTTTGTGTTCCCATGTGTTGTCCCTCGCCCCATGGTTACACTGGGAAGAGAACAGCCTAGCTCTTACCTGTTGACAAAACCTGCATGAAAACATTTTTGTTGGGATCTGTCCTATAGTCATCAGACATACAGAGAGTGATGCGAACATTGCTTGACTTGGATGTGTACTCTCTGGCTGTGTTGTTACCATGGTAATGTTGAATTGTCTGATCCCGGTAAAATTCGTCATATATTATCACATGGTTGCAACTGAAATATAGTTTCCAATGTGATGTTGATCTCTAAAATGCTATGTCTAATGGATTTATATTAATTTATTAATTCATATTATTTCACCTTTTAAATGAATTCTATATTTCCGCGCGTTGTTGAAGTGACCTCTAACCATTTCCATTTAATTTGATTTAACAATAAAATATAAATTAATTAATTCACACCATTTCCTTATCATCATAGTATTCTTAATTATAACTTAAGATCCCTTATGATGGATTGCATACTGAGTTATTGGGCACTTCATAACACCAAGAAATGAAGTAAAAGGGGGGTCTCATAGTGGTTGGGCGATTTTACAGTGAATACAGTATTTCAAATTGAACATGTTAGGATTACTTACCCAACCCTGCACTCATCCCCGGTTGGAATACTGGTGTAACAATCAGGTATATTAAGTTGTAGTATCCTCACAATGATCTTACAATTAAAGCAGCCCTTCACCAGGACTGAACATTCATAGACAAAATGGCCGTCTGTTGGTTTAGCGCCATCTATGTATGGTGGTGATGTAATATTGTGACGCTCATTTGGACCATAAATGTAAAGGTTTTTGTTTGTCTGTTCACAAATATCAAGTAGATATTCTGAAATGTCAGAAGTTGTGATTTTTATAAAAACATGGTCTAGTAGTCTAGTATTAGCAGTAGATTACAATATTCCTATCCAATGAAAAATATATCCAATATGTATTCTAATAAAATGTAAAACAGTTAAAAATATTTACTGACACATTTCTTGGTTATGTATAACATTATAAAATGAACTTGCAATGTACGAACTTGCAGCATTATGAACTTATAGCACATACATTTGCATAAGCTTGCCTCACATGTGAACTTGCAACACATGAACTTGCAATTCATGAACTTGCAGCATTATGAACTTACAGCACATACATTTGCATAAGCTTGCCTCACTTGTGAACTTGCAACATATGAACTTGCAATGCATGAACTTGCAGCATTATGAACTTACAGCACATACATTTGCATAAGCTTGCCTCACTTGTGAACTTGCAACATATGAACTTGCAATGCATGAACTTGCAGCATTATGAACTTACAGAACATACATTTGCATAAGCTTGCCTCACTTGTGAACTTGCAACACATGAACTTGCAATTCATGAACTTGCAGCATTATGAACTCATAGTGTTGTGTTGTTTGAAATATTTTGCTGACTGGTAACACATAAAAAGAAAGTATTGTGATGTCAGAGTGTTGTATGGAAGGGGTTTGCAGGTCAGTTTGAGAAAGCATTGTGGAAAAAGGGGTTGGTGAGAGAAGGGAACACCCCACTCCATATGGACAATGCACCTGCCCACAGATCTCAAAATGTTCAGAAAACAATATCCCTGGACCTCAAAATTGAGCTCTTGGCCAATGCACCATATTGTTCAGATCTGCTCACATGTGACTTATTTATTACTATCCTACTTATTTCTATAGAGAAAGGATGCAGGTTTATTGACATTGATGAAATAAAACAACCCATGCAACTGCATCTTGCTACCATGTCAGAGAATGGATTCAGCTTTGTCTCAAAATATTGAGTTATGATGATGAGGAATTGTGTACATGTAGCACTTGATGGAACCTATGCAGAGGGCCATGTGGAATGAATGTGGCATTATACCACAAAGTGACGATAAAATATTCAAAATCAACTATGGCATAACAAAATGGGTTAATTCATGACCATAATGGTTTGTTTTGTTCAGCCTGCATTCAACTACATTGCATGTTAAACAAGCTTAAATAGCTTCAGAATGTTTGACGTGATGTCAGTCCCGGGGTACCTATACATCCTTCACGGAAATGAAGATATATCAAAATATATTACATGTTTTGTTTTCAAATCTTCAGAGTTGATAGGTAATTGAATGATGTATCACTGGTAAGAAAATCGAAGGGATTGGTCTATAAAAAGCATCTGTGTAAAAAGCGTCCATTACTTATTGATCACCCCTCGTAAGATACAAAGATCTGTATTTACACCAAACTGATTTTTTAAAGTTATCAAACTTACGTGAATTCACCCTAGAAAGTATAGAGGTCAGCACTAGAATCTCAACCAGTGACGATACAAGGACACCTAAATAAAGAAAAAAACAATTCTTATTGGTTAAAACTGGAATCTGAGAAATAGGGCTGACACGTTGCAACAACGCTATTAACATGTAAAATGTCAACATCTGCCATTTGTTACAGATGCCGACAGCAAACACCAATCACATGAATGCCAAACAAAATCCACAGAATAGTTCAAGACTGGTAAAAATTTAACTATATCTCTGAATGTAACCTTGGGAATGGGCAGAATCATACTTAAGTCGATAGGATACACATCAATATTATGATTAATATTGAATTCATTAATTAAACTTATTCACTGTATGTATCTTTATTGGCCTTTATATGAAGGAGATACATGTATACAGGTTCATATATTGTTGAAATTAAATAAAACTAGAAAAAATCATTGTTTACATACAAACAAACCCTGTAGATCAATGTCACACTGATGAAGTCAATGTAAAATGTACCTAACACTCACAACTTGCAGGATTTCAAAAGTTAAAGATACTGCTATATTTTGTATTAAAAGTTTATTTCTCACAGAATACTGCCAGACAGATGAGCATTCATTCTCATATATGCTAATGAGAAATTAACAATGAGTCAGAACAGTTATACTTCAACGTTTATCACGACTTATGAATTGTTTTCATTTATATTCACTAGAAATCACATAAATTCAATCAAATGATCTAAAGACCAAAACAAACCTTTCATTGTTGTATCATTCGTATCCTGTGGTTGACATCGTGAACAGTTGTAGAAATAAAGCAAATGTTATGCAAGTAATCCAGAAGTCATTTCAATATGGCGTTGTTAATTTGTAAGTGAACTTTAGACCAGTGAGAGCTGCTATAGGATATGATGATTGTTTATGTGGATATTATGCATACATTGTACCCTTATCTCTAGGTCAGCCCTCGGCCCTGTCAAGTAGAGGTAAAGTTAAATATTAACTATTTTATAAATTAATTATACTAAGAAAATTAACCGTTAGTTGAGATATGTTAAGAGCAGTAAAACCTGTTATGGAACATTCCACTCTCCATTCTGACCAAAATCATTCCTTGGAGACAGGTGTTCCTTCAAGGTTCATTAACAGTGACTTGCTTCTTTTGAAAACTGTTCTATACAGGAAGGTGTTCCTTATCCCATGCCAGGACTATAGTCCTGAACCGAGCGCAATCTTTTGCCTGTACTTACGACTTGAGAGAATTATCTACGCCCCTTACACGAAATATACCTACTTCAATAGATTCCTTGGTATTATAGCATTCTTTTCGTGAAGAAATTTTCGTTTTTGATCGCAATATTTGCGAGTAATATTTAGCTTATTTCAACTGTCAAATTCCTCCATTTATTGGTACTTCCGGGCCAGTCAAACGGGGAATCCCCTTTTAAATCCAACCCCCATCTTGAAAAGTGATGGAATCTCTCTCAATGAAAAGAAAAATGTTCCCGTTCTTCCGATATACCCAGACAATTGTGGATTCAACTACACGAAAAGAATGCTAAAATACCAAGGAATCTATTGAAGTAGGTATCTTAAGTGTAAGGGGTGTAGATAATTCTCCCAAGTTGTAATTGTACAGGCAAAAGATTGCGCTTGGTCCAGGACTATAGTCCTGGCACGGGATAAGGTGTTCCTACCTATACAGATAGGTGTTTCATCAGACTATGTACAGTAAGATGCAGTAGTGAGGTCTCTAGGTCTCACACAAATATATGTACAATGTCCATCTCCTTCATTCTCTCAAACATGGTAAATCCCCAGAGTACAGACATCTTGTTTATGCTGTTCATGACATCTCCATTAAGTCCAGCTTGAGGATTTGGGAACTTCTTTATCTCCTCAATACCTTTGTTCATGGGATACCTTTCCTGCCACAAGATCAATCAGTCATTTACATATAAGTAGATTTATTTTGCTAAAATAAGCAATCAAAGAACATGAAAGCAACATTACAGGGTGTCCCAAAATTTTTCCAAGACAAACATGGAATGACTGATACATTCCTTAGTATTTTAGAATTCTTTTTATGTTGTTAGATCGCCAATTGTATGGGTTTATCGGCAGAACGAAGAGATTTTTGTTTTTACATCGGAAATATATCAGCAATTTTCAAAATGTCGGAAGGGGAATTCCCCAGGGATTTCCCTTATGACTGGTGCATGCCGGGAACTGAATGGAGGAATTTGACGGTTGAAATAAGTTAAATATTACACGCAAATATTGCTATCAAAAACGAAAACCTCTTCGTTCTGCCGATAAACCCACACAATTGGGCGATTCAACTACATAAAAAGAATTCTAAAAAACTAAGGAATGTATCGAGGTAGGTCATTTAGGTGTGCAATGTGTAGTATTTTCTCCAACTTTGTAAAAACATTGACTGACCAATTATATGCGCGTACGACCACAATCTAAAGTGGTCGTAGAATTTGATAATAGTATCCCTACTCTGGACTTTATTCTTCAGGACAACTTACAGATAAGAATCATTGATAATTTCATTGATATATCCACGTTTTTCAGATTGCAGTGATCTTAATTGGACTATATCTGAAATCATATTCACTGTCAGATTGTGATTCACAGATTCAGTGACAGTTGGTGACACTGTGAGTCACTCAAAGTCACGAAGAGGTGGTTACACTGGGAAGAGAACAGCCTAGCTCTTACCTGTTGACAAAACCTGCATGAAAACATTTTTGTTGGGATCTGTCCTATAGTCATCAGACATACAGAGAGTGATGCGAACATTGCTTGACTTGGATGTGTACTCTCTGGCTGTGTTGTTACCATGGTAATGTTGAATTGTCTGATCCCGGTAAAATTCGTCATATATTATCACATGGTTGCAACTGAAATATAGTTTCCAATGTGATGTTGATCTCTAAAATGCTATGTCTAATGGATTTATATTAATTTATTAATTCATATTATTTCACCTTTTAAATGAATTCTATATTTCCGCGCGTTGTTGAAGTGACCTCTAACCATTTCCATTTAATTTGATTTAACAATAAAATATAAATTAATTAATTCACACCATTTCCTTATCATCATAGTATTCTTAATTATAACTTAAGATCCCTTATGATGGATTGCATACTGAGTTATTGGGCACTTCATAACACCAAGAAATGAAGTAAAAGGGGGGTCTCATAGTGGTTGGGCGATTTTACAGTGAATACAGTATTTCAAATTGAACATGTTAGGATTACTTACCCAACCCTGCACTCATCCCCGGTTGGAATACTGGTGTAACAATCAGGTATATTAAGTTGTAGTATCCTCACAATGATCTTACAATTAAAGCAGCCCTTCACCAGGACTGAACATTCATAGACAAAATGGCCGTCTGTTGGTTTAGCGCCATCTATGTATGGTGGTGATGTAATATTGTGACGCTCATTTGGACCATAAATGTAAAGGTTTTTGTTTGTCTGTTCACAAATATCAAGTAGATATTCTGAAATGTCAGAAGTTGTGATTTTTATAAAAACATGGTCTAGTAGTCTAGTATTAGCAGTAGATTACAATATTCCTATCCAATGAAAAATATATCCAATATGTATTCTAATAAAATGTAAAACAGTTAAAAATATTTACTGACACATTTCTTGGTTATGTATAACATTATAAAATGAACTTGCAATGTACGAACTTGCAGCATTATGAACTTATAGCACATACATTTGCATAAGCTTGCCTCACATGTGAACTTGCAACACATGAACTTGCAATTCATGAACTTGCAGCATTATGAACTTACAGCACATACATTTGCATAAGCTTGCCTCACTTGTGAACTTGCAACATATGAACTTGCAATGCATGAACTTGCAGCATTATGAACTTACAGCACATACATTTGCATAAGCTTGCCTCACTTGTGAACTTGCAACATATGAACTTGCAATGCATGAACTTGCAGCATTATGAACTTACAGAACATACATTTGCATAAGCTTGCCTCACTTGTGAACTTGCAACACATGAACTTGCAATTCATGAACTTGCAGCATTATGAACTCATAGTGTTGTGTTGTTTGAAATATTTTGCTGACTGGTAACACATAAAAAGAAAGTATTGTGATGTCAGAGTGTTGTATGGAAGGGGTTTGCAGGTCAGTTTGAGAAAGCATTGTGGAAAAAGGGGTTGGTGAGAGAAGGGAACACCCCACTCCATATGGACAATGCACCTGCCCACAGATCTCAAAATGTTCAGAAAACAATATCCCTGGACCTCAAAATTGAGCTCTTGGCCAATGCACCATATTGTTCAGATCTGCTCACATGTGACTTATTTATTACTATCCTACTTATTTCTATAGAGAAAGGATGCAGGTTTATTGACATTGATGAAATAAAACAACCCATGCAACTGCATCTTGCTACCATGTCAGAGAATGGATTCAGCTTTGTCTCAAAATATTGAGTTATGATGATGAGGAATTGTGTACATGTAGCACTTGATGGAACCTATGCAGAGGGCCATGTGGAATGAATGTGGCATTATACCACAAAGTGACGATAAAATATTCAAAATCAACTATGGCATAACAAAATGGGTTAATTCATGACCATAATGGTTTGTTTTGTTCAGCCTGCATTCAACTACATTGCATGTTAAACAAGCTTAAATAGCTTCAGAATGTTTGACGTGATGTCAGTCCCGGGGTACCTATACATCCTTCACGGAAATGAAGATATATCAAAATATATTACATGTTTTGTTTTCAAATCTTCAGAGTTGATAGGTAATTGAATGATGTATCACTGGTAAGAAAATCGAAGGGATTGGTCTATAAAAAGCATCTGTGTAAAAAGCGTCCATTACTTATTGATCACCCCTCGTAAGATACAAAGATCTGTATTTACACCAAACTGATTTTTTAAAGTTATCAAACTTACGTGAATTCACCCTAGAAAGTATAGAGGTCAGCACTAGAATCTCAACCAGTGACGATACAAGGACACCTAAATAAAGAAAAAAACAATTCTTATTGGTTAAAACTGGAATCTGAGAAATAGGGCTGACACGTTGCAACAACGCTATTAACATGTAAAATGTCAACATCTGCCATTTGTTACAGATGCCGACAGCAAACACCAATCACATGAATGCCAAACAAAATCCACAGAATAGTTCAAGACTGGTAAAAATTTAACTATATCTCTGAATGTAACCTTGGGAATGGGCAGAATCATACTTAAGTCGATAGGATACACATCAATATTATGATTAATATTGAATTCATTAATTAAACTTATTCACTGTATGTATCTTTATTGGCCTTTATATGAAGGAGATACATGTATACAGGTTCATATATTGTTGAAATTAAATAAAACTAGAAAAAATCATTGTTTACATACAAACAAACCCTGTAGATCAATGTCACACTGATGAAGTCAATGTAAAATGTACCTAACACTCACAACTTGCAGGATTTCAAAAGTTAAAGATACTGCTATATTTTGTATTAAAAGTTTATTTCTCACAGAATACTGCCAGACAGATGAGCATTCATTCTCATATATGCTAATGAGAAATTAACAATGAGTCAGAACAGTTATACTTCAACGTTTATCACGACTTATGAATTGTTTTCATTTATATTCACTAGAAATCACATAAATTCAATCAAATGATCTAAAGACCAAAACAAACCTTTCATTGTTGTATCATTCGTATCCTGTGGTTGACATCGTGAACAGTTGTAGAAATAAAGCAAATGTTATGCAAGTAATCCAGAAGTCATTTCAATATGGCGTTGTTAATTTGTAAGTGAACTTTAGACCAGTGAGAGCTGCTATAGGATATGATGATTGTTTATGTGGATATTATGCATACATTGTACCCTTATCTCTAGGTCAGCCCTCGGCCCTGTCAAGTAGAGGTAAAGTTAAATATTAACTATTTTATAAATTAATTATACTAAGAAAATTAACCGTTAGTTGAGATATGTTAAGAGCAGTAAAACCTGTTATGGAACATTCCACTCTCCATTCTGACCAAAATCATTCCTTGGAGACAGGTGTTCCTTCAAGGTTCATTAACAGTGACTTGCTTCTTTTGAAAACTGTTCTATACAGGAAGGTGTTCCTTATCCCATGCCAGGACTATAGTCCTGAACCGAGCGCAATCTTTTGCCTGTACTTACGACTTGAGAGAATTATCTACGCCCCTTACACGAAATATACCTACTTCAATAGATTCCTTGGTATTATAGCATTCTTTTCGTGAAGAAATTTTCGTTTTTGATCGCAATATTTGCGAGTAATATTTAGCTTATTTCAACTGTCAAATTCCTCCATTTATTGGTACTTCCGGGCCAGTCAAACGGGGAATCCCCTTTTAAATCCAACCCCCATCTTGAAAAGTGATGGAATCTCTCTCAATGAAAAGAAAAATGTTCCCGTTCTTCCGATATACCCAGACAATTGTGGATTCAACTACACGAAAAGAATGCTAAAATACCAAGGAATCTATTGAAGTAGGTATCTTAAGTGTAAGGGGTGTAGATAATTCTCCCAAGTTGTAATTGTACAGGCAAAAGATTGCGCTTGGTCCAGGACTATAGTCCTGGCACGGGATAAGGTGTTCCTACCTATACAGATAGGTGTTTCATCAGACTATGTACAGTAAGATGCAGTAGTGAGGTCTCTAGGTCTCACACAAATATATGTACAATGTCCATCTCCTTCATTCTCTCAAACATGGTAAATCCCCAGAGTACAGACATCTTGTTTATGCTGTTCATGACATCTCCATTAAGTCCAGCTTGAGGATTTGGGAACTTCTTTATCTCCTCAATACCTTTGTTCATGGGATACCTTTCCTGCCACAAGATCAATCAGTCATTTACATATAAGTAGATTTATTTTGCTAAAATAAGCAATCAAAGAACATGAAAGCAACATTACAGGGTGTCCCAAAATTTTTCCAAGACAAACATGGAATGACTGATACATTCCTTAGTATTTTAGAATTCTTTTTATGTTGTTAGATCGCCAATTGTATGGGTTTATCGGCAGAACGAAGAGATTTTTGTTTTTACATCGGAAATATATCAGCAATTTTCAAAATGTCGGAAGGGGAATTCCCCAGGGATTTCCCTTATGACTGGTGCATGCCGGGAACTGAATGGAGGAATTTGACGGTTGAAATAAGTTAAATATTACACGCAAATATTGCTATCAAAAACGAAAACCTCTTCGTTCTGCCGATAAACCCACACAATTGGGCGATTCAACTACATAAAAAGAATTCTAAAAAACTAAGGAATGTATCGAGGTAGGTCATTTAGGTGTGCAATGTGTAGTATTTTCTCCAACTTTGTAAAAACATTGACTGACCAATTATATGCGCGTACGACCACAATCTAAAGTGGTCGTAGAATTTGATAATAGTATCCCTACTCTGGACTTTATTCTTCAGGACAACTTACAGATAAGAATCATTGATAATTTCATTGATATATCCACGTTTTTCAGATTGCAGTGATCTTAATTGGACTATATCTGAAATCATATTCACTGTCAGATTGTGATTCACAGATTCAGTGACAGTTGGTGACACTGTGAGTCACTCAAAGTCACGAAGAGGTGGATTATGAAATTGACAAACAAAATCAAGTGAACAATTCGACAAGACCTTTATTTGGACCAACTGTGTAATTGTGGGATAATTAAAATATCATAATTGTAAGAAACGAAGATCCTACATTCCTTAATACTTTGCTGAGCTCCAACGTTCGATTTGATAACAAAATACAGTCGAAAGAGTCCAAAATCTTACCTTTTGTTTCGTGCAAAAAATAAATAAATAAACGTCTTGTCCTTGACCTTTAATGCTCAACATAACCGAACGCATGTGTTTTATCCGTAATCGCGGACCACTACATAACCGAACGCATGTGTTTTATCCGCAAACGCGTCCTAAATAGTAGTAATGTTTATCATTGCTTTGCTATCTAGACACATAGCGAGCAATTTTGGGAATTATGAATTGATATTGGGGTCGGATTAAAAATAAGACTTGTTTTAATACAGGCAATGGGCTTTCGGAAAGACAGTCCATTTAGATACCCGAGTGCCGAGTCCATTTCTTGTTACTAAATCTGTGTGGACCAATAAATATCTTAACTTTGTTTCATGGTCTTACTTTTAATGTATATAAGTTCGCGAGTTTCATTGTACAGGGTGGTCAAAAAAGGCTTTGTATAAAAACCTCCTACCTCATACCCACCTACCCACGCACGTTGGACATGATACAGTCTTTGAAGGGTTCAATTTTAACTCTTAATTTATTAAATCTTAGTTTATGATGAATTTTAGATGCATTTGTAACGACCCTTGATAGCAAGTTGCTACTACAGCCCAACTGGGTTCGATTACCACTCGGGGCATCGAATTTAGCACACTTTCTTTCAATTTCTTTATCTGGCTTGTTGGAATGCACCCATTATGGATCTGCCATCTGTCTAGTCATAAAATAAAGCCGGAATTGTAGAAATATAATTCAAGAGCTATTTTGAAATTTAAAAATATTTAAAATTGAACCCTTCAATGACTGTATCATGTCCCACGTAGGTGGGCAGGTTTGACTACAGAGCGATAATGCCCAAACCTGAAGCATGTTGTTCAGACTCAGAGTGCTGTAAAATTGTGACTATCAGTCTGATGGTCATGAAATATGGTAGAGTGGTAAAAAAGTGAATAATGTACAAATGTGTGACATATCAGGGTGTAATTTCTTAAGATGACAAAGATATGAGGAAAATGCAGGGTTTCCATTTTTTGACCACCCTGTAAGTGTGATGGAACATTTCCATCTCTTATACGTTTTTCAATACCATGTTCAAGGTTCCTAGGATGAATAAATCGGAATTGTTTATCTTTAATGGTTCTTAACGTAATCATGAAATTCAGCTTTTTCTAATTCTAGATCTCTAGAGGCTAATCAAATCAATACTTAAACGGTTTGCCTCTGATTCAGAAAAGTTTAATACATCACTCACTATTTTCCCCTAGTTTAATTGTAAAAAGTAGGCAATAGTCTAAATGAGCTTTCTCGTGAATTTCTTTAACCCATCCCATTTTATCAAGTAAATGTAGGCTTTTGAATATAATATCTACAAGCCACTTTTATCATTTTTATCAAATTCATCAATAATGATATCTTTTTTCTGACATTCGTTTCAATCCCTTATCTTTATACAGTGTACAGATATACTTGTTCTTTTACCAGAGGAAATCTGTTGTAGAAAAATCGATTTCATAGTGGTCATCTTATCATATGGGTGCCATCTGGACCATTATATCGCCAAACCGTGAATGAAAGACCTTTTTAGAAACACTAATTTATGTCATTGCTGAAGGCTTAATTTTAAGTCTTGTCTTCTAATCTTACCATGTACGAGCATCATCAAAACATAAGAGATAAATGGAAGCGCATTTGAAGTTCTCGTAATCAAATTCGCCATTTGCTCTTGGAAAGTTTTTTTTTGTCTAAGATACTTTTTTTGTGTTTGAAGATCAGTTGTGAGATATTTTAATATTTCTTGGTAAATATCATGGTCCTTGATTCACTAAAATTACAGGAATTTGAAATCAGATATTCTCAAGAGTTGTCTAAAAAACCTCGACATTTCTGCCGTCATATACATTTTTGCACATTCTTGTTTGAAATTTTATATGTATCGCAGGCATTCATTCGTAATGCGATTAATTCAATCAGGACATTTCCAAAATTAAAGTATTTGACTCAATACTAATTCTGAAGAAAGGTAAAACACTCTACCATTTCAAATGTGATTGCATTGCTTTGTTTTATGATTGGAAAGTAAGTGCTACAGTAATGAACGCATAGCTTTGAATAAAAGTCCATGATACTAAGCCCATACGGTGGAGTCTTTTAAGATGTTGACTCACTCTAATGACTCAATGAGCCGATGAGGTCCATATTATGCACCAGACCCATTGTCCAAGGCCAATATACCACATAAGTACTCTGAATTAAAGGGAATAGATGTCTTTGATACAATGACCCCTGTTACACAGGCCAGTTGAAATGCTTCGTTACGAAGCAATTTGACAAAAAGCTTCGTAACGAAGCAATTTTGGGCCTGTGTAACACCTCCGCCTTCGTTGGAAAAGCTTAGTTGATAACGAAGCAATTGAGTAGAAAATTCAACGAAGGTTAGCTCCCAACGAAGCTTTTTTGGCCTGTGTAACAGGTAGCTTCGTTAGAAAATGCTTAGTTGGCGGTTTGCGCATGCGCGTAATAAAGAGCACATTCATCATTTTGTATTAAATGAGAGGAATCGCGAGGAAAGAACATGTTTTTAAGTACGTATTATTATAATGCTACGTTTTGATTAAAATAATTACCTATTTGCGTCACTGATTGACGCTAACTCAACCCCTAAACGCCACGTACAAATGTGATTTACCGTCTTTCGTAGCATATCATTCGATTCCCTGCCTTTGCTCGCATTGATATGACAAAAAGTATTAATCTAAAAAACACAGGTTTTACCGTATATGTATACGGTAGTTTTGAAACGTTTATCTGATCTATTAGAGAATAAACCTAGAATATTTAAATGTCCCTCTCCTTTCGGAAAACTCCGTCTCAAGTGTGGAAGGGTAAACTTTTGAAATTACATAAGATATGCTTACTAAATAGAAAGTTGTGGCATACATGTTTAATATTAATTTTTTCTTGCGCCTCGAATAATTATACCTTGAATGTAAGTGTAATTCTAAAGGTGTTAATACCATGATACTGATACAAGTGCTTCCCGGTGAATCACATTAGGGAATATAGCCGATTCGAAAATGTCTCTCTTCAAAAATCGTATTCAACTGGCTATCGCCCCATTGCAATACATGTACTTGTACTAGCCGTTCCATTATTTTATTCTTCGACGATTTTAAATTGTAATTGAATTTAAACTTCATGTTTAAATATATTGAATTAATTACGTTTCAAAACTTCCGTATACAAATACGGTAAAACCTGCGGACAAGGAACGGTGGCCAAAATTGTTTCTTGTCGACAGATATTTGCCACAGAGAGGCTGCATGTCGTAGGCCAGCCCAAAACACTATTGATGTGTCGTAAGACGATGGTTACAACTGATATTCAAGTTTCTTCCTATTTGCGCCATTTTCGAGTTCAACGGACGGCTGATGGATTAACATACTAATTTATGTCAAACTCACTCAAATATGCATGGAGTATTGACGAGACGGGTAATAATCATATTAAAATGAATTGGTCATGAAATAGTAGTTACACGCGGTCCGAACTTCGACCGTTAATTTGAATTTTTGACCTACCGGATGTTTGAAAATCAAGGATTACGAGTCTCATAGTACTGCACCGTTTTCTTCAAACTTGTTCCATTCAAAGCATAACAAATATCCCTTTCTGATGGTACATTATTCTCTTAAACAGAGTCCCTACTTCCAGCGGCATTTTGGTCCTTAGCTGTAAGAAGGCCTTCTAACAGCTTGGGACCAAAACGCTGCTAGAACGAGGGACTCTTTACAATAAAGTAATGCACCGACAGAAAGGCAATTTTGTTTTGCTTTTAATGGTATAGGTTTGAAGTAAAACGGTGCATTATGAGACTCGCAATCCTTGATTTTCAAGCATCTGGTAGGTCGAAAATTCAAATTAACGATCGAAGTTAGGACCGCGTGAGTTAAACCACCAGCCGAACACCGAGATATTTTAGTAATGGCTACACTATTTGAAATTTAGCTGAGAAGTCCATTTGGAAATTGAACGTTTTTATACGATTTTACATACTAGTCGTCTGTATAAACCCCAAATCCAATTCCTCCTAGTAATTAACATAGGCCTATTTTTATTCCATATGTTTTCCAAAGGAAATGATAGAAAATGAAAACAATACTTGTAATCGTATTGACAGCTGAAATATATAAAAATCGAAATGATAGGAAAAATGTATGGACATGTGTACGGAATTATCACATTCATCTTGTTTTATTTTCCCGAGAATTTTGAACTAGTCTTTTTCTGTGCTGATTTGTTAATATAAAGATTAAAAATTAGATTTTTGAGTTTGATCAATGGTTTATATCAAAAGAATAAAAATATTAATCATAATAAGTGGGTGGGGCAGATGAGTAATGCGCACGCGCAACGAAGCATTTTAAGTGCAGTGTAACACCAAATAATTGCTTCGTTAGGGTTGGATGAAGCCAGTGTGGACACAATTTTTTCGCTAACCTTCGTTACAAAAATGCTTCGTTAGACTCAACCCAGCAGTGTAACAGGTACCAATGTACGTCGCATTATGTCAATTTTAGTAACTAAATCACTTGATAAAAAATATGAATTTGTATTTATTTTTGTTATCTTTATTAAAATTCATAACTGTACAATTTTACATTTGTACATGCAACCGAGAGCTTCAACTGGTGTATTTAACTATTCTAGTATCTTATCAAAAAGGCAATCAAAAATGCAAACAATGACTTCTGTATTACAATACTAGTATATTGTACATTTTCATCATTTTTAAAAAGTATGTCCATGTACTGTATCTCACACCATTTTCTGCTAATGACTATTACATGATCAATATGAAAGTAGCATTGAATAAAATAACATTATCATCAGTGTCATTTAAATTACAACTTGATTTTAGATTGGAATGGTGTTCATGAAATAAGATAAAAACAGATCATCAAAGTTCGAATTGTGAATTGTTAACTTATTCCTAATCATCACATTATACTCGAACAATACTGTACAGTTACAATACCATGAACACGGTGACGTTGAGATTTCAGATTTCGGATTGGAAGTATGTAGTTCATGTAGTTAGAGTTGAATAATTGACTTTTTTTACCTGATTATGATAACGTCACATAGTCAAGTTTATCAACAAAAATATGTCTTTATTCAGTAATTTATTCCAGATAGGTGTTCTTGGCATTTTATTGTTCAATTTTATAAATTTATTTTGCATATAGATAGTTTTACAAAAAACTTAAATTAAATGGAAATTCAAATAACATGTCAACCATTTCTGATGCTTTTGATGTTATAAAGTTGTAAGATTTAAATATACTGTACATTTTTTGCTTGATAATATCATCGATAATACGACATAACAATGACCCAATGATGACAGTTTTTTGTTATTCTCTGTTAGTCTTATAGTCACATATGAATGGATGCCTGATTAATCATATTTTCATTGACAAGTATGAATATTCATGTACCACACTACAAGTAAAAGGCTCTAGAAAGCTTCTGTTTTTCTTAATGATACATCCACTGTACCTGTACATGTATGTTGATATCTCAGCTCCATTTTCAGACACATATTTTCAGATCCATCACAAATGAATTTGTACTATGCATTTTCTAAAATTAAATAATGAGGTTTAAGCTACACGTTTTAAGAGAACTTGTACACGATTGTGTATTATTATGACCCCTTGTAGTATTGGGATTACAGGGCCATTACAGTCCCCCTCTCAATTGGTCTTTCCAGGGACCTAATTACAACCATTTCCCTTTCACCTTTATACTCAATCAGGCAATAAAATAGTAAGAGAGAACTAATACCTAAAGGACCATAGTTCTACACATTCACATATAGGTTCTCTTAAAAACGCAAAACTAAACCATCCTAATATCTCCTATGACTTTCTTGCATCATTTCCACTTAAATTCATCTTTAGTTTTTGAGCCCCTTGGTTTGGTTGGGTCATATTTATATGTCTTTGGCACGGCTCCTACACCTGCCTTTTTGAATTTCATTTCATTGAGTCTCTCTCTTTCCTTCATTTGCTGGTTGATCTTGGCATTTTCCCAGGCTGAAATACAAACAGAAAAAAATTAATTAATAATAATCAATTAAGAATTTAATTAAAAACTGATCATGAAAGATAGAGAATGAAAGAGGTCATTTTTGCTGATTTGGCAATTTTTTATTTGGTTAAGGCAGATTGGGAACTAGATTAGGCCTAAATGCCTTTAAATTTTGCTACTTCACTGCAATATTACTATTTTGATACAAATAGAAATTCATTCAATGATCATTATCTAATGCTAACAAGCTCCTGTTTCAGTCATCTAGGAGTCAACACTGTATGAAATACATATACACTACAGAATACCAGGAATTAGAACTGAAATTTTGTGACCATCCATTTTGAAAATTTTCAAAAGCTCATGAAAATGAGTAGCATGCAAATATTGACCAAGCAAGAGTACATTAACTAAACTACGATGTACTCACAATCTTTGAATCCTTTGATGAAAGGTTTCTTAGGTGCGAGTACTGCATTGTCATGTTTCACTAGCCTCTCAATGCCCAGCTTGTCCCGCAGACCTGGGATCTTCAACACACTAACTTGCACGAGTGAGAAAGTATTTGAGGTCAGCCAATAGCACAGCATAGCCTGAAATAAATAATATCCTGATAGCATCAACTTCATTACTTTTTATGAAAACAACAACAAAATACCAATTATTCATGAAATATATATAGCATCAGTTTATGCTTCAGTTTCATCAATCGTAAACGATCACTCCGATGGTGTTTTTTGAAATCTAACAGCACTATGTCTATTTTTTAAAGTTCTGGAAGACATCTCAAAAGTAATAAAAATATTGAAATTAGAATCCAAATATGACATCTCAATTAAATACTAAATATTTTTGCAAAAGCTTGACTCTTTGGTCTTTGCACATCCAATCAAGAAATGCAATCAGAAAAATCACAGCATAATATTTTCTGATTAAAAGTACTGTGGATACACTTAATTTGGCTCCCAATTTAATTTGGCAGATTCAGAAAAACCGCCAAATTAAAAATCTGTCAAATTTCAGAAATTAAAACTTCTGGGGCCCCTTTTCCTGTCAACATGTCATAAATTCTACATTATTCCAAAAGAAATACAGAAAATGTCTTAGTAAATAGTAAAATAAATGTCTTAATGACATAAACATAGGCAAAAATTAAACTTCAGTCCTGAATTCGCCAAATTAAATAGCCGCCAATATTTGACATTGAGCAAATCTGTCAAATTAAGTAGCGTCAAAATAAGTGTATCTCCAGTTCCTGACATTCCACATTCAAACTCCAAAATGATACCATCTGCCATTTGTTACATTTGATCACCAAACACCAACCGCCACAAACTGTGGTGGTGACATAATGATATTAATGTATGAAAGATTCTTACAGCTGGAAAGTTGATCATAACAGGAACCATTATAATAGGGATACATCTGAACATCCACTTCATGTTAAAGCTTTGAGTGCTCAGCTTCATTCCACTGTCAACTCCCAACTGAAATAAACCAAACATTCATTAATTAAACTTCCAGTGCAATGTTTGGATTTGAAGTACCTCACAAGTTCACCAAGTTCTGCTATATACACAGTATGAAGGGAATAGAAACATTCAACATTCATTTTCTATTCTATCACACTCGATCAGAGTTAAAACCTCAAATCATCAATTTCCTTGAATAAATCTCAAATCTAAAAATTGGTATATAAAATTGTCCAAATAACAAAAATTGCCACAGGCAATGCGCTTATTTTTGAAGGAAAAAGGACAAAATATTATTTGAGACATGTCACTCACACAGTCAATCAAATATGATAAAAACTTTAATTTGGGTCAATACTGAAGTGAAAAAAAAAATTACTCGCATAGAAAACAGCATTTGAAGTCCAGAGATCAAAAGAAGTGAATTACCACTTTTCACAAAGTGTATGTTTTTAAACTCTTGGACTAAAAGATGGCGCATGGTTGAAAATCCTATCAAAAATGAATGGACAATTAATGCAAACAACAATGCCATCTTTCTATGGCATTGCTAAAAACTTGACATCTATAAATGGATAGATCAAAAATATTTTTTCATGATCTAGTGTCAACTCTGATGTGGTCTGTTTGAGCTGTTTTTGGTGTCAAATGAAAGATCAGGTACTTATTTATCCATTGGAAATACTATATGAAGATCAAAAGTGACTTCATTTACACACTTTGTCCCTTTAATCTACAAAATCTCCATTTACAATCTCCACTGACCTACAAACCTGTATTGCATAGAAACACATATTTTGTTGACAACAAGTCTCATTTGTAACAGAGCAGGTAGGCATTTTGACAAAATACCTCTATTGTGACGAAGAATGAAAGTCTTGTGATAACATACCTCCATTGTGACAAGAAAGGTAAGCATTGTGACAACATACCTCTATTGTGACGAGGAAGGTAATTATTGTAACAACATACCTCTATTGTAACGAGGAAGGTAATTATTGTAACAACATACCTCTATTGTAACGAGGAAGGTAATTATTGTAACAACATACCTCTATTGTAATGCGGAAGGTAATTATTGTAACAACATACCTCTATTGTAATGAGGAAGGTTATTATTGTAACAACATACCTCTATTGTAACGAGGAAGGTAATTATTGTAACAACATACCTCTATTGTAATGCGGAAGGTAATTATTGTAACAACATACCTCTATTGTAATGAGGAAGGTTATTATTGTAACAACATACCTCTATTGTAACGAGGAAGGTAAGCATTGTGATAATAGGTAGGACGTAGAAGGGATCTGGTATGGAGAGATCAGTGAACCAGAACAATCCTCCAGTCTTCATACTCTCAATAGGCAGGTTAGCCATTGCCCTCAGCCCATAGAACACAGATATAAACACTGGCACCTGTAATCAGACATATAATCTCTCAATAGGCAGGTTAGCCATTGACTTCAGTCCATAGAACACAGATATAAACCCTGGCACCTGCAATCAGACATATTATCTCTAATAGGCAGGTTAGCCAGTGCCCTCAGCCCATAGAACACAGATATGAATACTGGCACCTGCAATCAGACATATTATCTCTCAATAGGCAGGTTAGCCATTGCCCTCAGTCCATAGAACACAGATATAAACACTGGCACCTGCAACTAGACATATAGTCTCTCGTAAGCCAGGAATGGCTGGGCATGCAGTCCTAGCTTTTTAAAAGAATTTTTAACATGTATATGTACAGACTTGCCAACCTCCCGTTTTTTTACGGGAATCTCCCGTAAATTTTTTGTATTTCCGTAAAAAATACCAAACTCCCGTACCGTTTTCTCCCGTAAAAACTCCCGTAAACTCCCGTACCGTATTTCTACTAAAATCTCCCGTAATTTTTTTTAAGAATATGGTCGTAAAATCTCCCGTATTTTTGCTGAAATCTCCCGTATTCTGGTGTAACTCCCATAAAATCTCCCGTATTCTTGGTATAACTCCCGTAAAATCTCCCGTTTTCTGATATAACTCCCGTATTCTTGGTATAACTCTCGTAAAATCTCCGTTTTTTGCTGTCGAAATCTACCGTATTTAAAAGGAATTTGACAAATTTGTGACTTTGATTATTGCAGGCACGCTTCTTTCTTTTACTCCAAGAAGGTTGGCTCCCATGGTTCACTATCGATACTTTCATAAATAACTTAAAAGTACTTCATTCCCATGATTCAAATTGCTTTTCTGCGATCAGTTCGGTATAAGTTTGCACACCAAATGTCCACAAATGGGGGCCAGTTCATATTCTGTCATACTTCTGTCGGGAGAATACATTTTTTTTTTATATGGCGCTAAACAAAATATTGCCGCAATATAAGGCGCATTATGGGTAGGGACTGCTGTGAAATAATGAACGTAAGTGACATCTATCTTAGATAATAAGTTCTAATTAATTTATTAACTGCGCATGCGTCGTAATAATTTCAACCAATTAAATCGCTGGATTTAATGCTCATAAATCTTCCGTAAAAACTCCCTTTTTTCAAAATCTAGAGTAAAAACTCTCGTTATTTCAGAGATCTACCGTAAAAACTCACGTTTTTTTCAAAAGTTACCGTAAAAACACCCATTTTTTTCAGAAACCTACCGTTAGAACTCCCGTTTTTTCAGAAATCTACCGAAAAAAATAACGTTTTTTCAGAAATCTACCGTAAAAACTCCCATTTTTTCAAAATCTAAAGTAAAAACTCCCGTTTTTTCAAAATCTAAAGTAAAAACTCATGTTTTTTCAGAAATCTACCGTAAAAACTCCCGTTTTTTCAAAATCTACCGTAAAAACTCCCCGTTTTTCAGAAATCTACCGTAAAAACTCCCGTTTTTTCCGAAATCTACCGTAAAAGCTCCCGTTTTTTCAGAAATCTACCGTTAAAACTCCCGTTTTTTCAGAATCTACCGTAAAAACTCCCGTTTTTTCAGAAATCTACCGTAAAAACTCCCGTTTTTTCAGAAATCTACCGTAAAAACTCGCGTTTTTTCAGAAACCTACCGTAAAAACTCCCGTTTTTTCAGAAACCTACCGTAAAAACTCCCATTTTTTTTAAAATCTACCGCAAAAACTCCCGTTTTTTCAAAACCTACCGTAAAAACTCCCGTTTTTTCAGAACCTACCGCAAAAACTCCCGTTTTTTCTGCAATCTTCCGTAAAAAAGTCACGTTTTTTAAAATTTACCGCGAAAAATAGCTTTTTTAAAAAATCTCCCGTAAAAACTCCCGTTTTTTCAAAGTCTCCCGTAAAAACTCCTGTTTTTTTTCAATTTACCGCAAAAACTCCCGTTTTTTTTAAATCTCCCGTAAAAACTACTGTTTTTTTCAAAAATCTCGTGTAAAAACTCCCGGTTTTTATCAAAAAACTCCCGCAAAAACTACCGGATTTTGAAAAAAACTCCCGTAAAAGTACCGCAATTTTTTTAAAATCTCCCGTAAATTTTTCATTTTAGGTTGGCAAGTCTGATGTATGTGTGAGACGTTAACAAACTATTTTACTACTACATATAACATTACTAGTGTAAGGAGGTGTCACCGAACAAACAAAAGTCGGACCGGTTCGGTTTGGAACATTTGGCTTCAAAACGGAACAATTTTTTGAACGGTTCCGGAACAAAGTGAGTAGACGCGTGTCTATGTGTATTATACTCTAAGTTGCCCCATTTATTGTCGGACAAGATCTAGTCATTTGCAAAAAAATTACTTAATTTTGCGAGTTTATGAACAATAACTGGATATCTAGCTTGTGCATGAAATAAAAAATTTAATTTACGTGCCCTAGAAGTAGATCTCCAATTCGAACTGGGAAGAAAAACAAAAATAACAATAAATTCACCTTGAGCGCCTGTTATTAGGACCTCACATCTTTGAAGGCACTCTGGTCCCGCTGAACCTAACCCCCGATCACAGGATTACCGCAATATTTCCAAACATGGTTTTTACTGTCCTTCGAAGAGTCTTCAATATATTGTTTCTCGGGTTTCAACTCATTTGACATTCTGAGTTTAGCCGCCACAATGATCATTGTTCCAACCCGAGAGCCTAGTTCCACGGAACGGGACAAATTCGGGTATCCGTGACACCTCTAAACATTACATTGGTAGATACAAAGAATAGGAAAGAGTAGTTCCATATGATCAGTAGTCGAATTCTCCTGAATTGAAATCCCATATTAATTTCAGGTGCACATAACTTATTCCATACATGGTTTACAACTTTCAGTTTTGCACAAAGAGCGCTAAAATATACATGAATCTAGAATGTTAGTTTTGAAGACTAAAATTCTAAAATTGATATGAGCTTGTCTATTGCACTGAATGGTATCATATAACATGAACTCACTTGTGCTAAAGGTACAAGGAAGTTTCTCATCACTTTCACGTCATTTCTTTTCATATATTCCACCATTTCATTGCCATACCGTGCAGCTGAAAGATAGAGACCAAACATTTGTACATAAATAATATAAAATGCACATAACTTTCAGTTAAAATAGGATAAAAAGCCATCTTGGTACACTGGTAGATTAATGAAGATAAAAACTTGTCTTTTAGTTGTAGAAAATTATTCCACAAGGGACAGGAGACTTCTTTTAACTTATAAAGATCCTAGGCTTTTAGTTGCGAAAAATTATACTACAAGCGACAAGAGCCCTTTTTTAACTTATACGACCCTGGTATTTTTAGTGAAAATGCCATGGCAAGTATCAATTGAACCTAATAAGGTCATCTCAGGTGCATTTTAACATGGAGTCAATGGAGGGAATCATTTGTTGAGGTAACCTACCATCCATAGCATTATTCTGTTGTCTAGCCTCAGTAAACTTTGCCTGTAGTCTCTGTATGGTTGGCATATGGTTGTGCATCTTGGCTGCATTCTTTTGTGACTTGATGACCAGTGGGAACATACAGCATCTTATGATCACTGTACCTGGAGTAGAAATAGTGAAACCTGTTTAAATCCAATGCTGAATTGATACCTCTAAAATATGTTCCACTTGGGAGGTGTTCCACTCATAGAGGTTCATTTAACATTAAGTCAGTCTTGACACTCTGAAAAGTGTTCCGCTAACAGAGGTGTTCCACTTTAAAGGTTTCACTGTATAATCAAATTCAACTCTGGATGGAATACATGTACATGTTCCTTAGGGGAATAATCATCAAAATAGTCTCAACAATTCCTGACACCTTTTGGTGATTTTATAAAAAATTTGAGTATATTGGCTTGATGCCATTCTTTGTTACTATGTTAATGTTCATGAACTATTCACTGGATGTCTATTTCTTTAAGGGGAGTGGGCCCATTAGAGTTTAGCCTGTACTAATGTTTTTGTCAACGTTTTCTTGTTTAAAGACATTAAAAGGCTATACATTTGTATGCTATGTTGTAAAAACATTAAATGTAAAAACTATAGTATCTTTGTATGAATTGGCCTTCCTAGATCTTATATTTTCATAAACCAATCGCCATTTTTTAAAAAATGTCAATGTATACTCAGCAATGCCAGAGTACACATTGGGATGCTAGAATCATCTGAATTAACATCTGTGGATGGAGCTCTCTTTTTAGGAAGTAACATCAAAATATTGAAAATGCAAAGGATAACATACCAACTGCTATGGCAGCAAACCAAGGCAGACCTCCAGATACATGTAACATCTCAAGACCAGACTGGACCAAGCCACTGGGCCAATAGCCCCCCAGTCCTAAACTGGTAAATGTTGGCTCACCGAGTGCATTAAGGACAGGTTCTATTGGCAGTACAGGTTCGGGAATTGGGGGAGGTTCTGGTATATAATCTGCAGGGGGTGGTAAGAAATCACCAGTTTTTGTAGCCTTGAAAATAGAAATAAAATCTGAAAATATCTAAAATCTAATTTGTATGAGTGATGTCCTGACACATAAAGTTTCTGTATCTCTTTTAAAATATTTAAAAAATTTACATGAACATTTAACATGGAAATGTGGTTTGGATCAAATGGGAATTCTAAATACAATATTTAATATAAAATCAAAATTTTAAATTAATTTCAATCACTAGTTTATAGGGGTTTAAATCTGTCTATGTTCCTTAAAATATTGCCCTTTGTGTTTTCATTCTGAGAACATACCTCTACTGTACTGTTTAACCTTGTTGATAATGGACCACATAACAGGTAGCCTTGTGTTGTTAACTTCTGCCTCTTCAGTAATAACCTAGAGTTAATACAGCCTACAGGTTTCTGATTTCTACAAACTGAACCAAGTCCTCTGATTCCGAGCTGTCGCAGCATCTTTCTAGTCCCAGGGTTACGCCAACTATTCATCACACATATTAACTGGAAAACACATACATTTTGATTATTAAGACTAAAAGTTGGTAATGCCTCAGTCAAATTTGCTCTACAGCTAGGATATGGCAGTCCAAGTTCCCATAAACCAAGAAATCTGAAATTGTTTCAAGGTCACCTTATGGCTTATTCCTATTTATTTCAGGCTGTAGGGTTGCTGTGGATGGAGCTTTTTTGTTACTTTGTTTGTTGGAGATATTAGAAAGTCTGACAGAGCAAAGGCATTCTGTAGCATGTACCCTACAGCTACCTAGCATCTGGCTTGGTATTTGAAAGTCAAACAAAAGTCAAATCTGAATTCTAAAGTCAGATTTGAATTTCTTAGAACTTGTAGATGATTTGGGTCAATTTGGAGCAAGTTGAAAAAATACCTTTTTGACCAAATCGATGTCCACTTATTTGTTGCCATGGTAACAGATATTGGCAGAAATGTGCTAGAAGTCATAACATGTTTGTATATGATGACAGTAAAAATTTGAAGTCTGAGTCTCAAAAGCACTTGTTAGTTAAGCACTTATTAGAAGTTATAAGAATTTGTTACTGACGCTGAACACCAACTGCCGCACACCATCCTGATAACCAAAAACAGGCCTGGCGATATTAATTAATTCAAAGTTCAGTTAAATCAAATTAAAAGGCAATTATATTTACATATACTATGATTTTATTTCATATCACCTTTTCATCAGTCCAATTATAATATTCCAATTAAAATATTTTTCCTGAAGGCAAATAAATCATAACATTAATTTTGCTCATGTAATTTACTTTTATTCTACACCAGTGATCAGTTGACATCAGTACACGGAAAATTAAAATGTGGCAGTTAAATACAAACAATATGTTGCAGAAACTAAAGAAAAGATACTCAAAATTGATTTATGATTCTCAGTTTTTGTGCTATGTAAGATACAAAAGATCTGACATTGTTCGTTTTCAGAAGGTGCTACTTTGCATTACATTTTTGTATATGCTGAGGTGTGTTACAAGAGATACTGGCAATATCAAAAATGATGATCAACAATTTTGGAAAAATCCGCAAGAAATGGCAATTCTCAAACTAAAAGAGAGGACTCATTACCCAGAAGTCATGCTAAATGATAACATTATGCCAGAAGCATATCTTAACTGGTATACTACTGATGAATCGGGTCACAGATTTATAAACGAACGTGGAAAATGTGAAGGAACTTTCTCATATAATCACACAGTTGGTGCATCAATAGCAATTGATCGTACAACCGATGATACCCGACCACCCGAGTGTGCTGCCACCTATGATAATATAAACCCTGAAGAGCTACCCCTGACTAGTGTTGTAATACCATTCCACAATGAACCCCTCTCGACTATAATGCGGACATTAATGAGCATCTTACGGCATTCACCTTATGAACCGCTTCTAGAAATAATTTTGGTTGATGATATGAGTGTAGGTCTAGAATGTATCCAAGAAGAACTTGAAAAAGCTGCATTGACCCTTGGAAAGATTAAAATTGTGCGGACTGTTATACGTGAAGGGTCAACAAGGGCGAGGATCATCGGGGCTGCATATGCTGTAGGTGAGGTTATTTCATATCTTGATTCCCATGTTGAGGCAAATGTTGGTTGGCTAGTGCCTGTACTGAAGCATATTAAGGATAACCCCAATACAGTTGTCATGTCAACACTTGATGGGATTGATGCTGAGAAATTCACAATAACACGTGCTTATACTGGCTATCATGGTGGGTTTAGCTGGAATCTCGAATTCTACTGGAAAAGTTTACCTAACCATATAAGGGCAAAACGTGTGTGGGAAAAGGATCCCATTCCTTCACCCATAATGCCTGCTGGTGCTTTTGCCCTAAGTCGTGAATTCTACAGAAAAATAGGACTCCTTGATAGCGATATGAAAATCTGGGGAGTTGATGATGTGGAGTTTTCATTCAGAGCATGGGAGTGTGGAGGCAGAGTGGAGATAATGCCCTGTTCCCGAGTTGGGCATATATTCAGAAAAAGGATCCCTTATTCATTCAATGACCTTCCAAACAAGGTTGTGTACCACAATGCAGTCAGATCAGCTGAGGTAACTCTAGAGAAATACAAAAAGTTTTTCTATGCACAATCTGATCAGCAGGACGTTTCCGTAAATGTGACTTCTTTATACGAACGTAAAGCATTACGTAAAGAAATTGGATGCAAAGGTTTTGATTGGTTCATGAAAAATGTTATCCCTGAAATGCCACTCCCGCCAGATGATGCGGTTTACTATGAACATATGTTCAACAAAAAGTCAGGAGAATGTCTTCAGTATGAAAACGGAAAATTTTTGATGACTGGCTGTGAACGTCCAAAGCGTTCACAAACATTTTATCTCTCAAAGCAAAATGATCTGAAATATGAGTCCGATTGTATTGGAGTAACTTCTAGGGGGTCATTGATTCTAAAGTCATGTTTAAAATCAGATCCAAAATGGGAGTATAAAAACCAACAATTAATATTTGGTGGCAAGTGTTTGACTACTGGTAAAAATAACATTTTGACCATGAAGAATTGTGATAAGACAAATTCTGAAGAATTATGGACATTTAGATACATGTTTGATTGGTCTAAACCACTGTCTTATTTGTAAGTAGAACTTTCCATCTTTTTCTGATTTCAAAAACCGGAACTAGATGTTTAACCTCGTTAACAAATGTATAGCAGATTTAGAGATGTAACAAATAAAAGACTAAAAATATTAAGAAATTATTTTATAATAGTTGTTAACATCGTGTCCTAATTGCACTCTCACTTGTTTCTAGCTTTTAGCATTACAGTTAAAAGTGTTAATTAATTTTTGCAAAATCAATTCTAATTCTGTTCTATGCTGGAGGTATAATGTCATCCAATGATTTGTTCAGTTTTAACTTGAAATCAATTTGTGTTCTCAAGTCAATTATGGGCTCTATCCCTAATATACCCCAATTCACTATTTGTTTATTTCTGAAAAATTCCTCTCTTTAAAATCCTTAAAAGCAGCATGACAAGATGTATACATTTTACTTATAAATACATACTAAAATGCAATTAATTCACAAATTATGTGAGCTACAAGTATTTCTTCACACTCCAATATTTAAAGAAAAGAAAGTTGCTAACAAAGTCTAACAATGATGAAAGTCATAGAGAGACTATTCTTAGTTTTAACTTCAGTATAGTTTTGGATCAGAAATAGGAAATCAGAACCCCTTTAGTTGTTAGAGCAAAGGACCAAGTATTTTACCAGAATACATACTCCCAACTAATAATAATAATCAATAGTTCAATCACATATTAATTGTAATGTCATAGTATTTAGCCCCAGGACCTTATATGAACTCTTAATTCATCGTTCTTCCGCAGTTATACATAACAAGATTAAATACATAGTTAAGATGGTTTATATCAGGTCAATTTATTGATAGCTTATACATTGCATAAAATGTGTTATGTAAACTCATTTTATTACAAAATTATATTATGATATGTGATTCTTTAATACAGGCATTCAGCTTGCAGTTAAAAGCAACCATATGCTTTGAAATTGTACAAATAACACTGATTTGCTGATATGAATATCAAAATGGTAAATTCAGATATTTCAAACAGGACCCATCATATACATGGCTTTAATTTAACTGAACATTTCATAGGTATATAAATGATAAAGCTTGTTTGTTGGGATTAAGAAATGACCAAATGTCTTAGGCAGTTAGGAAGAGGAAGTTGACAGTTTTATTAATAACATGATGAATGTTGAATTTTTTAAAATTAAGTGAAAGGCAATTGAATATTATCATGTTAAATACTTTTCAGCTTGGTGGGATGATTTAACTCAAAATGAAATAAGCTTCATTTTCCAAAACTAATTTAGCATTTGGACACCATCGCTTTATTCTCTGATGTTTAAATGTTACGGGTCAATGAACTTATAAACACCTGGAGAGTGGAGTTTTCAAATCAAGTACTCTCCATCGGCCTATCTCCAATTACTGAATGATTCTACAGATATAAAAGTTGGCCTTGATTTTGAAAATCACACCACTTTATCAGATCCTTTGTATTTGCATAGAAGGGTGAATCACTTCTTTGATTCAGTGTAACTCAGTTGCATCAATCAGTCTCAGAGCCTGATTTCAGCTCAACTATTACTTTGATTCAATGTAACTCAGTTACATCAATCAGTGTCAGAGCCTGATTTCAGCTCAACTATTAAACTACAACATTGTTCATAGACGAAGAAGGATAGACCTGTTACAGCAGCAGCTTTTAATAGACTAGGACCTAGTCCTTTATATAGTCCTATCACACCCTCATCCTTGACGATGCATAGAACACAATGTATAAGTCCATTGTAACGTTTCACTCTGCCGAAAGATACCCTCGCTTCTTCAAACCCTTGGATCTGGAGTCTCTTTTTGACAACATCGAGAGGATAGACGGCACCTTTACCAACTATTCCCGCTGCAGAACCACAAACAAGACTCTCTAACATTCCTGCGTAACGTGTATGATGGTGGCCATGCTCTTCCGCATAATGCTCCGCCATGTTCCAAATGTTCTTAAAGAGTGAGTAAAATCCAAACTGTAACCCTGCATAAGGAGCTGCCTGGACTAGGGTAGGAACCATACCCTTAAAGAAGGTTAAAGTCCCTTCAGCTAGCATGCATCTTGCAGCATGTATAATTCCATTGTAGATTTTGGGTTCTCCTTGAGCAACGAGTCTTGTTCTTATGACATCAAATGGTTGACAAGCTACACTGGCGATACATCCTGACATACTGCCACACAGGAAGTGAGTGACTGGGCGGTATTCTTTAGACATCTTCTGAGGTAAATAATGCCATGCTTGTCTGGTTAGAAATTCAAACGAAGCAAAAGCAATCGGTCCATAGATCAGGGAAAAAGATTGAACAGCTACATGTCCCTTCCATAGAGACCAAAAGCCTTCCTCCCTGATGATCTTCCTAAATGATTGTCTCAAACCTTTATATTTCGATGTGGGGGTTTTAGCTATTGGTTCTGTTTGAAGTTGAAATCTTATTTTGATGACATCTAATGGTTGCGTCAGAGAGCGAGTAACAATACCACTTACACCTCCTGCTAATGCATGGTCAAATTTTGAAAGTTCGTATTTCAACGGATGGTATCCCACCATGTTTTCTCTCTGGTTCTCTCAATTATGATATAATGCCAATAACAGTGTTCTCGAAGAGCAGACTAAATGCACTACAGCTCAATATTTTGTATTTGTTAAGTCTTATTAATCCATACGACTGTTTTTCAGACACTTTTATTGTGCCATTTATATGTGTGTTAACTTTGATATCACTTTTAAGTGTTTTAAGTACATCCATCTCATACACTGAACTTCACATTTTCAATGCATGTCTATGGTAGTGTTACTGTGACCTTGACCTCTACATAATCTTGTACAATGTCCTCATGTGTACTGTGTTGTCCTTGGATCAAACCCAATATACATTTACAGTAGATTTTGTATTGATCTAGTTTTTGTACACAAGCTGCTATATTGATTTCTGAGCAGTGGCTCAGAAATCTGTATAAATGCATCTGCTTCCTATCTTATTTTTCTCTCAAAGTTATCTGCATCTTCCCTGAACATCAAATGTACACTGCTATTAAAGGCGTATATATTTATAACATGCTAGCTGGCTAAGAGTGGAGAGCTCTATATTGTATATAATGTAGAATGGTTGCAAAGTTGAAATCAATAAAATGTTCTGCCTGGTAAACATGTTTATAATTATTCTTTACTAGGTTTAACCTAGTTTTTATGAGGAGTTGGTTTTTGTGTGAACTTTAAAAACTTACTCACATTGAATAGTTATCATGACCTTCAAAATACTAAATTGGCTTATATCTGGAGTGAGTTCAACGTCGTTCAACTCAATAACGGCGTTCTTTATTATTAGGAATTTTCTTGGGGCCATTATTGAGTTTAACCTCCATGCTATTCTTTCCTTTGATGCAAGTTGTGGATCTATCGAAACCACTTTTCCTCGCTAATATGACACTGATACTTAACAATAATATAAAACCACATTTCATCAGGCGATTTCACATAATATTATTGTGTTAAATGTTCATTTTTAATCGTAAAATGAGTCTTATTCTTACCAATTTATGAGACGATTATTTCAACCGGCAATGTCTGTCTGTGCGTCGCCAAAGTAAACTTGGTCAGCGAAACGAAATTGTTCTTCAATATTGATATTTATTATAACCATCCAGTATGACACGAATCTTTGCTTTATTCAAACAGCGCGTGTATTCACCCAAGTTTACTCTATTGTTATTTATAAAAACCTAGTTTAACCTAGTTTTTATGAGGAGTTGGTTTTTGTGTGAACTTTAAAAACTTACTCACATTGAATAGTTATCATGACCTTCAAAATACTAAATTGGCTTATATCTGGAGTTAGTTCAACGTCGTTCAACTCAATAACGGCGTTCTTTATTATTAGGAATTTTCTTGGGGCCATTATTGAGTTTAACCTCCATGCTATTCTTTCCTTTGATGCAAGTTGTGGATCTATCGAAACCACTTTTCCTCGCTAATATGACACTGATACTTAACAATAATATAAAACCACATTTCATCAGGCGATTTCACATAATATTATTGTGTTAAATGTTCATTTTTAATCGTAAAATGAGTCTTATTCTTACCAATTTATGAGACGATTATTTCAACCGGCAATGTCTGTCTGTGCGTCGCCAAAGTAAACTTGGTCAGCGAAACTAAATTGTTCTTCAATATTGATATTTATTATAACCATCCAGTATGACACGAATCTTTGCTTTATTCAAACAGCGCGTGTATTCACCCAAGTCTATTGTTATTTATAAAAACTTTAAAAAGCAATACTCGCAACATTATTGATGCATTTGATTACTGGTAATTTCAGCTCAAAGAAATATAGATGTCATTGATTGTGCTAGATTGTGATTGTGTTGAATAATTGTGCCTAAATATTAAATTATGGTAATTGTTCATGGTTTTCTGCTTGCAAAAACGTACCTAGGAATACACTCAATTGTTTATAACTGGGATCATGTATTTTACTCAGGATACATGCTTTGTAACAATTGTTACATTTTAATAACTTCAATGTGGTGATGTATTGTGATAAGATTATATGTACAGTGATCTCCCCATGTCACTTTTACCGGGGACTCCCCCTACTTGAAACCAAAGGCCCCCCAGTTGGCATCTGCACTTCAACTTCTGATTTAAAGAATGAGTGAAGTAAGCACCTACACTGAGATATTGTGAGCGTAGCGAGTGCTGATTTTTTTAGACTTAAAATCGTGCACCCAGTTGAAAATTTTTTTTGGGGAGAACACTGATGTATAAGCATGGTTGTTTTATTCCTAGCTCTTAAATGTATGATGTTCTTAATAAAATTAAACAGAAGTTTTGTTTATGCTATTTTATAAAACATATTTTTCTACAATGATATTTCATTTACTCAATGAGAGAAAAGTTAAACACATGTGTTTTATCACGATATTGGAGCAAGTAAATGTGCTTTTAACCTATACTTCACACCTGATTTATCAGCTCGATACCTCCAAATCTGATTTTTTTCAAATCAACACTTTTCAGCTTTTTTCGATCTCATTACTCTAATGTTAAAAAACCTTACTTGATCGTCATTAAACATTCAGTCAAAATGATGTCATACTATCTAGTATTTGAAATGTACATGTAAAAGTACATCAAGAAATATTGCTTCAAATATTGTTGATCAATTTTGAAAAAATTTTGTTTTGGAAAATGTAAATGCTAGTACGGGGAGATTCAACATATAAAGTCACAAAAAGTGAAATATGTTTTCTTGTATTGGACAGATAATATTTTCTTTTACATTATTTTAATTTGCATAACTATGTCATGCTATGTGACCTGAATGAGCCACCTGGTGGTGAAACTGGTAACTACCTACTCGCATCTGAGTTATTACAATGGGAAATCACTGACTTTCTGGGAGAGAAAACTTTGGCACAATATATATTTAAACATGTAAGAAAAATATCTAATAGGATAGTTTCTAAATAGCAGAAAAATCAATGAAACCTCGTGCTGCCATCTTTTATTCAGCTTTTAACTCTGGCTAGAGCTCCATTCACTTACATGCTAAAATCTTGGAAAAGTGGCTTAATTTCATGATTTATCAAAGTGTGTTTGTTGAATCTGTATAAAACTTGAATGATATACCACATGATGACCCTGTTTATGAACATGTTGTGATTAAACATGCTAATGTTGATTGACATACAAATAATCCACGGTTTTAAAGAATTTTAGCATTGCATCTATGGACATTTGGCCCAACATTTTTTAAATTGTCATAGAAAATTATTCAAATTACATAACTGTGTAAATCAAAGCTATTATAGGAGAAAACATTCCACTGAATTCAAATATACCATTTAAAAGAAGGTAATGTAAGTCATTAGAGGTCTAATATGCAAGTCTCTTAAAATCTCACGAAAAACGAGATTTAGCGAGATTTCAAAAGCTATATGGAAACTATACTATTATTCCGGCAGTATCACATGCTTGCGTCTGTCCAAAGATGTTGAAAGCTTTAGCATTTTAGCCAGAAATTTACCATAATTCTGAAAATAAAACAGGAAAAAAAGTAGGAAACTTAATCATGTTTATCGCAAGCCTCCTACAGTATTACAATATTTTGTACTTATATATAGGATAACCGGGGTTCGTTTCGTTTTATAAACTTGTTTCGTTCAGTGTTGCTAACGGCGGTTTATTCCTGAAAGGATTTGCCATTTCGATGTTACCGGAACCAGAACAGAGTTTTCTAAACTAAGAAAAAGCCTTCTCCCAACATTTTCATAATTATACATCGATGAGGTTACAGGGGGGTATGTGATGATTTGTATTTATTCATAAGGTATGTATGCATGCGTTGATCACATTATTTCTGTAACGATACCATCTTATTACGGTTTAATTAGTTCCGCATGTCGAAACCTGCTGAACGATTAAATGATCGCATCAAGGGCAAAATCATCATGGAAGTTAGACCTAGCCGGGGCCATAAGACATGTCAGATAAGAAACGAGGCCCAGGCTAGGTCTAATGTTGTTGGACTAATCTGGAGTGTGCTATGGGTCAAAACAACTTCAAAACGTGCACCCTGTTTTACATTAATTAAGGACAATTGAAATAGGTTTTCTCAACTTGCAACTACAAAAATGACCCAATGTAGAATTCTCATGATAACAATTATACAGGGTGAGCCAAAAAAGGTAACCAAAACAAATGTTAATAACTCAGTCTTTCAATACAGATTTCAAATCATATTTGGTACAATTAAAACTTAAATGTAAATATTCTTTCATTCAACTAAGTTTCAATGGTCAAGATTTTATGGTCATTTTACAAAACATGCTCTAAATGCGAAAAAATCACCCGATATAAACTTTTATCTTTGGAGCTATTTCAAAGATACTGTCAACACTTACAACTCTAGAAGCATAGTGTGAGTAATAACACATAGTCTAATTCTTATCTTTCTCTTAGCCACAGATTAATATAAACAATATTATTATTGGAGACAGAATGCAACGTTTGTATGCCAATTGAGACACATTTATGCCAAATCATAATTGAGTGTATTCCAAACTCTCTTTTCTTAAGGAATACCAAAAAACCGCATTAGCTAAACTGAGTTAGAAACATTATAAAAATACAATCAACTCTGTGAAATCATAACAATCACAGAGTTGATTGTGTAATAAATGTACTGTCTATTTGTATAAACAATTAGCCGATGATGGAATCGTCGGTCTCAGAGAATAGAAAACTGGTGCCAAGTTTTGGTGTGGCAAAATCATCCAGCTTTCTTTCCTGAGACCGAAGATTCCTCATCAGTATAATTGTTTATACAAATAGACAGTACATTTATTACACAATCAACTCTGTGATTGTTATGATTTCACAGAGTTGATTGTATGTTTACAATATTTCTAGCTCAGTTTAGCAAATGCGGTATTTTGGTGTGAGTGAATATATTATATTCTCACGAGAGTATAAAATGTACGATATACAGAATGAACCATTATATAATCTTATAAGCCACTCTAAGTTTAATTACAGTCGATTCAAACACAATCATAACAATTATAAAAACCATAAAAATATCCTATAGCCAACTCAGTAATGCCGATGTTGATCTTGATCCATTTATGACGTCACTTGATTCTAGCAAATCATGTGGGAACCATTTATGACGTCACTTGATTCTAGGAACAAAACATACGCCTCGTGCTTTGGTCAATATTCATTAGTTCCCAGAATGCACTTCTACAGTGGTATACGCTGGAGTGTATACGGAGGAGTTGTATACGATGACGATATACCACTCTCCACTGTATATCGTTGTTATAGACCCATGTTATACAACTGTAATCGGACTTAGAGTGGTATAATTCAAATTATAAGATTATACATTTTTTTCATCATTTTTTTCCCTACAAAATGGTTATAGAAAAATGCTTCAAAAGCAACTTTTACACTTATGAAATCCCATACAACTTTGGAAATCCAAAGCTTATACTGTTATGTTTCATTAATTAAAGAGAGAATCAGATATAGCAAGCAGGCTAAACAAAAAATTGTCTCAATTTTAGAATATTTTTGGCTCATGTCATTCCTTGTCATGTCTATTTTCTAAAAATCACAAAAGTGCATACTTCATTCCAGGAAAAACTAAAGATTTTTACAATAATGTATTATTTTTCTATAAAAATGGTTACCATTATTTGGGAGAATTTAAACTTTTTCCACCCATTTTTGCACTTTGAATCATTAATAACTTCACCAATTTATAACATATTGTGAATCTTTTGGGAGATATTGTATTTGATATTGTAAGGAATAGATTGGTAGGTCAATTATAAAAGTTGCTTGTTATTTTGTCACCCCTATAGATCTGATTCTGCCTTTAATAACATATTTGGATAAGATGTTGGGATGTGTAGGATGCAAATGGATTTTGACAGACACAAAAAGACTTCCTGGTTTGGCATCTCTACCCCTGTACACTTTATGATTGAATATTGGCCCTAATAAGTTACCCATTCATCAATACAGTGCTGAATATAGGTCAACAAGATACTAGTGTACATATAAATGTAATAATAAAAGCAGTATATTTATTTTGAAAAATCAGATGAATTTATTTTTGTTCATGGGGAGATCATAATGGAGGGTGCACTAGATCCTTTGCCACTGTTTGAATGAAATAAATGAAAGCAGAGGTTTTTAAAGACAATAAACAGGGGTCTACCTTTTGGCAGATGGATATGGAAACTCATGAAGGAATGAGGCAAGATTACTCTGAAAAACCGCTACGAGATTTTGACAACAATTAGAAATATTTTTTTCGAATTTCGACTCAATTTTTCTTCTTGAGAATACCACAGTCAGTATGCAGCCCAAATCATGATCTATATCTTTTTCTCTCTAAGTTCAATAACATGAAAATATTCCATTTGTCAATTTTGCCATGTCAGATGATGTTCTTACATAACTTATTTCATTCACACACGAACTGGCTCTATCAAATGTCACACATAAAGTTACACTAACTAGAATCACTTTGCAAACATATAAAGCAATGTTGAAATGTCACACGGATTATGTTATACAGTGCTGATATATAATAATAAAGGGTGCGTTTTCAAACTAAACAGAGTGCTCCTACCAAAATGAATTTCCGATCTACTAGTTACTCTGAGACTCTTATTTAATAGATAGAATGCACAAATAAAACAAAAGTTTTGCTATTATAGGTGAAAAGTTCTCTTAAAAATTCGAAGTGATTTTACCTGTTAATTCTATACTTGGTCCGCCATGTTGGCGGAAGTTACACTGAAACGCAAACTCCATGAAACGAAAAAAATCATTAGAAAAAGCCATGGCACACATTGTGCGCATGTGCAGCAAAGTTTAAACCAATCAGATTATTTGATTATTTTGCGCACATGAATTATTTGCTTCTGAGCACTTACAAGATAACCACAATAAACAAACCTGGCAGAGACTACCCTTAGCCTACTTCATTTTAGTGAAATTTCAGCTCAAACTCTTGACAAATGTATTTTGCATACACTGGTCACATGAAGCCTTAGGAGACACTCAGTTTGGTAAATATGATTTACCGTACTTTTCTGCAGTTTGTGGGAGTTTGGGACATTAAATGTTAAAATTCAAGAAAATATGCCAATTATACGAATTTTCAATTATTTTGTATCAGCACTATAAGTAACAATGAATACTGAACGAATTATACATGGATCAACATAAACTTGGAACGAACATGTGAAATTAGGAATTCGCCATTTTGACAATTCAGATTGAACTACAGTTGGGGACAAAAATAAATGACAGGTCGATTTTCGATCACCATTTCCTAATTATGGTGGTCTGAAAGCCCATAATTTCCAATATTGTCTAGATACATATCCCTTAAAATTTGTATATTTTACATTTTGTATAATCTCATCCACTGATTTATGGCCTCTTGTAAATTCTCTTATTTTTAACATGGGAAATCCTCACTTCAGCAAATCCACCTGTCATTTATTTATGTCCCCAACTGTAGAGTCCATTTCACTGCTTCATTTCGTCAGTAGAACGGCAAAAATAAGAAATTGGGAGACCATTGTGCAATAATATATGGAAAAGTATATTCATAATGTACATGAATGACACTTGTATATCTTGGATTGCTTCTAGTTTGGCTTATAAAGTGTGTCGCCTCTTATATTTGGATGTTTCTCTGCCATGTTATTTTCAATAATATTAACATGGCTGAAATTCTTCAAATTACAAGACGGCACAGGCTAATTGCACAAAAAACTAAAAAATTTGAAATATACAAATGTCATTCATGTACATTATCACGGGATGTCATCGCCTGATTTGGTCAATGTTAGGGAGCAGGTCGTTTTTACAATAAATTTCAATATTTTCACACAAAATATTTTTTTACTGAAAAACTGCTCATTCGCAGAGAAAATGTACTAGCACATGCAATGACAATGTCAATCACGCTTCTGTACGAAATTCGGCGGAAGTCTTTTATAATCTAATACGAAGTTACTAAAAAAGGCGCGAACGCCCTACACTCAAAATGATCGTTTTTCCATTATAACTTTTTAACGTAATTTAACGAAGGCTTCTAATTATTATCCAAGATAGTCTAAATACCGATTAAAATATTTCTTACTTCAAACAGATACGCCGTCTTTTATTCAATTTTTTAAAAAATAATAAAAAATAACTCTTGTCAATGTTAGGGAGCAGTCAATGTTAGGGAGCAAAATGATTTTATCAGAATATTAAAAATGTAGCAAATGGCCATTTAAAATATGTATGGCATTTATAAACTAAACATTATTGTTTGAATGATTATTTTAAACCCCTTGCCTTAACAAAATTTAACAAAATCGATAAAAAAAATTGTTTTGCATTTTTGTTATCTTCAGAAAATGGACTCTCAAAGATTTTTGACGAAGGAAAGTTAATTATTATCATGGATAATCTCAGTACATATTGAAATATTTCTTACTTCAAACAGGTACACCTTTCTTTAATTTTTTTTAAATAATAAAAAATAAGTATGATCAATGTGGCGGAGCAAACAATGCAGTGGGGCGAAATGGTTTTATCAGAATATCAGAGTAATTGGCCTTTACAAACATGTATGTCATTTATAAACTAGACAAGATTGTATGATTGTTTTATACCCCTTGGTATAAACCTTACAAGCATACAGTATTGCTCAGCACAATATACACAATTTAACCAGATACAATAATTACATGACATCTCCCTTTATTCATGATATTGTATTTAAATAAATGAGCTCATCTTTGTATATAAATTATTGTTTTGAAATAGACCGGTAACACTTAAAGAAAGTCTAAAACTTTGTCCAATCATATTTTAGAAATGTTAGAATAATAAAACGGACTTCATGGGGCAAAATCCCAAAAGGTCCCACTAGGTCCCACGCCATGTTAAGTCTATGGAGGTCCCAACTTGTCCCATTGGTGTATACCGGGCTTTAGAGTATCATTAGCAAGTGGTACACATATAACAGAGATCGGTTATATACTGCATTGTCTGAGTATTGACAAATTGAAGTATACGTGTAAAAATCTACTATCATACATGTAACTGCGCAATGAGCCCTTCATAGCGTTTGTGCCAGCTATCAGGTGATACCCGGTCGTAAAGATAAGTGCGAGACTAACTCTCTTACTTTAATACTAGGAAAATATCAAATCATAGAACTGAAGGATGTCGGAGATTTCTCAAGCCTATATATCAGTTCAGATAATTTATCATCCACAATTTAGGATTGTGAACTGATGACATCATCAAAAAGTGTATATAACGATACATCCATTCATTTACAGTTAGAGGTCAACGAATAAAGAAGGAATGGTTCGCATCTAAATATTTCTAAAACGAACGTAAACAGGATTTAGCTGAAAATAAAAAATGCAAAATAACCTTTTCAATGATTTTCTTACAATTTTAACGCTTTCCTCCCCAAAGGGTATCAAATAATCATACAAACAAAATTGTTCAGTTTATAAATGCCATACATATTTTAAATGGCCATTTGCTACATTTTTAATATTCTGATAAAATCATTTTGCTCCCTAACATTGACTGCTCCCTAACATTGACAAGAGTTATTTTTTATTATTTTTTAAAAAATTGAATAAAAGACGGCGTATCTGTTTGAAGTAAGAAATATTTTAATCGGTATTTAGACTATCTTGGATAATAATTAGAAGCCTTCGTTAAATTACGTTAAAAAGTTATAATGGAAAAACGATCATTTTGAGTGTAGGGCGTTCGCGCCTTTTTTAGTAACTTCGTATTAGATTATAAAAGACTTCCGCCGAATTTCGTACAGAAGCGTGATTGACATTGTCATTGCATGTGCTAGTACATTTTCTCTGCGAATGAGCAGTTTTTCAGTAAAAAAATATTTTGTGTGAAAATATTGAAATTTATTGTAAAAACGACCTGCTCCCTAACATTGACCAAATCAGGCGATGACATCCCGTGATTATGAATATACTTTTCCATATATTATTGCACAATGGTTTCCCAATTTCTTATTTTTGCCATTCTACTGACGAAATGAAGCAGTGAAATGGACTCTTTATTGAACTGCACCCATTTTTTTGCCGCTGGCCATTCCAGATTACGTTATTGAACTTAGAAGTAGAGATCATGATTTGAGTTTACTGCATACTGACTGTGGAGAATACTGACTTCGCTGTCATGTTTGGCTGCACAAGCTGACATACCGGTAAGTACATCTGGGTTATATCATAACATTTCCTTAGTTTTAGATTTCGAACAACTCAATGACATTTTGACTCATACTTTAGCCTGAGAAGAGACATCTGATTTCTGATCTTGAATTTTTGAGTGATTTTCCTTGAGTGAAAACATGCAAGAATATATGTTAGCCTAACCGAGTGAAACTTTGAGAGAGTGGAAACTGATATATTTTATTTATAATTATTATAAACAAGAAGTGAGACTCACCTCAAATCCTCTATTTTGGCGTACAAATCCAGTGAAATTCGCATGCCGCAAAACGGAAGTCATTTTTCAAGGTCAATGTCTCGTCAAATGTTTTGATATTTCCCTCAAAAACAACTAGATATTTGTCAATTTGTATAGTTTTCTATATAGATTCGAGAAGAATAATGCAGGTTTGATATTTTCCCAGCATAATATACATGATTTTATTGATTATTTACGTTGATAGTCATATCAAAGTTTTTTCTTCGAGACTAAGAAAACTAAAACAAAAAATGGCGGCAATAATACGAATAAAGCGAAAACTTGATGAGGATCCCGCTGATAAGCTCGTCATTTATTGTAAGCGAATAAAATCAAATAGTGCGGAAGGTGGAGCAAGTAAATCAGCATCTGAGGATGTCAAGAATGAACTTACATTTGCTGGAACACTGGATAAAAAGGTAATGTAAATTCACATGTACACCATTGGTGGGTGATAATAGAGTAAATTAAATGTACTACTTTTTGCAAGGCCTGACTTCGTCGCTAACATGCTAAATATAAGAGTTAGCTGACGTTTGGGAGTCTGACTTACCTTCTAAAGGTTAGAACCCGAATCTTAATGACACCATATCACCTTTGTTCCGTCAACCATGGAGCATTTGCCACAACATCCAAGAGGTAAATCATGGACCGAGAAAATGAATGATTTCCTTGTAAGTTCCGGAAGTTTCAATACGAAAAATTACCGAACATATATGAAAACCGAATATTTGTTCGTTGTTTTCACGATTTACAGGTTCGTATGTTCTTCAATGTTTTGGTCTAAATTATAAAGCATCACCAACAGGTCTTACTCTATTAAGGTGCTATGGAACTTAACAGGAAATGACAAAACAGGAAGTGACAATTTTTTTTGCATTTTTAGACATTTTTTGAACAAGGATAACAGAGTTCTGTTTTGACCTCCAGTCAATTCAACTAGTTCCAAATACCATTTACAGGTCCAGGATCACAATGTTCATGGTCAGAATGACCCTAAACATGATGAAATAACGTTTTCAGCCCTATGAAAATGTGACTGAAAATAGCTAAAAGTAGGAGGGTAGGAAAGGTCACTGAACAGAATCTTTTGAATTTTTCAGAAAATGTGCCCAATATATTGCTCTAAATGATACAATCTTTGAAAATTTGATATCAATCATAGGAAAAGAAAAAAAATGTAAAAACTGATTTGAAAAGCGATCTATTTTCCTTTTTATGACCGCCATTTTTGTTTAAGACAATTTTCAAAAATTTCAAAGATTGTATCAGTTAGAGCATTATATTGGGCACATTTTCTGAAAAATTCAAAAGATTCTGTTCAGTGACCTTCCCTACGCTCCTACTTTTAGCTTTTTTCAGTCACACTTTCAAAGGGCTAAAAAGGTTATTTCATCATGTTTAGGGTCATTCTGACCATGCGCATTGTGATCCTGGTCATGTAAATGATATGTGGAAATAGTTAAATTGACTTGAGGTCAAACCAGAACCCTGTTATCTTTTTTCAAAAAATGTTCAAAAATGCAAAAAAAAATTCACTTCCTGTTTCGTCATTTCCTGTTAACTTCCATGGCACCTTAATCGACTAATACAGCAGACGGCTCATATTTCTACGTAGCATTTCGTTCAGACAAATAGTGGGACTGTAGATCACGCAGTTTCGTTCGTTGCGTACTTCACTCGAAATTGGTAATTTTATATTGGCTACTTCACTTAGCTTGGCGGATGTAGAACATTGCTTAATATTCTTTTAATTTTCACACCAGACATGCTTGGTTGACACGTCAACAAAGTAAAGTTCAAGGGTCAATGCGTTATTTCGTGATAACTACAACGCCTTCCCGAAAGTCAACATTGATGAAAAATGAAAAAGTCGGAAAAGCATTTACACTAATTTCTATCAAATGCTATGTTTATGCATCATCATCGACGCAACAAAGGTGATATGGTTTCATTAAGATTCGGGTTCTAACCTTTAGAAGGTAAGTCAGACTCCCAAACGTCAGCTAACTCTTATATTTAGCATGTTAGCGACGAAGTCAGGCCTTGCAAAAAGTAGTAGAAGCAACCATTTGGCCCAAGAGAAACGAAAACTCCAGAGCTTACAGATTAGAGACATAATTACGTTTCTTGCTTTCTACCTTCCAGAGGCAAATTTTCCACATGTCTATTTTCCAGAGGATAGATTACGAATCGAACACACACAAGTTCACCTTATTCTTCTTCACAATTATTTCAAAAAGTAGCTGTTTGACACGTATTGAATGTAGTGTCACATTGTAGCTTGAAATTGCTTTTGAAACCTAGAAAAACCAGTGGGGCCACAAAAATCCATAACTCTATGGCTTTTGCCCATGGTGACGTGAATAAGGGATGTAGGGTTCTCTTATCGCATCCTACAACCTCTTTAGATTGTGGTCATACGCGCGTATAATTGGTCAGTCAATGTTTTTACAAAGTTGGAGAAAATACTACGTATTGCACACCTAAATGACCTACCTCGATACATTCCTAAGTATTTTAGAATTCTTTTTATGTTGTTAGATCGCCAATTGTATGGGTTTATCGGCAGAACGAAGAGATTTTAGTTTTTACATCGGAAATATATCAGCAATTTTCAAAATGTCGGAAGGGGAATTCCCCAGGGATTTCCCTTATGACTGGTGCATGCCGGGAACTGAATGGAGGAATTTGACGGTTGAAATAAGTTAAATATTACACGCAAATATTGCTATCAAAAATGAAAACCTCTTCGTTCTGCCGATAAACCCATACAATTGGCGATTCAACTACATAAAAAGAATTCTAAAATACTAAGGAATGTATCGAGGTAGGTCATTTAGGTGTGCAATGCGTAGTATTTTCTCCAACTTTGTAAAAACATTGACTGGATTTTTCGCGGTATTGCGAGTACTCCTCCCCCTTCTGCCCTTGTGAGATCAGAGATATCCTATTACTATACTTTTCATAAGATCTTCCTATTTTAATCACAATGTATTTCTAAAAGGTTTTCTGACTTCCTATTCCTTGTTTGTATCCAGTTTTATGTATTTTCTGAAGAGTTCTACCACAAATAATGTGACAAAAATGTAAAATTGGACTCTGGAAAAAACACTTTAGACTCCGGAAAGCTATTAGACTATGGAGCAAGAGGTTCTAAAGACATTTTGGACTCAGGAGAATCTCTGGAGTCTAAAAGGCTAGTAAGAAACCTGGGATGTTTTGCCTTTACATCTTCTATTAACTTTATTGAATTTACAATCACAGTAACTAGTAGATCGGAAATTAATTGTGACAAATAAGTGTGTTGTACTGGCATACATAAGTAACAGATTCTGAGTCTTTATTCTATGTTATTTTAGTGCTGATGTTGGAACACATTGGCACTTTAATGCTTCCTTTGGTCACTTGTTTTGATTGTACCACTTTGTACTTTGTTGTCATTTTGTACTTTCGTAAATGCTTATTTTTCTGTTTGAGAGAGTGCAGACAGTGTTTTTTGACATTTTAGTCACCAGTTTAAGAGATCTGCTTTTGTTTTTCAGGATGAATCTGTGTCTAAACGCATCAGAGCAGCCATAAAGAAAACCAAACTTGAACGGGAATATAAAAAGCACAATCCGATAGACACTACTAGCCAAGCCAGGAAAACGCACAAGTCAACTGCAATAGAAAACCGATTTAAAGTTGTCTCTAGTCACCGGGCGATTGAACTTGATCAGTTAGACGCAGAGTCTGACAATGTAGAGAACAAAGATAATGTCGATGAGGTTGATAGACTGTTCTGTTTATATGATGTAGTGAGTGAAAATGAGGAGAATGCCAGACAAGAACAACAAAGGAAAGAATCAAAGGTGAGTGGTGAGTTAGTACCTCAGTTGAAATACTCAATTTTGATTGGTTAATTAAAATTAAACAGCAATATGTACTGTTGACCGCTACTAGGTACTGTTGATGCTTAACTTTTGAAACTATTTTCTCTCTAAATAATTACTTTAAAAAAATTTGAAAAATAATAGTAATATTTTTTGTCGTTTCATGTCGTTTTGCAAAACTAATGAAAAAATTTAAAAGATCAAACCATCAAATATCACTTTGTATCTCATACTTAAGTGGGTTTGGGGTAGATATCACTCGGGGATATATATCATATCTGAGGAGCGGGCAGGATATATTGTATATGTCCCGCTCCAGGCCAAATGCGGGCAGATATAATATATCCATCCCGCTCCCGGGAATTTTTCAAAAGTTTAAAAAAGTTTAAATATCAAAAGTTTTAATTTTTTAATTCTAAAATTAAAATTTTCTAAGTTTAAATGTTACAATTTCATTGTATTGAACAAAAACAATATTACGAAAATGTTAAATATAAATATCTTGTCATTTGAAAAAGGTGGAAAAGGTTATATCTACCCTAAACCCACTCAAGTATGAGATACACCAGTTATGCACGGTCGGTTTGGATACATGGAATATCCCTTGGGATATACAATACACCTTCCCTCGGTCCCTTCGGTCCCTCGGGAAGATATATTGTATATCCCTCGGGATATTCCCTGTATCCAAAACCTCCCAGTGCATAACCCCTATTTATTAATTTAAGAAGTGATATTTGATGGTTGGATATTTTTGCAAAATATGATGTCTTGACATGTTTGATCCACATATGAAATATATCTTCACGTGATATTCAATATCCTTGCAACCATGAAATAAATACAGAATATCACATCATTTTGAGTGATATCATTTTATCTCGCCGAGTTGATACCAAATATCAACACGAGTGAGCGAAGCGAATGAGTGTTGATATTTGATATCTACGAGGCGATAAAATGATATCACGAGAAATTATGTGATATTGGGTTTATCCCATGATTACAATCACCTTGTGATGTTCTGATCCAATTTCCAGGACATTGGCAGACAATATAAACTAGAAATTAGAATATCAATTGAATATTTGAAACACTTTATTTTAACAATTAAAAGTAAATAAAATGAACATGTAAACATTGTTTTTTTGTCAGTTTTATGTCAGCTTTATACCAGTTAATAGTATTGTGACTAAATTAATAAATTATTAATAAAAAATTAAATTAATATTAATGAATTATCTGACCTAATTTCCAACAATATTGTGGCGCGAAATGCAAATGTGATATCTCACGGATATGCGTGAGATAAACGATATCACACGCATATGAGTTTGATAAACGATTTTCTGGAAAATATCACACGGATTTCAATAATATCAGAAATATCAATAGCTGTTATTGTACAGATAACACATTAATCGTGGGATAAATGCTATTATTATATCACTGTCATATTCCTCACCTTCTGATTGGTCCATGTCCTACATGTGACTTTAAAATAACAAGGGATGCTCTGAACCTAAGTCAAATAACAATTCTGTTTCAGCTACAACCAGAAGTTCTTACTTGTAATGGCGTCCCAATGATTAGAGAAAAGGTTCAACCTCAAGCAGAGCCATCTTTAGCCGAGGATGAGAACTACGTATATGATCTTTATTACTCCAATTCTCGCAATCTTGACATTGCATCATTTCAAAATATCTCTATGGTTGAAGCATTTCGAGAAGAGCTGATTTATGATGAATATCGTGATAATGATGAGGAAGTTTATGAAGATGAAGATGATGAAAATGAAGAAGGAAATTGGAGGAATGATTACCCAGATGAGGATCCCGATTGTCCAGGAGCTTATGGTGCAAGAGATGAAGGTAAACATTGGAGTTGTTGCAATTACACAGAATTGGTCAGAATTTCCAAACTTGGCTATTCAGAACACAGAACAAAAGGAATTTTATATGTGATTCAGGTTTTGTTTATTTTAAAGTTATTGTTCTGAACTGTCAAAAAACAACTGATTTGTGGCACCACTAAAACAATGTTGGGTTAAGATCTATATTTGTGACCTACATGTATTTTTATAAATGTTGTTTGGTACACTAGTTATCCAAGGACATTACACATTAAGAAACTTGACATCTTTCTCGCCATTTCTAATCCTACCTAGATCTATACATTGCAAAGAGTAATTGATTGCTAAGGTGTAGATGAATTAAAATAGGAGTGATTGTTTAAATGTTTAAAATCAATCAACATACTGTACTCCCACTAATATTTGACGCTATTACATTTCGCATTTTTGGCCTTTTGAAATTTCGCGGCTATTATATTTCGCTTATTTTCAGTTTTTTGAAATTTCACGGCTATTAATCTCTGCGAATTTGTCATACAGGATCACTCTTTCGACTTTGATATCAGCCATGGTTGTTCCTTCACCCATTGATTATTGCTCCTTATTAAGCCTTTTTGTGAGAATGATCATTTTAATACAGTAATAACGATCTCTCTTCTAATTTCTCTTTTTCAAAACTCAAAATGTCACGTTTTTACCTATTATCGCCCAGCACTGGACGGAAATATTGTCAACATTGATCTCCCCAGGAATTTCCTTGGAATTTCACGACTATCAAATTTCGCGAATTAAAACTGGAGGAATTTCGCGGCTATTATATTTCGCAAATTTTCCAAAACTCGCGAAAAGCGCGAAATATATTAGCGCGTGAAAATTTCCGGGAGTACAGTATTTTTAGTCTTCATTGTGGAGATATAATGTGTAAATTGTGAACTGAATTTCCAATGATACAACTTACAGGGTGGTCCAAAAAAATGGGACACTTGTATTTCAAAAATAAATATTGATTTTCATGATGAAAACATGTCATATTATATACCAGTGGATAGGGAATTCACTTATCTTTGGTATATCATAAGTTCAAATTTATTATAATGTCTGTCTACCAGTGTCCGTTATATAAATGACGTCATTTTAGTTTCAAAACAGGTTTTCCAAAACTTGCAAAAAACAAGTTTTTTGTCAATTTTATTTACACAAACAGACGTTCAATATGTCCACCATTTTGATCAATTATAGCCCTCAATTTTGGCCTTAACTGGTCAAAAACATCATTGATATTCTGTTGAGACAATGAATTCCTCTTAATCAGCAAGTCTATCCTTAATAAGGGACTGAGTAGATGTAAGGGGTTCATGGTGAACCAATTCTGTAGGTTCTCCCAATACGTGGAAGTCGCAGACCTCGACATCGCATTATCCAATTATGTTGTTTTTAGACCATCCTGTTATGAGCTAATCTCGAATCATTACATTTTCCAACAAGATGGGCCTCCAAGCAATAGATCTCACAAGAGTGTCAAATGGAAAATGTGCCTAGATTCATCCCCCTAATCGCTGCCTCCCCCAGACCAGATCTCATAATCACCCAACGTCTGCGACTACCACGTATGGGGAGAACTAACAGAACCCATGAATCCTTTACATCTATTCAGTCTCTTGACAGAATTGAATCAATGAGAAGTGAAATTCATTGTCTTAACAGCATATCAATGATGCTATTGGCCAGTTTAGGCCAAAATTGAGGGGTACAATTGATCAAAATGGTGGACATATTGAACGTCTGTTTATGTATTACTAAATAAAGTTGACAATAAAACTTGCTTTTGCAAGTTTTGGAAAACCCGTTTTGAAATGAAAATGACATCATTTATATTATGGATGCTGGTTGACAGACATTATAATAAATCTGAACTAATGATATACCAAATTAAAGATCAGTAAATTCCCTATCCACTGGTATATAATATGACATGTTTTCATCTAGAGAATCAATATCTATTTTTGAAATACGAGTGTCCCATTTTTTTTGGACCACCCTGTAGGTACAAACTCTATATTGTATATAACTATGTATATATTATGAAAAATCAAATAATTGTTATTGTTCATGTTATAGATGGGAGTGTTGCATTTGACAGCCAGGTGCTGACATCTATGATGAGAAACACATGTCTTGGTAAGTTCAATGCCTTTATTATGTCCCCACCACATAGTGTGGGGCCATATTGTTGGCCTAGGCGCGTCCGTCTGTCCGTCCGTACGTCCGTCCGTCCGTCCGTCTGTCCGTCCGTCTGTCCGTACGTCCGGGAGTTTTCTCCAAAACCGCTACAGATATCACCTTCAAATTTTCAGGGATAACTTATGAGTGCATACAGATGTGGATGAAAAAATTTTAACTCGATACCTACTTCCTGTCGGCCATTTTGAAGTCAAATGCTAAAATCCTTGTCTGCAAACTTTAAGAAAAACGGCTTCACAGTTGCTTTTAAAACTTTAACATCTTGTTCAGCTCACTTCATTCTAGATCTGATTAGGTTTTGGACCTGTTAGCTCAGTCATGTCAGCCATTTTGAATGTCTTAAGAAAAGTTAGCGCACGATAATACTTTGTATCATATTGAATGGTGTTTTTGAGTTTTCATACTTTAACTATTTAGTAGCTTTATAAATAATTTCAGATCTACTTTGTTGTAAAAGCCTATGTTATTGTTAACAGTAGTAATATGTGATAATTTTGTAAGAAGAAATCAGCAAAAACACATAATCACTTTTTTATTGTCGGCCATTTTGGATTTTTCCGTCCTAAAATCTTGTCTGTGAAGTCTTGTCTACGTGTTTTCAGGTGAACCGTTTGGTGGATCAATTTCAAATTTTCAGGGATGATTCTTAGTATAAAAATCTAGATCTGATTTGTTTTTTGGCATTCTGGGTAAATGTCAAGGCAGCCATTTTGGATTTTCCGTCCTAAAATCTTGTCTGTAAAGTCTTGTCTACGCGTTTTCAGGTGAACCGTTTGGTAGATCAATTTCAAATTTTCAGAGATGATTCTTAGTATGAAAATGTAGAACTGATTAGTTTTTTGGCATTCTGGGCAAATGTCAAGGCAGCCATTTTGGATTTTCTGTCCTAAAATCTTGTCTGTAAAGTCTTGTCTATGCATTTCCAGGTGAACCGTTCTGTAGATCAATTTCAAATTTTTAGGGATGATTCTTAGTATGAAAATCTAGATCTGATTAGTTTTTTGGCATTCTGGATAAATGTCAAGGCAGCCATTTTGGATTTTCTGTCTTAAAATCTTGCCTGTAAAGTCTTGTCTACGCGTTTTTAGGTGAACCATTTGGTAGATCAATTTCAAATTTTCAGGGATGATTCTTGTGAAAATCTACATCTGATTAGTTTTTTGGCATTCTGTGTAAATGTCATGGCAGCCATTTTGGATTTTCTGTCCTAAAATCTTGTCTGTAAAGTCTTGTCTACACGTTTTCAGGTGAACCATTTGGTAGATCAATGTCATATTTTCAGGGATGAGTCTTAGTATGAAAATCTAGGAACAGATTAGTTTTTTGACATTCTGGGTAAATGTCAAGGCAGCCATTTTGGATTTTCCATCCTAAAATCTTGTCTGTAAAGTCTTGTTTACATGTTTTCTAGTTAACTGTGTGACGGATCAATTAAAATTGTGTTGGTAAAGTCTTGTCTACTCATTTTCAGGATAACCATTTGATGGGATCACCCATTGGTGGGGACATTTTGTACACATTTGTGTTCTTGTGTATAATTGGTTTATAATGTAGATACGTCATGGTATGTCATTTCTTGAATCTTGATCTGAACAATTATCACAGGCTGGTATCGAAAGATTTGTCCGCTGTGACGGAGCATGCTATTTTTCATAAAAACACTCAGAATGCTTCACGATTTATTTTTTAACTCATATGTTTCGTTATATCAAAGATAATTACTTACTCCATGCAATGGATATATCATTTGCGTGTAACCTCCACTTCTGTTTGAAGTTCAATAACGCTAGGAGTAAAATCTATTGAAAACAGCGCCAGAGTATCAAACTCTAAAATGTACCATTTCTTTTTTAACTTTTTAATGGCATGATATAGTGACACGATAATATTAACATATGTTTTCAGCATAACTCTGAATGTATTAATGAGATATTAATGCATTGGGTCTTTTAAATTTTTTTATAAAAAATAATATTAATATTTTTTGTCCGCTGTGACGGAGCATTTTCACAGTTCACATTTGCAACTGCTCCGTCACAGCGGACAAAAAATTAAACAATATTTTTATAAAAGAATTAAAAAGACCAAATACATCAACATCTCATTTATACCTTCATAGTTATGCTGAAACCATGTGTAAATATTATCGTGTCACTATACCGTGCCATTAGAAAGTTAAACAAGAAATGGTACATTTTGAAGTATGATACTCCGGCGCCATTTTCAATAGCTTTTCTTCCCAGCGTAATTGGACTTCAAACAGAAGTGAAAGTTACCCGCAAATGATATATCCATTGCATGGAGTAAGTAATTTTGTATGGTATAACGAAACATATTAGTTAAAAAATAAATCGTGGAGTATTCTTAGTGTTTTTATGAAAAATAGCATGCTCCGTCACAGCGGACAAATATTTCGATACCAGCCTGTGATTATACAGTTTAGAATTTTTGTTTCTCATTTCCTAGAAATTGTGTGGGCCAAAAAATTGGAACATTTTTCTCTCCATTGTAACTTTTTTGTTAGTTATGTATTATCCTCAATCCTTCAGGAAATTAAAAAACAATTTATCGCCAACAGCGTGTGTAAAGTATAAATATACAAGCTCAACATTTGAGCTGTATTATCCAAGGGAGACATGTCTAGCTTCTCCTATGGATAACACATATGTTTCTATTGATGGAAATTGATTCTGTTGAGACCATTTGAAGGGTACATATTGTGTGGAATGAAAAATACTGTATTTTTAGCAGTGATGTCTCAAGCATAGAAAATTGGGAAATTTTTCATGACACACACTGTATACAGATTATGACCATGATAAGCCTACCCTTTGCATTCGTTAATTAATTAGAACGCATTAATAATTAGAACGCATTAGGCGTATGTTTCTTCAAGCTCGCTGATTGGTGGAAGGTCAGCGCGTAGGTCAAAAGTGATTTACCCAAACTGTCACCGGTTCCCGTCGTGGGGGCGGGGCTACTAAACTGTAATATGGTCTCTACTAGGCAGAGTGTAGTTTAACTAGACTCTGCACGCAGGGTATGATAAGCCAAAAATAATTACTGTACTCCGGGTAAATTTCGACGCTATAAAATTTCGCGATTTTTCAAAATTGCAATTTTGCGGCTATTTAATTTCGTGGATTTGAGTTGATGACATTTCGCAGATTGCACAAGTTGAATTTTTCCGATTACCGTGAATCAATGCGGGCTATTTTAGCCCGTTCAGAATCCGAATAATGTTTGTATTTCCCATGTTTAGGGCATTTATTTGAATATTCTTGAATGGGTTTTTCAACTTCAATTTGTAGGATATCATTGTCGTCAACAGTTCTTGCCTTTGTTGGCCTAATAAGCCAATTCAAAATGTTTTAGGCCTTCGCCCAACAACACTGGAAGAAACGTTTCACACCAAACAAAACATATCAAAAGGCCCGGTGTGAAAGAAATGATAGTCGCCCAGGGATTATGGTCCCCTTTCTTAACGGCCCTTACTGGCCCTGATTGCGTATAAATAATCAGGGAAAGAGTTGTATTTAGGTCACCATATAAATCAATGGAGAGTAGGACCATAATTTGATAGGACCTCCTACCCTTTTACACCGGGTCAAATCACCGGGGATTTAAGACAAATTTCGCGACGATAAATGTTCGCGATTTTACTACATTCGCGAACAAAGCGAAATTAAATCACACGCGAACATTACCTGGAGTACAGTATACTTACATATTTTTATCTTAACATTTTCACAAATCATCATTTTACCATTATCTGAATTTTTGTGGATTAAACTGCAGTAATAAAGAAAATTGATTAGATAGAAAAATGTTCCAATTGTTATCAGTTATTGGCCCACCCTGTACATTCTTTAAATCAAGTAATTAGAGTGAATAAATGAAATATTCACTGAGAGGGATTGTATTTGGGTTTTATCACAAGGAAAGAAATCATCATCCTGAGGATGATGCCCATATGGAATTCCAATGGGCATGTGACCTTTATCAGTTTCTACAGGGTGGCTCAAGTATGAAAATGTCAATATTTATATAATTTGGCATTAACCCTGAAATGTACTTGAGTTCTTGAAGAGCAAGCTCTCTTAATTAATTTGACACCACCAGATTTAAAATCCTTCCATGGTTGACTGCACAGGACAAACTTTATTAACTCATGTGAATTTAGATAAATGCCAAAATTATAAAAGATATTGCCATTTTGTACTTCTAACATTCTTATCGAGGCACTCTTTAGAAGTGGTGACATATTGTTATATAGTCCCTAATTTTTTTCAGCAGTCAGTGTCTGTAACAAATGGCAGGTGATGAGATTTTGCATGTTAATGACATAAATGATATAAATCCACAAGAGATGAATCAACAGTACCAAGCATGTCATGCCACTTATCTTTATATAAATACTATATTTACATGTTGATTCCAGGAGATGAAGCTATCTACTCAAGTGCAGAAGAAGATGTACATGATGAAGAAAAAGACATTTGGACCCCTGCTACGAACTATAATAGTTACAAAGCAAGCATGTATGGCTATAGTTATGACTATGATGAGGACTCTGAACATTATGACAGCTGACAAACATATTGATGCTGCTAGGTTATTCAATTGAAATATTTATTTTAAAACAAGTGTGCATAGGTTTTTAATGATCACTCCAATTGTTGTGGTGAAAATAAAGCAGCTTCGCATTGAAGCTTTGGGAAATCCCATCTTAAATCTGTGATTTGTAGTTTGTTTTTATGTCAGCACCACAAGTGAGGACATATTCTTATAGTCTCCAACTATTTTGTGGTGTTTGGCAGTTGGTGTTTGCCGTTTGGTGTCTGGCAGTTGGTGTTTGGCATCTGTAACAAATGGCAGGTGGTGTCATTTTACATGGTTTAATGACTAATCAATAACTGAACAATGAGATGTAGAAACATTGCAAGAATGTTGTATACACTATTATACAACTTGGTATGTTCAATTCATGATTGATGATTAGGAGAAATGTATTTGCATGGGCTTTCAAAAATCAAGAGGAGTGTATGCCACTTTGCGTTACAAACATGAAAATCTCAAAATGAGCATAGCCATAAATATCTCATGTTTTAGTAGGCTTTTATGTTAAAGAAAAGGCAATTTAGTGTATTTAGAATATGAAATTAAAGCATACATATTATTAAGTTAAACATGGGTTTTCTCTTGAAAGCCCATGGTTAATAACAAAAAGGTTAAAAAATGTTCTGACTTGTTGCATTGTAGGTAATTATTCAAAAAGCAATCGAAATTTTGCGAAAAAATATGTGCTTCCATTCTTTTATACAACAAGTAAAATTTTGCAGGAAACAACAAGCTTTCTTTACATTCTTTTTTCAAATTCATGTTTATATTTCTCATTTTGTAACTCTGTTAAACTTTCTCTACATTCGAAATTACTGTAGATACACTTACTTTGACGTTACTTTTGTAGTGCATTCTCTGAATCTGTCTAAAACGGAAGCCAAATTAATTGTATCTTCAGTATGCTGAATTCCATTTTGTATCATATTAATTATCAACATGTATGCATATTATCATATTTTTATTTTTGAGTTACTATATAACCTATATAAAAAATACAAAATAAGATTTTTTAGTTCTGTTTATTTCGTAATAAAACAATTTACAATATCAATTGTAGACGACATGTAACATCTTAACTATTAGCTACATCTCATGCAATCTAGAACATATGATTCCAAAAAGTTCTGTATAGTCAGTGAAATATAACAAAAAGTAACACCCATAGTACATGTAGTAATGCTAATTGATGGAGTCTTGGAAGTTGCATATCCCTTCTTTGAAAGATATTTGTTAACATTAAAACAAACAAGAACTTTGTTTCTGTCATTTTTAACTGATAAAATATTTGTATATTGTCTTGTGATCAGTTATGGAAAAGATGTGCTGTACTGTACTGTACTGCACTGCACTGTACTGTTCTGTACTTACTGTACTATACTGTCACCAGACTGTACTGTTCTTGGTACTTACAGTACTGTACAGCACTGCACGGTACAATTGTGATTTTTATTGTTTTTACTTTACTCCGACTCCTGAACAGGAATATTTTATCGATTTTAATATGATGATTTATTGTGCACAGAGGAGTCTACACAGATGTATTATTGATTTACTGTACACCTGGTTAATTTCATGAGTTTCAATTCAGCGAATCTTGATTCATCACAATTATGAGGCTATTAAATTTCGGGGATTTCACTTTCATTATCTTTTGAATCCTCAAGCTCTGTACACTAAGTTGCCTTATGTATGGTATAATGCACCTACTCAATGTCATATTTGAATGAGATTTACAATAACTTTACAATGTTTTAAAACTTGGTCAGCAGTATGCTGCACCTCAACCACTATTTATACATTGGAATTTTTTATCTAATAAGCCAGTGTAAGAGACATTGTTGCTGGTATCCCAATAATAACATTTATAAAATAACACTGGACAAACGTTTTACACAAAACAAAATGTGCCCCCGGGTAATAACAAATTCTAGGGGATTTAATTGGTTATTGATGATTATTTAACTATAGCGCTAAACAAAATGGCAAATGAAAAATACTGGGAGTACAGTAGCCTATAACAAAATACATAATGTTCACTAGAGCTGCAAAAAATGACATTGCTGATTAGAAAATAGTGTTTTACATCTGTACATTGTTTTATTTTATAGTAGAATCAATTTCCACTACACATATTACCCAAATAAAATCTGATTAAGTTTGTACAGGACTTCAACCATGAATATGCTTTAGTTTAATTTTGTGCAAGAATTATCATTTTGTTTACCTTGTCCACAATAGTCTAGATTTTAAAGGCAGAATCTGATCTATAGAGGGTGACAAAATTACAAGCAACATGTATAATTAACCTTCCAATCTATTCCGTACAATATCAAATACAATATCTCCCGAAAGATTCTCAATATGTTATAAATTGGTGAAGTCATTAATGATTCAAAGTGCAAAAATGAGTGAAAAATGTTTGAATTCTCCCAAACAATAAGAATGGTAACCATTCTTATAGAAAAATGATACATTATTGTAAAAATCTTTAGTTTTCCTGGAATAAAGTATGCACTTTTGTGATTTTTAGAAAATAGACATGACAAGGAATGACATGAGCCAAATATATTCTAAACTTGAAACAATTTTTTGTTTAGCCTGCTCGCTATATCTGATTCTCTCTTTAATGCCACTACCTCAAGTGTGACATATTGTAATATTCTCAAACTGTTTTTAAGATGGTGTTGGGTGGTTGTAATGTTTTATTACCACTTTCAAACATTATTATGATGTCCCTTTTCTTGTCTCCCTTTCCCTTAAACTTCCCCAACATTTTCTCCATCAGATACACAGTCAGCAACTTCCCCCACATTTTCTCCATCGGATACACAGTCAGCAACTTCCCCCACATTTTCTCCATCGGATACACAGTCAGCAACTTCCCCCACATTTTCTCCATCAGATACACAGTCAGCAACTTCCCCCACATTTTCTCCATCGGATACACAGTCAGCGCTTGTGCTATGACTGCCATAAAATCCTCTACAAAGCCGACATGTTCTCCCTGTACTGGCAATGGGGATGACACGTACACAAGATGGGCTGTGCATCACTGACAATTCAGAGTCTTCTCCATCTTTCACCCAGACTTGAGAAAGAGGGTCATCAGCAGTAGATAGCGCACCTATACAGAAATTAAGTTTTTTAAACAAAAGCAAGATGGCCCTTATACTAGATATAGTGCGTGAAATTTTTGAAGGAATTCCAAGAGCTTCGAGATTAACCTCACAAGAGGATACTCTAGCTACCATAGTATCGTCAATAGCAATATCAATATCCAGGGTGATAATATTTCCATTGTTCCTATAGGGAGACCTTCGAGTAATAGTTATCAATCTATCTGTAACATCTGCAACTCCATAGCCACTTTTCAGTGCAATTCCCGCTATGAAGTAAAATGAAACAATGGAAGTGTCTTCAATCTTACGAAGACCTTTAAAACATGCTGGCCTTTTAAAATCGGCATCAAAACCTACACGACATTTGACTGCATCCTTGAATGTGGAGTTCATTATGGCTGAAAACGATAATTGGCGTATCTTTACAGAGCTGTTTTCAATAAACTCATTGTAAGCATCATTGATAAAGACTCTGCTAGAACTTCGTGCATCATACACATAGTGCTGTAATAGCCTGAAACAAAAAAATAATTGAACTTACACTTTGTATATGTACATGCAGGGGGCACTTAACTTGAGTGATGTAAATCATGTATAAAATGAGTTCTGTGTTCCTGAAAATAACATGGGACTTCAATTTGGAAGTCATTTGAACTTCTGAACATACAGAAAAGAATTACCTTTAAGTAATTCTGTATGTTCAGATATTTTAATGGCTTCTCATAAGGGGAATCACACGTTATTTCCAGGAACACATACTGCATTGTACTAGTAACTACTAGTGGGTCCACATCTTTCAGTTTTGCTCAGAGTACACAAATGTACCTAGGTATTAAGGTGCCATTGTACTTAACAGGAAATTACAAAATGACTTTTTCAGCCCTCGGAAAATGTGACTGAATAATAGCTAAAAGTAGCCCCTCAGGAAAGGTCACTGAACAGAATCTTGGGTTTACGAAAAAGACCGACCCAACCTACCACCGACCGGTCGGTGTTTTCCACTGGTAGCCTCAAAACAGGGTTTGAAGAAAATGTGTAAAAGACCGACCATATCATGTAAAAGACCGAACATATTTGTAGCCTTAAAATATTAATAATTTGATTTTGAATGTCAATCGTTGGACTAGGCAACGTATTACCGATTTTGTACCTTGCAACGAATGGCAAGCAAACAAATTGGGCATGACCGTCTCCTCTCGATTAATTGTCCTGCCTTAGGTCCTAACCTATCATTAACCAACCTATCGTTTCTTTTTATGAAATTAAAACCTGCACATCGCTCCAAAACGCAATCTTGGGTTGTTTCGGGTTGAACTTTATCATTCAATTTGTTGAGCTTAATGAAAGATTATAGAATGATGAACAAATGGGGCAAATCTTGTGTATAAATACTTACGATGAATGTGTCATTTCAAAGATTGTTCATCGAATTACTTTGATTGGTGACGACGATATGATTTTGGAAAGGTTTAAGAGGAGACCTTCGTTCGTTCGAATTTTCATCGGCTAGTTATCAAATATTACACTTCGATTGGATGTTTTAATTGACAAAGGCATATTCCGTACACCTTTCCTTATCTTGATGTGAAATGAGAAGCTATGATATTGGTTAACACGCCAGAAATGAACATAATATTATTCAAAGCGTATTTCGAAAATTTTGAAACCGCCATCGATGACGTAATTTGTTTGTCGACTTTTGACCAATCAGCGACGATGTCATCTCAATTCAGATTTACATTATAAGCGTATGTCATCTTTGAACCCTGGTGTTTCTCCCCCTCTGGAAAGGTTTCTAAATTAAGAACGTGACGTCACTTCCGAATTATAGCATCAAACCTAAGTCGCGTTTAATTACTCCGAAAATTCATAATACATCGGTGGCCTTGCGGTAGAATGCTCGCTCAGTAGGCAGGAGGCCCGGGTTCGAATCCCGCATAAACTTTTTTTCTTTTTTTAACTAAATGATTGTTCTTTGATATTATGCAGAAAAAACAATTCTTATTTACATAAACTTTATATTAGAGCTTGAAAATGTAAAAACAATATATGTCAACATATTGCATTTTGGAGCGATGTGCAAACAAAAATGATTTGTTACCAGTCATAGCCTACTGAATACTGAACACGATATAATGCTACATGCGTTCTCTTATCGGGATTAAAAGTGACTTACCATTTCAGTACACCATTAGAAAGCTTTTTTTGTCATATCAAATGTAGTTTTTACCAGTTGACGTTTAACAACTGAGAAATCAAACATAATGTTACGACGTCAACATCGACGATGTTTGTGTGTTTTTGTTATTGCGTTTCATATGAATGAACTTAATGCAATGTTACGTGCATCTTTATGTAAAAGACCGTCAGCCGACCACCGACCACATGTACCCAACTGTGGAGAGTGACTGGTCGGTGGTCGGTGTTTTTCGTAAACCCCAGAATCTTTTGAATTTTTGAGAAAATGTGCCCAATATATTATGTCACCACCGAAAAGTGGTGACATATTGTTATGGTCTCCGTTTTTTTGACGGTGGTTGGTGTTTAGTGGTCGGCGGTTGGCGTCTGTAACAAATTTTTACAACTTCAAATAACTTTACAAATACTTTTTAGACCTAAGTTTTTTTCAAAATCATCTACAAGTTTTCAGAAGTTCAAATATGACTTTAGATTTGAGATTTGACCTTCATTGACCTTCTCAAGATCAAAAATTAGTTATATAGGCATCTTAGCAATAAAATGAAACAAGGCACAGACGTGAACAATATCGTACCTAAAACACAGCATGTATGTAGAAACATCCCTGAAAATTTCAAATGAATCCCTCAATGGTTTGGCTGAAAACCTGTAGACAAGTCTTGAAAGTGAAGATTTTAGGACGGAAAATCCAAAATGACCACCTTAAAATTTACCCAGAATGCCCAAAAACTAATCAGTTCTTGACGTTGATATGTAGAAACATCCCTGAAAATTTCAGATGAATCCCTCAAATGGTTTGGCTGAAAACCTGTAGACAAGTCTTGAAAGTGAAGATTTTAGGACGGAAAATCCAAAATGGCCACCTTAAAATTTACCCAGAATGCCCAAAAACTAATCAGTTCTTGACGTTGATATGTATAGAAACATCCCTGAAAATTTTCAGATGAATCCCTCAAATGGTTTGGGTGAAAACCTGTAGACAAGTCTTGAAAGTGAAGATTTTAGGACGGAAAATCCAAAATGGCCACCTTAAAATTTACCCAGAATGCCCAAAAACTAAACAGTTCTTGACGTTGATATGTAGAAACATCCCTGAAAATTTCAGATGAATCCCTCAAATGGTTTGGCTGAAAACCTGTAGACAAGTCTTGAAAGTGAAGATTTTAGGACGGAAAATCCAAAATGGCCACCTTAAAATTTACCCAGAATGCCCAAAAACTAATCAGTTCTTGACGTTGATATGTATAGAAACATCCCTGAAAATTTTCAGATGAATCCCTCAAATGGTTTGGGTGAAAACCTGTAGACAAGTCTTGAAAGTGAAGATTTTAGGACGGAAAATCCAAAATGGCCACCTTAAAATTTACCCAGAATGCCCAAAAACTAAACAGTTCTTGACGTTGATATGTAGAAACATCCCTGAAAATTTCAGATGAATCCCTCAAATGGTTTGGCTGAAAACCTGTAGACAAGTCTTGAAAGTGAAGATTTTAGGACGGAAAATCCAAAATGGCCACCTTAAAATTTACCCAGAATGCCCAAAAACTAATCAGTTCTTGACGTTGATATGTATAGAAACATCCCTGAAAATTTCAGATGAATCCCTCAAATGGTTTGGGTGAAAACCTGTAGACAAGTCTTGAAAGTGAAGATTTTAGGACGGAAAATCCAAAATGGGCACCTTAAAATTTACCCAGAATGCCCAAAAACTAAACAGTTCTTGACGTTGATATGTAGAAACATCCCTGAAAATTTCAGATGAATCCCTCAAATGGTTTGGCTGAAAACCTGTAGACAAGTCTTGAAAGTGAAGATTTTAGGACGGAAAATCCAAAATGGCCACCTTAAAATTTACCCAGAATGCCCAAAAACTAAACAGTTCTTGACGTTGATATGTAGAAACATCCCTGAAAATTTCAGATGAATCCCTCAAATGGTTTGGCTGAAAACCTGTAGACAAGTCTTGAAAGTGAAGATTTTAGGACGGAAAATCCAAAATGGCCACTTAAAATTTACCCAGAATGCCCAAAAACTAATCAGTTCTTGACGTTGATATGTATAGAAACATCCCTGAAAATTTCAGATGAATCCCTCAAATGGTTTGGCTGAAAACCTGTAGACAAGTCTTGAAAGTGAAGATTTTAGGACGGAAAATCCAAAATGGCCACCTTAAAATTTACCCAGAATGCCCCAAAACTAATCAGTTCTTGACGTTGATATGTAGAAACATCCCTGAAAATTTCAGATGAATCCCTCAAATGGTTTGGCTGAAAACCTGTAGACAAGTCTTGAAAGTGAAGATTTTAGGACGGAAAATCCAAAATGGCCACCTTAAAATTTACCCAGAATGCCCAAAAACTAATCAGTTCTTGACGTTGATATGTAGAAACATCCCTAAAATTTCAGATGAATCCCTCAAATGGTTTGGCTGGAAACCTGTAGACAAGTCTTGAAAGTAAAGATTTTAGGACGGAAAATCCAAAATGGCCACCTTAAAATTTACCCAGAATGCCCAAAAACTAATCAGTTCTTGACGTTGATATGTAGAAACATCCCTGAAAATTTCAGATGAATCCCTCAAATGGTTTGGCAGGAAACCTGTAGACAAGCTGAAAAGTGAGACGCCACCCGCCCGCCGCCCGTCAAGCTGACTACAATATCCTACCTCTTGTTAGGTACGATAAAAATCAAATTCCTAACCCTGTTAGGATAATAGATACCCGGTTACCCTGTCACCCGTTTTTTAAACAAACCCTTTCACCAGGCGGTTGAGACTGTAGTTCAACAAGTTAAACCCATCCTCCGAACACAGGCCTCCAGAACTCGTACCTCCGGAAGAAGGAAGGAACTTTGTGGATGATGTCTGGAACCCTGCGTTCGGAGGATGGTTAAACCCAATACCACGGCTTTCATTTATTAATCTGAATGTTCTTGTTGCCGTGGTTGGGTTTAACTTCCGTGCTATGCTTTCATTTGTTGCAAATTCTCACTATCAGTTATTAATTAAACGCGCATGGAATTCCATGCGGTACCATAGGCCACCATTAAATTTTTTGCATCAAGGGCCGAATAGACACGGACGTTAAACCTAGGGCGGGCCACAAGATATGTCAGATAAGAAATAAGGCCCAGACTAGGTTTAACTTGTTGAACTATTGAGACTGTTGAGTGTTCACAAACTACTTTTTTCTTACCAAAGGGTTGCGAATGTTTGCCCTCTATCCAGCATCATAAGCGTATTTATTACAGGAACTAAGTGTCAACAGCGCTGCCACACACCTGGAAGAACAGTTGCGACCTGTGAAGAATCTGACGAAAATTTCAGATTTAAATTCCCGAATTTTCGTTCAGTGTAGATTTGGGGATTTCCCGGAAGTGACCTAAATACATCCTGTACATGATGGAAGCACAAGAAAAATCAAAACTCTCCAAAAATGTGCTTCAAATGAAGGTAATGTACAAATAGATCATTCATAGAGCTCATTGGCGTATCAACTCTCAGATTGGGTATCATACTGTGTGAAATATGTTAATTTTGAGAGGAATGTACACCGTGTAATTTCGAATTTTTTTTCCTTGAAAATATTGAATCCTCGCTCCTGCCGTCCTCCCCACAGATCCGGAGCCAGATCCAGCGCCTATTGGTTGTAGGCTCAAAGGATAAATGGGAAGATAAGACACAAGCCAAAAATGCTATATCAAGAAAATGACCACCCAAAAATTTATCGTATCCTATCGACCACTTTAGATTGTGGTTGTACGCCCGATTCATTGGTAAGCCTGTCTTTCTACAATGTCGGAGAATGAACTACACATTGCACTATTAAATGACCTACCTGGATACATTCCAGAGTATTTTAGAATTCTTTTTATGTTGTTAGATCGCTAATTGTATGGGTTTATCGGCAGAACGAAGAGATTTCAGTTTTTACATCGGAAATATGTCAGCAATTTTCAAAATATCGGAAGGGGAATTCCCCAGGGATTTCCCTCATGACTGGTGCATGCCGGGAACTGAATGGAGGAATTTGACGGTTGAAATAAGTTAAATATTACCCCGGGGGGTTCACTATATATAAACCTTGACGGGGATCCTCGGTGCATGTGGGGTACCTTTTTCAACGTTTGGTATGGCAATGGACCCATATTTTAGGATTTGGTATGGGAATGCCCGGAAATTTCTGACTTCTGAGGTATGGCAATGGTCGGACTTTTGCTCTTCTGGTATGAGAATGGTCGTTGTAGATTAACATTCGTGGTATGGCATTGGTCCAGTAGTTGCATATTTGAAGTTGTTTTGGATCGTTTCCCGAAGTATCTTCTTTTCCAGGGCCTTCTTCAACTTTTGAATTTTAGCCCTTTTCCCGGGAAATGAGAACCAATCATAGGCTTTGATGAAGTATATGATGAAGGTATGGCATTGGTCCCATAATTGGGCATTTGGTATGGCATTGGTCTTATATTTGGACATTTGGTATGCCATTGGTCCTATATTTAGACATTTGGTATGGCCTTTGGGCGTTATTTTGGTTGGTATGGGAACATATTGAAATTTGACAGATTGGTATGGGAACATATTGATATTTGAGGCTTCAGCCTAGGACCCCCGTCGAGTTTTATATACAGTGAACCCCCCGGGAATATTACACACAAATATTGCTATCAAAAACGAAAATATCTTCTACTGCCGATAAACCCATACAATTGGCGATCTAACAACATAAAAAGAATTCTAAAATACTCTGGAATGTATCGAGGTAGGTCCATTTGTTTTGGAAATAAGACCAAAATGCGCGATTCATTAGTTCTGAAGTGAAAAAATGCCCGCTGTTAGATTTTGAATTTTGTAACCACAACATGACTTCATATATGTCAAAATATTAAGTTGAAACCATATGAGGCAATCCTCCTTGAGGTGCATACAGAATGCCTTTATTTAGAGCCTTGTACATGCATTATAGCATTTGTCTATATCTAAAATTTAGATATTGTTTCTTCAGTAATAACATGAGTCGTAAATTTAACTTCTTTTGGAGCAAACATTCCAAACATATATCTACAGGGGGGGGGGCATAAAATGTTACTGATTTTAAAGTGTAATAACTCGATCATTATTGGCATGATTGGTCTCAGGCTTTCTGAGATGGATGCAAGTTTTGATCCACATTATTAAGTGTTTTTATGTAAGTTTGCATTTTTTTGTGGCTGCCAATCAATTCACTATGTCCATTTTAGTGTTCTATGCCTAGCTGGCCAAGTAATTGCTTGGACACACAATCAAGTTCAGTGGTATTTGGTTGATCTCATGTGTGATATTAGCCTTAAGCTCATCAATTGGGTTGGGATGGATTTGCTAATCCGTATCCTTTAGTTACCCCCAAAGAAAGTAATTACACAGATTGGCATTTTGATAGTGTAGCGGCCATATGTTTGGGGTCCTGTACGATATTCCAGGCTGCTTTTAGAGTAATGAGGAGGTGGTCCATCCTGCTGGAAGATGACACTTTTTGTCCTCACCTATCTGTTATTTCTTAAAGCAGGCGGAAAAAACTAGTGGATTCAGCATCCCAATCTATTACTTTCTCAACACTAAGTGGCCTACTTGTATCTCCTGTGACAGGTTATGTTCTGCTTGTTGATATGTCCAAATAGGTGAAAGTTAACTTTTTCATATTAAAATTTACTAAGATGGACATGATGATTTGATTGGCAGCCACCAAAAAAAACACAGAGAGGTGGGTATATATAAATATGTAACAAAACTTGCATCAATTCTTAGTCATTTCAGAAAGGCTTAGACTAATCATGCCAATAATGAATGAGTTATTACACTTTAAAATCAGTAACATTTTTTGGCTCACCCCCTACATTCTGCCATTTCCAGCCTCTTTTTGTCTCATTTTTTGGACATGCGTAATTGGATTTCCAGTAAAACTAAGTAGTTAAATAATCAGAAACATTTTGATTATGTTTTAGTTCATGCGTCGCAGTGTTGTACGCCTAGATGAAGAACAAAATGCAGAGGAGGAGAAACAAACCATTGATGATGAACACTGGGCATATGACATTCCACAACTCAAAGCAAAGGAGTAAGTACTTGATAATCCCAACGAACAAAGTTTGATGAGAAAAATAGTGAAGCCCTCCATCTATCATTCATTTGGAAATAGATACAAATATAAGTCAAAGATTTTTTCATCTTCATCAAAAAGATGTATATTTGTAAATGGTTTTATGCAAGAGCTGCCATTTGCAAATGGTGGAATGGTGATCAAAGGAAAGGAGGATTGACTCCCAGGGTTCCAACTCGATATTCTGCCGTGAGCAAAATTCAACATTAAAACCACCATTTTGTTAATTTCAGAATTTGAATCACAAAAAATTTCAAAACACTAAAAGTGATCAAGATATTAGTTCAAATCTTTATAGCCCTGCAGTTACAAATAACAACATTTTCAATAATTTGTTGATGTCACTAGAATATCAGCCATTTTCCTTGCAGTTCATTCATGCATTCTTTACTGTCGAAATCAGCACTGAAAAATTGCTTGGAGATATCGAGTTGGAACTCTGGGATCCTATCCTTCTTGATAGTAGCCCAATCTTTAAATTGCTATAAATTCTGAAATTCACCATAATATACATGTATATGCCTTTTAAATGGAAATCAAGAGTTTTTCACAGATTAAATATACACATATTGTGATATAGCCTATTTCAGATGCATGATAATTTGTCTGTTGCGATTTGCTACTCTGTAGAGTTGTGCTGTCACATTTTCCTTGTAGGCCTATAGATTGTGCCTTTTCTCTGAACTGTGCTGTCACTGAACAGTTTGAAAAATCACAATTCTTTGCAGGAATAAAAAGTGTGTGTAAGGTTAAGTGATGGGTAGACACAATGATTCAATGACTCAAGGCAGGACTATCATCTATGGATCACCCAAAATTCCATAAGCGCATGTTGTCAGGCCTTGGGGCTGGATCACATTTGAAAACTTTGGCCAAAAATCATTTGAAAAGTGCTCAGAATGTAGAAAAACTTCATGCTTTTTAAATAATTCTTGGCTTGAAGGATTAGGCTATGGGCTTGGTTGTGAATGATGCATGGTTAAAGAATTTAAGCCCTGGACTCAGTGCATTGTTTGCCTAATCATACCATGAAGGTGTTGTTTCCAAACCTTTACATGACCGCGCAGCAGGAATGCAAAGTTTAGGAAACAATGCCTGAGTGGAATGAAGCAGCTACAATGCATTGAGTCTTGGGCTTGAATTCTTTTCACACATTGCAAATTCTTTTTCTCTAAAATCAGCTTTTTCTCTAAAATCACTAAAAGAATACATTTTCAATGAAAATTTTTTGCAAGGGTCAAGTTGGCAAGTCATCAAATCCAATGTGAAAAATCTACTCATCACAATGACAACTGTTTCACTAGTGACCCTTGCATGTGTTTTTGGTATTTCACACACTGTTCACTATGCGGATACTCTGTTCGGATTAGCTGGAACCGGACATACCTTGCCTAGCTATGTGTGAATAATTCATTACATGATACATTTGGCTGAAGATGGAATTAAGTATTGATTTGATTAATTATAACGATTTGATTTGTAAATTGAATCATTTGTGTTTTTCAGGAGTAAATTCCAATGTGAAGCAAGTTACCTTCCATTTGAAGATCTGGTCTTTGGAAGAATGTCTTACAAGGGCTTCAATAAAGAAATTGAGGTAAACCAGTAGAAATATAGAGGAGTGAGATATTCAAATCATAATTGACATCAAGTACAATAAAAAACGCCACTGGGCCAGGCAAAAGTGCTCAGATTAGCAGGTGTTTGGCAAAGTTTCTAAAATATCTGAGATTTAACCACTTATTTTCAAAAATCAGCATAAAATACTTCAAAACACTTCTAAAAATGATATACAAAGTCAAAATTTCAATTTTATTTTTATTTTTCTGAAAATTTTTACTACGCATGCGCAAACTTCAATGAATGAAAATCAAAATATGAATGTATAGGGGGTGTGGTCCCGGGAACACAAAGTTAGAGGCGGTAGATTAAAAAGGGTGAGGGAATATAACATTTAGGACCGAGAAAATGTGTTCAGATTGAAAGGCGTTTGGATTAGAGAGGTGAGCGGGATATAATATATATCTCCCGCTGTATCTCCTGGTGTATATCCTGGTGTATCTCCTGCTCAGCAAACGCTGGGAATTTCGTCCAGAACATTTCTGTTCATTTTTTAATCTACTAAGTATAGGATAAATCAGTTATTTAATGCTTAGTTTGGATACAGGGTATAACCCTCGGGAAATACAATCTACTCTTGGTCCCTCTGATATTGCATTCCCCTCAAGGTATACCCTGTATCCAAAACCTCCCATTTAATAACCCTTGTATATTTTCAGAAAATGATGAAGGAAAAGAACACAGAGCAGAGTCTAGCAGAGGCTGATAGGAGAGAGAAGGAGATGGCAGTGTCCGATGATGAAATGGCTGAGAGGTAAGAAATCATTACAGAAAGTGCTCTTGCCACGGACTCTTGCACCTGCCCCATGGGTCTAAAACACTATTAAAATAGCACAATGTAGTTAATGACTAAAGTAGGCTTTGTTTAATTTGAGAAAATGTATTTTATAGTTTTTATTGGCATTGTACATGTACATTGTAGTTTTGTTTGCCGTTTCAATTTGGCAGATCTGCCACCAAATGAAGTGCCACCAAATTCCTCAGTAATTTTAGAACCGTATAAATTAGTACCATAAGTACACCAAATTAAGTAGCTGTCAAATGTTCAAAACAGCAAATCCGACAAAATAAGTAGCGCCAAATTACAGTAATTACCCATTCAGAGGGGATTTTTAACACATATCTTTAACACATTATTTTGCTTTCACAGGTTTACTTCATTGGTTGGTACAGTTGGAAAAAAGTTTGCTAAAAAGCGTAAAAAAGCAGAAAAGGAAAAAGTAACTGAGACACCTCAGGATACCATAGACACTGTACAAACTGATGCACCATCAAAGAAGAAAAAATCTAAAAAGAAGAAAAAGGAATTTATGAAACCCAATGAAGATGAATAGCATAGGTTTTGAGAAACTGATATATCTTCATAAACTGGAATTGAATGAAAGCCCTGAGATCCTGTGTATGGGTATGGTAGATAATTTAACTACCTTTCCCAATACTTTTTATAATCATGACGGTCATGTGGACAGATACAATATTTAATTCATAAATACCTGTTATCTGATAAGGCCATAGATAACTCGTTACAGGTGATTTATGAAATTCACCAATTGGATTACAATTATTATGTCATCAGCCCAAGTGTGACATATTGTTAAAGTCTCCAACTTTTTTGTCGGCAGTCAGGTTCGGAGTATGACATCTGTAACACAAGGTGACATTTTGCGTGTTAATGCCTTGTATATTCAAGCTGTGAGTCATAAGTTTGTGTATAGAGGGCTCTCACTCCAAGTCCCTATAGTATAGTCACTTACATAAGTGCTTCACCACCTATGAATGCAAGGTTTATAGTACACTGTATAAATTGTGAAATTAAAATATCTCACGGAATGATCTTTTAGGTTAAATATGAAAAATGTATTGAACTGTTGAAGTTGTATTTTAATTACATAGTCAATGTTTGAATTATTAATGAAATTAATATTTATGAATTATTTATCATAGATTCATGATTACAATTTTTTACATTTTCAATGTAGATCATTGTTTTCAATGATTAATGCATGCATAATTGTAATTTATTCCATTTACAATAGCAAAACATTAACTAGATTTTGATCTATTATTAAACATATTGTTAATATTTACTTTCTAAATGGGTTTAAGAAACATGCTATGGAAGTTCACAGTCGGCATGCTTGAGTATCTGTACTGTACTGTCCTGTATCTGTGTGACTGATGATAGATGTTTTCTTGTTAAATTAAATTCAACTGTTACTACATCCTCCTAACAAAGGCCTCCAGAACACTCCTCCTTCCGGGTTTGTGTAAAAAACTGGGTGACCGGGTACCTAACAATCCTAGCAGGGTTGGGAATAAGTCGTACACAAACCCCCTCCTTCCAAGAAGGAAGGAACATAGTGGATGATGTTTGGAGTCGTGTGCCTGCATTAAGAGGATGCTGTAACAAGGTAAAGGCACTAAACTATGGAATTCCACATGTAAGCACCTTGTACTTTTATAGAATTTTTTTCATTATTATATGGAATTGTCCATTATTTTGGAGTATCTAAGTTATATGTGTGCCTTGTAATGTACTGGTGTATAGTTGGTTTTGTCTTGAAATAATCTACATATAGTTTTGAATTGAACCCCATAGTGTATTTTACTCAATTGTATGCAATGTATATTATCTCCATTCTTTAGTATTTTATTACATTGTTATATATGAATGCATGCGTCATGGCTTGAATAGTAGTGTTACATAAATTGTATGACAATTTATCAATTTTGAGGTTTCATATTTTGCATAGTATCTAGTATGATACCCCACATTGTTTTCGAGAAAAATATCCGAAGCTTTTGTAGCATGCAAGAGTTATCTATGAATGAAATTTCAATATATTGTACTGTAATGCATGTATTTAAAATAATGTAAGTTCTATAATCTAAGATTTTAGTAAAATATCAGAAAGATTCGTACATAGAAGAAATTGAGTGAAAATTGTTCACATTTACTCTTTACATCAGTTTCTGTTGATGAGTCATGTTGCTATTATATTTTTAAATTGCAATGTTAATATCACTTGATTGGACATGTGTATCTTTCAGGATGTAGAAACTCCTCATTTTTAAAAACTGTTCGAGGGATAGTGTTAATTGTGTAGTTTCAAATAATGGTCAGAATTTTACACTTTTTTGGCTCTTATCATTCTGTGGCACAACTATTTTCTAAAAAGCCCATCCTTTTATTGGAATTATACTTTGATTTTGGTAAAGATTAAAAGGTGGATTGGATCGAGTGGATTGGATTCATGTAAAAGGTGGATTGGATTGGCTATCTTCAAAATATGGATTTTCCTATAAAAAATTCTATTGATCTCCCTTTAGGAAGATTGGTGCTCTCTCCACTTGCACAATGTCAAATTATAGATGTAATATTATTTTGCTTGGGTGGGCTAGAAGGATGGCCTGGTACCCGCTTTCTGATACACGATCTTATTCATTCCAAGTGTAATTTGAGACATTTCATAAATCATAAGGCAGACTGGTTTGAAGATCCATAACATCTGTTTTCAATCCAAACTGAACATACCAGAAATGTTTTGTGAACATTCACAAATTAATTTGAATGACAGGTTTTCTTTTTCTAAAGATCTATGTCTTACAAAAGTTGATTTACAAGGGAAAGCGGTTAAATACTTAAGAGTGTCCATGAACTAATTGGAGTATGTATTTGTCATTGCTTTGTTCTGATTTCTCAAAAGGGACCTGTAATACTGTAGATTGAAATTGTTTAGAGGGAGATCAACAGAAATTTTTTTATAAGAAATTCCACATTTTGAAGATTCCCGATCCAATCCACCTTTTACATGAATCCAATCCACTCGATCCAATCCACCTTTTAATCTCTACCTTGATGTGGCTTGATTTGGTTATATCTATATATTGGCTATCTCATTTCATTTTTTGTTCAGAAAATAAAATAAGATTGTGAGGAAAGCAAAACATTTTACATCTTTATCCCCATTGCTTCCTTCAAATCAGTTATTTTGTAAGCACAGTGAAACGTCTAAAGTGGAACACCTCTGTTAGTGGAACACGTTTCAAAATCCCGGGAACAACTGATTTATTGTTAAATGAACATCTAGAAGTGGAACAACTCCCAAGTGGAACACATTTTAGACGTACCACCTACCAAAGGTGCTTAACTTCTACAGGTTTTACTGTAGGCTATGAATCACAAAAAAGTAAGTGGGTAGCACATTCACTGTTTATCAAGCCATAATTTACATTAGACATGTTAGAAGGTCAACTCTGCTGTTATTAAGAACAGAACTGCACAAATGAATGACAAAAAAGAATGAAGATTTATTATGTTTTTATTTATTTGGTGTATCTGCAGCCAAAATGAGACCAAAAGTCAATTGTTTTAAAGCTTGTACTAGCATACAATACACAAGTGAGTGATAACACTAATTCATGAACACTCGCAACTTCAATCTTTTTCAGAAGTGTTTTAAATAATTTTATAAAAAGCAACTGTTAACCTACTGATGACAATTTGTGAGGTGTTTAAGCTATATCAATCAAATGGCAACATTTGGAAAGGGTTAAAAAATCCAGCTTTGAAATATACAAAATTCAAGAGTTCTAAGCATGTATTGAGCTGTTCATGTTCAACAATGCACCCTGGTTCTTCATTTTTTTGATTGGTTTATTTCTTGGGGAATCGGGTTCAATCATGCAATGCTAGAAGCTTGCTGTATCCAAAGAGGGGGAATATCCCAGAATTCCTAGTAGATGAACCTATTTATATACATGAAGATAGGTACATCTAAGAATTCTGGAATATTTCCTCCTTTTGTAAAGTCAAATCCATAAGGGAAAGGCTGTATCCGAAGAGCTACTCCAAAAACAGCAGAGGAGGTCTCCTAGAGACTTCAAGAGTTTGATAGTGACAATGCTGAATGGAACTTTGATTTTTACTTGCATTTAAAAACATGTACCCTAGGGTACATATATATAATATACAGTAGTTGGCCTATGGTTGCACCTGGCAACACTGTGGTCTTAAGGATATAGTCCAAAGTCATAGCCTATCCTCTTTATAATGTTATCCATTATGAACAACAAAGTAGTTAAAACTTGTCTTGATTCTGATAAAAGCCACTATTTAAAGCAGTTTACATTTTGAATTTCAAGTATAATCTAGTAGTATATATGACCCACTATCAGTAGTACTACCAAGGTGTAGTTTTGGGATCGATATATTTCTCAAAACAGAGAATATGTCTTATGAATTTTCAAAATTTTCAGCGTATATTTATATATTTTAAATCAAAATATAACAAATGGCTATTAAATGCTATTTTACTGTACACCCAAATATAATACTAGTATAATAGTCACACATCATCAGAGGAACATAATCTTGGATTTGGAACCACAGAGAATAAACAAAGAACAAGCCTTTATGTGTCAAAAGAAACCCTCAAAATATGTCAACTTGATGTTTTAACGAAAGAAAATAATCTATAATGACAATGGACCTAAGTGGTCATAATTTTTACCCAGAATTTGTTTATAAGTACTAAAGCCCACCAAGTGAGAACAAGACTGGATGCTCAGTTCTTACTTACTAAAATGGGAACATTAATTTCTCGACCAATTTGGTTCCAATAAAAAAAGAAAATTAAACCACAATATGCTGTGAAACCAACTCTCTACCACATCTCTGTTACCGCCATATAATATAATTTGTAGCCAAAATTTTAAGCAGTACATCCACAGCTTTCTATTGTACCCCATTTCCAATACAACAAAAACATATTTTAGAACATACAGGGTGTACAAACTCTTTTTTTGAGAAGCCTGATATTTTAACATTTATAATATGATAAATATAAAACATACATAAAGCATATTGTGTAAAAAGAATCTTTTAAAGAAAACGCATATACAAGGGCCGATCAAAAAGTTTCTTACCATTGGCTCTAGATTTTATAATAAGAGGAGTTGGATGCTCAAAATATAACATAAGACAGGGTAGTAAGTTTGCTTGAGACTGTCTGAGTTTCATTCGAATTGGTTCATTGGTAGTGACACAGAGTCAATTCATATTTTTAATGACTGAATTAGGTGGAGCAGCGTTTTTTATAAAAAATTGTATTGTAATGTTTTTATGATCAGAAATAGGTAAAAATTAAATCTTATGAAATATTGATTCATTATTACTTTTTTTATTTTCATGAAGTATACAGGGTGACCTAAATAATGTTACCCTCTAGTTTTGAATAACTTTGTCAATTATGAAGGAATCTGTATCATGAATTTTTGTGTAAATTGGGTGTTCAATGGATGGAACAATGGTGAAATACTGTACTCCTGGTAATTATTGCATGCTACTATATTTCGCATTTTTCATGAGTTTTGGAAATTCGCAAAATATAAATAGCAGCAAATTTCTTATAGTTCTGATTCGCGAAATATAAGTCGTGAAATTCCCAGGAATTTATTTCACTTTATATTGCCAATATTTTCGTGCTTGGTGATAAAAGGTTGCAATCACAATTATTCAGAGCTCACAGACTTTTTTATATTGCACAAAAGAAAATAGCAATTACACCAGTATGATCTAGCAAGTACACCTTGAAATCGTGAGCAAATATGCGATTCTTTGCATCAACTGGGAAAATGGATGAAAAGGGTAAAAAGACCCATCCATTCTTTGATACAAGTACATGTACTTGTACTTCAATAATACTTTCAAAACAGATGTATTTAACATATATGATAATGTGAAAAAAGATTATTTTTCAGTGGCATGGAAGAGTTAATATATGAACATGAATTATGCAAACATGTTTCTTCCATGCTATTGAAAAAGAATCATATTTCATGTCATTGTATGTTAGATATACCTGTTTTGAAAGTATTGCTGAAGTAGTAATGTGTCTTTTTACCATTTTCATCCATTTTCCCGGGTGATACAAAGAATCGCATATTTGCTTGCAATTTCAATGGACACTTGCTCTTGATTGAACCAGTCCTGGATAATTTCCATAAATTAGGAACATCATAAGTGGTTAGACATTTCATTTGAAACAGTGGGTTTCAAATCTTTTTGACACACCCTGCTTACACCACAGTTGAACCTCCCCCATTTAAATTACAGTTACAAACTTCACAGTTCTTTGCCTCAGGTTTGTTTACGTATGTACACAAAGCACACTCTTTGCTATATGGCTTCACAATGTCTCTTTCTAATGAACCAGGTGTTGATCTAGTTTTGTCACACATTTCGCACACCTTATTATGGTATGTATTTGCAAACGTACATCCTGCACATTGCCACGTTTTCAACTGGTTTTCATCTTGATATTTATCAAACACATGACCACTAGATGGCTCTGATCTGCCGCCCGTGGTGACTGATTTTGTAACTACTTCTTTGGGTGATCGTTGAGCTTGATACTCATAGTTGTTAGACTGCAAGGGTTTACTTAAGGGATGGGCCTTAGGGGTCGAGGAAGGTCTGGGTGAAACTGGCGGGCCTCTTGAAGCTTTAACTTGGGCAGCTTCACTATATGATCTTGGGGATTTAAATGTTGGACTTGGGACAGGGTCTTGGATTTTATTTAAAAGTACATTTTCAGCATCATATAAGGTTGTATGCATTGCATGCTGTTCTGTTACAAAATTACCATCAACATTGTCATATGTACTCTGAACCATATCACGATCTCTACCCCTTGATCTTAACTCTCTTCCCGTTGAACCATCTCTGCTCCATACTGGGTTTAATTCGGCCCTGTGTTTCTTTTCAAGCTCCTTATGCTTTTCTTCAATTGCTTCAATAGAGGGATCCTTTCTGAGTTCAGATTTATTTTTCCGTGTGTTAGTAACTGGTGGTGGAGGATGTTTTATTTCACTGCTCAAATCAATGCTTTTAGTATTGTAATCCTGGGGATCAGACACAATTGGGGGTGCACTTTTATAATGTATCGACTCCTTGGGTGATTTTGTTGTATATTTTAACAAATCATCGCTTTTACTTGGACTGTCCTTATTGCCCTGTTTTAATAAATCGGGTCTTTGTCCCACACCATCATAGTATTTCTCTCCATATCTACTCTTTAGAGTTGATCTTACAAGTGTCCATTCATCATCTTTGGTGTCAGATGTAGGACGCTGTAGGTTCCCATCTTTGACAAGATTCAGGCTAAATTGCAGCTGGTCATCAATTGTCATAGGTGTTTCTATCCCATCACCACCAGGCATGTCAGGAGCTCCGTATATATCCTCCTCCATGGAAGGTTCTATTTGATCTTGGTCACGTACCAATGAAATAACCTTATCAGGAGTCTCCCTTGCATTAATTGAATGTGAGATGTATTGTTCATCTGACCATTGTGGTTGTTTTCTTACCACTTGTTGACTTAACTTGCTTCCATAGCCAGAATCGGTTTTCAGTAACTTGGCTCTACCAACATGACTCTTAGGTGCATGTCGAAGATGAATTGATTCTGGGTCAATGTCTTCATTTTCCCGATGCACCTCAACAATATGACGTGTACCCTCAGGTTTCAGCTTCTCTTCCATCCACTCCCCGCTCTCCCCCACCCCACCTTGAAAATTCAATCGGCATTTCAAAACTTGCGCAACCGTGAAATTTCTATTTCTCATATCTAAATAGATTTCATGAATTATTTCGCATTCTATAGATGCAAAGAAACATTCAAATGCAACTTTTTGAAGGTTTGTGCTGTTCCTTTTGGCATTATTATCAATTGTGTAAGTCATTTGGTTGGGGACATATCCCATATCTTCCAGTATAACCTCTGCTCTTTCAAGATGGACTTTCACAAGTGTGTAGAATGCTCCGTTGTATTTCTGGAATAACAATTAAAGGATATTTAGAAACAGTTTTTATACATTCGGAAAACATTCAAAGTTTTTGATATCCTATAATTAATGCTTTTCATTCATCTTATTCAATCTCTTTTGAAAAAAGAACTACTGAGCAAAATATGGTAAGAAGATATCATGGACCTATTTAAGAAATAGAGGTTCTTATATGAGTACCTGTGCAAGATTGCCTATTCTAGATGAGCTTTGATAATTTTTATTTATCGAGTCGAAGACAAGATTAAGAAATATTATCAAAGTGAGTCAAGAATGGATGATATTGCACATGTCCCTATCCCTACAAGAAAATGTTTCTTATATGACCCTGTATTATGCCAATTTTTCACCTTTTTTACGATAAAACTGAGTGAAAAATAGCTTCAAATTCCGTTACCATGTTGTTGATGTTTACAAACCAGTAATGTCACAAGTAGATCTTATCTTGTACATGTGACTTTTTAGGACGAAGGCAATAATATCTTGAATGGAGTAAAGATGGCTGTATCTTTTTTAGTCATATGTCTATGATAAAATATATCATTAAATATTGAAAACACATTTGTTGGGTAATTGTACTCAATATCTATTTATTCCCTCTAACGTCGTATTGAAGCATTGACTGGTATTGAGATGCTTTAGGGAGATTTTTTTGTTAATTATCTCAATAGAAATTGTTCACACGTCAGTACATTTATTATTAATTTTTTACCATAAAAAGGAAGTCGAGACAAAACCTATAAATAAAATGGGAAGTTAATTCTTCCATTGAATTGTGACTTTATGTCACATTTAAATAGAAATCAAGAAGGAAATGCATTAAACATTATGAGAATGGGTTTAATGCAAAAGTTAGCTCAAGTTGATAGCTAATATTCTAAATGCGTACTTCCTTGTTAAAGATTAAGGTTCAGTTGTTCAGTTACTATGGTAAACTAGAATCACATTACTGCTGGTAATATCTTACATCATGTTACTTAGTACAGGAAATTAGGAAAGGAAGTTGTACTGTTGTATAGATGAGATCATTATTAAGAATGCAGACATAACAAAATAAAGTTGGATTTTTTACAATGTAACTTACAGACGTCACCCCATTGTGGGATCCACAGCCTTTACTATCCTTTTGGAATAGTTCAGTTCTCTCAAAAGCGTTAGGTAAAGAGGGACTCTGATGAATCAGAATGACGTCACCCTCATTGTTTTAAAAGTAAAACCAGAATTTTAAAGTTGATCTCTTATTCAAAATAATGAACTCTATTTAAGTTCTGTTTCTTTTTAGAATAAATCTATTGAGGAAATAAAGTATTTGTTCAATTCAGTACAATTCTTTCAAAACAACTCCATACTGAAATTCTTACACTGAAAAAATTAAGTTTGAACATGGGAGGTTCAAAAGGTTCTGCCAGATAAGATTACAAAATGAAACTAGCAGAACTTTTTGAATGACCCTTGTACCTTATCTGTTACTTACACCTGTATACTGCACATACCTTTATCTTATTATACAGCTTCTTCCAAGGCTTGCTTTGGACATTGAGAGCATATATCTCCAGCTTTTCAAATGCATCTTTTCCATCTTTAGCGTTCCAATATGGATCTTTGTTGACATTGAGCTGAATAATTTCTAAGTATGCTTTATAGTAGCAGCTATCAGGCCTGGTTGTGCTAAGAAAGGTTCTTGTTTCTTCTTTAATTTGAGCACGATTTTTCCCAAATTGACCATATAATGCATAATCTAAAACCACTAATTGAAAGTAACGATCAAATAAATGTCTTCTGTTTTCGTTCATCGCAATGGGTTCATCCATTTTAACTATTAAGCAAGCTTTCTAAAGCAGGAAGTTTAAAACCCATTTTTATAACTGACTAAATATCACTGCATGTAGATGTGATAAATGTAGTTTATCTTTAAGTTTAAATTTGTGAGCTGTTTCGATTCGTGGAATCTGTTCAATCAATAACAGAAAGGGGATAAAGGGGAGTCCCCTTTTTATAATGCTGAAGTCAGTTGACCTGAAAGCACACAAATGTAAAACAAATTAATTAATACCAACAATATTATATTGTACTTCGCCTGAAAGCTTACCATATAACATGTAAGTACAGTATGACAGTATATTCTGTAGTTGTAGTTAAAGTGAATAATACCTTTTACTGTTCAGTCAATGTCAAAAACCTAATCTTTCTCTTTGCTATTAGATAGTTTTACATGGATTTATATGAAGTCTTTGAGGATTAACAATTAATCCTTGACTTTTATATCTAAAATTGTGATCAGCTTTGAAATAACACTGATTCATAATGGCAGGGAAATTCAACTGATAAACATGATAAAGAGTAAAATCAAATAATATAATTTTAGGAAACATTTCCTTTTTTTGTGTTTAATTGCACTCAAAAACATGCAAAAACTTTGTCAATATTAGTATTATTACTATGAGAAGATAAAGAAATTGCCACAATTTCCCCAAGTGCCGCTTCCTCTTTTAAATAGTCAAGCAATAGCTGATTCAACTTATAATCTTAAGTTTCAAGGAATCAATGTTGATTCCAGAAATAGCCTACATGTCTCTTGATCAACTAGAGAAATGAAACCTAGGTCACAAAAAGAATCTAATATGACTTTATGAATATACATGTACATTGTAGTAAGTTCCCCCTGGGGATTGTTTAGTCTGATGTCTCACCAAAATTCTACAGAAAAATATTTCTTCAGTGTTTTCGAATGAAACTTAAATTAGGGTATAGATATATAAATTAATATCCTCTTTCAAATTGGCTAAGTTAAGATTAACTGGACTCTTCATTAAAAACACTTATTGTGACCAACTCACCCGGAATAGCCTGACAACGGTAAAGTTAGATATTGTCACAAATGACGGACATAACCGTATCTGACTTTACTGTTGTCAGGCTATTCCGGTGTGCAAATAATGAATCTCCAATTCTGGTTAGAACATGGGAAAAGTTAAAACACCATATGATTAAAAAATATGTTTCTCATTTTCATGGATAATCCGCACAGATTAACATCCGGGTATGTTATTTCTAGAACTTCACAGTGCTTGGAATCATTGTTACAAGGTCTTGGAATAACAAGAATGCTGTTTTAAATAGTCAGGGTTTGAAAATTGGTGAGGCAAAGAGGATTATACAATTGGACATTACTTTCATAGTCTCTGAATCAAAAACAGTCAGAACTTTTGTAAAACCTTGGCAAGCCTCATGCCTGAGTTATGCCAATAATGGCTGCATCAAACTAAACAAAAAGTTATTCTGACAGACCAATAATTATTCTGAAGGAACCTAAATATAGTACCTAGCAAGACCAAAATAAATACTCATCTGACAAGTGGATTTTTTCTGGATGATGCAAGGAATGGCACTGCGTGATCATGAAATACTGTATCTTATACGAAAAAATAGATTATAACTTCCTAATCATGTTTCTTCGTTGAAATACTGCACATGGAACTGTGTAATTTGGAAAATTCTTCAAGCTCAGCCATGAATCAAACAAATACTTTCAGTGACATAGTTCCCTAACAGATACCTAATTAATTATCCAATATGTCTTAGAGATCCACCCAAACAGTATACCACCAAATACCCAAAACTGTGAAGCATAAAAAAGGTACCTACCCATGATGCCACATTGTATGTTGCTGATAACTTGCCCAATAAAATGAAGCTGTGATACAAGATGGTCCTGGGATACATATAGTGCTGGTGGAAAGAATCAGGTAAGACAAGTGTGAGATTAATCAACTGATGGAAATAGAGGTGAGGATGTTCAGAGAAAATAAACAAACCTTTGAAATACATTCAATTACACAGTATGAGTAGCGAAACCTTACAATACATTCAATACACCAGCAGGAGGGACAAACCAAATACAATAATACAGGGTGACCCAAAAAATGCCACCCATTAATTAACTCTATAACTCTCTCAATAATTAAGGAATCTACGCAATTTTTATGAGAAACAAACCTTACAAAACATTCATTGACAAGTGACTCTGTGCACAATTTTGGATATTATTTCATAAAATATCAATGCCCTTAAAAGGAATAATAATCAAAGCTAGGTATATTTAAGATCATTCCAAAAATCTCTGAATTTTGAAATGCTGTATCCTACCTTGTGAGTTTTTTGTTTTGTTACTTAAATGATTGTGTGAGTAAAATGTTTCCATGATTTTATGTTCCTTTTTTATTCTAAACATGTTTATAGCTTTAGTATATTCATGGGCCTTCAATTAGATGAAAGACCATGGCATATATGATACCATTTAAAAGTCTGACTTTGCACCCTTACAGACAAGCTTCATCTATACTCTAAACAAGAGATACTTTTTCCTCCTAACCTTCATATCTAATCAAATTGTGTCAATCAAAATTCAGCCACCTAAAATTGTATTTCATCAACCCATGAAAGCCCAAGACAACTACATATACTTTCGAAGCAATTTAGATTTTATCAGTATTCAAAAGTGTAAAATTATCAATCCCAACCAGATTGTAGAAATAACTACTAAAGCCTCTGGGTATATATTCAAATACACAGTAAAGGATATATCTGGAAACATATCATATCAGTACAATTCAAAAATACATGTACACATTCTCTGCGGATTGTTCCAAAAGTTTTACACTGATTGTTCTTGTATAGAGTAAAATTTACTTTCTTCACAATCAGGAAGAGTGCCAGTGATATCCCAACAAATATCAACAAAAGCATAAAAATACTTTAACCATTTTTTGCAAACAGATTTTCAACAGGGTGGTAGGTAATTTACAGATTTTCAACAAGCTGCAATCCATGTTTTTATATTTCACTTTAAGTTGTGACATGTCATAATTTAAAATTCAAATATGTTTCAGAATTAATATTTTAGACATGAATATAATTATATCTTTAATAGTGTCAGAGCAATTCCAGTAATAATATAAATTATAACCCATCATACTTTGTTGCAATATGTCTTTATCAAGTCTACAGCTAGACTGACATGTATTTTATATAATGTACAGCTGTTAAATCATTTTTATAAAAACCTTACCTTGTTGCTCTAATTTTATATTGACAAGAAAATACACATCATTTGCCTTTAGTTTTCATGTATATATAATACATATGAATTGCTGACTAATATAAAGCCATTCAATCTCACATGATTCTTGCAATTATAACTTATAATACAATGTACAATGTCCTTTCTTTCATCACAATTCTGAAATAAAGATGACTAAACAGTTTTAAATAAAGGCATGTTCCAACACTGAGTCAAATAGATGGAGCAACTATATCTCAAGTACATGTAACAAGAGTGTAATATTTACAACCAGTTACAACCTACAATAGATGGTTTGCTATCCCGGGTTTGCTATACATGTAGATCTCCTTTAATAATAAAAATGCAAGATATTACAACATTGCAGCCTCCCTGAATATGTATTTTTCTGGTAAAATATGTATTCTTCTGGTATAATTTTTGTTTTGTAGCCTGGAGCATGGGCTTTCAACGGTTGAAAGCCCATGCCTGGAGTAAGTTACAAAATCAGGAACTTCACTGAATTTAGTGGTTATGACAAATACTCTTTTACCATAGGAGAGAGAGCGCATGCGCAAAGTGTAAGACGGAAAAATTGAGCTCCGAAAAATAACTTTATTTTTGTGTATTTACAGCTAGTCCGAACATTCTACATAACTACACAGACCGCCTATAACTCGCTGGAGGTGCCAAGAATCCAACGCGACCCTTCAACGGACTAAAACCACCGGGAAAGTTGGAATACGTGACCAACAAGATCCACCTCGTGTCCGCCATTGCAGCCATTTTGCCCGGGAAATTTCCATTGGAAATTCGTTTGTCACGGGAACCTGAGGACCCAGTGTGTGCCCAGCTTTGTGTGCCCAGCTGTTTCTTATAATCTTAGCTGGAGGTATAGATCCTCCGGATCTTTTAATATATATTTTTATCTTTTTTGACCAATACAAATATTTCTTAAAAAACCTAGTGACTGTCTAGTAAAAAGCAGGTTTTGATATTTTTATCTGTAAGTTATACAGTAGCCTACTCAATAATCATTCCACGCTACAGCTAACTTTGATATTATTTACCTAAGAAGTATAATTCAAGCAACTTTATCGCATTTCTGGGGCGTCGCCCGCCACTGCATGGTTACCTCTCTGGTGCCATTTTGTTTTCGTTTTTGATAAGTCTATACGACATTGTTTCAGCTAAATAAGACGAGTGGTGTACAGTATTTAGAAGCTAATGATTTCCTAGATAAAGTAAGAATTTTTCCTATGAGTTAGCTGTGTACCACCTGCTTTTAGTGTAGTTAGTGCTTTACCTGCTTTCCCTGCTTTGCGTGCTGCACTGTGTGTATTTTACTGCAACATTGCTAGAGTAGGACTAATTATCCAGTAGGGCAAGGTTCGTAGTGCATCTAGTAACTAATAAGGATATACCATTGTATGATTTGTTGGGGCCGATTTAGATTGGCACATTTTAGTTATTTTTATATGTGTTAGGATTGAAAAGTCTATTTTTACAGAGTCTATTTTTACAAAGCTTTCTTTTTTATATAACCTTTTTATAAATATATAAATATACACATAGAGTATTTTTATCTTTGCCAAATAACCAACTCACTTGGTAACTGTACAGGTACATGTTAAACTAGCTTCCAGACAGCTTGGAATGCCTGTAAAATCTAAGTCAAAAGCTAAAAAGGCTACCATTCTCAAATCAAAGGAAAAGGACTCCTGTCCATGTAATAAAGATTTAGATAGTATATTTCTGAACTGCTCAAATTGTGAGCAATGGTGGCATTCTAACTGTCTGGGTCTAGGTAATAGCGAGGAAGACTGCCCGTTACTCAAATTATATGCGCAAGAAGAGACTGTCTTCAACTGCCCTTACTGCATACTCAACAGCATCAATGCTGATATAAAGCTTAAGCCTCAGAACACGGTCTCTCCTTCGGATAAGCAAAACAAAC